AATTTAATTTGAATTTTTGCAATTTTTAATAAATTAAATAAATAATATTTTCAATAAAGTTGCTTGATTTTTGGTCGTTTTCTGTTGGAGAAAATGGGAAAAGTGCGAAGGGGAAAATGCATAGTGAAAGAAAGCAAAGCAGTAAAGAGAAGTCGATAGGGAATAATCGATAGGAGACGGCAGTGTAAGGAGTGGGAAAATTAAGAGAATGGCTAAAAGTCGAGCGCTTAAACTTAAGAAACTAATTTTATGGCCTAGGCATGTTCCGGTTCCATTTGGTCTGATTACTCAAAGTGCCACGCCCCTGCGGCAGAGGGGCTCAGTGGCACTCAGTTCCTTGGTATGTACATTAACAGCGGCGAGCGGTGCGAGCTAAGATCTAAGATGAGGAGCTGTAGCTGGAGGAGGTGCCCGCCGTGGAGCCCGACGTTGAGCTGTACGAGGAGGAGCTGCTGGGATGATACGAGCTATAGGCCAGATTCTGTGAGTCCCAACGCGCATATGGGCCACCACTCTGCGGTTCCCAGCTGCTGGGATCGTACGAGGAGGCCGTAGTGCTAGGCACGCCGTATTCGACCGCTGGCATTGGAGCTGGCATGGGCACCATGTTCATCTTCATGCCGCCCAATTTCTGGATCAGATTGTAGATGAGGAAGCCGAGCACCAGCTTAATGGCAATCTTGGACAAGATCAATGCCTTGGTGGCTTTCAGACTGACCAGAGCCAGCAGAATGGGCATGACGACCTTCAGCTTGAGCTTCATGAGCAGCAACAGAGGCAGGAACAGCTTGTCCTTGTTCTTCTTCTCAGCACGGCCTGGAGAATGAATACAATACAAACAATTAAGTAAGAATACAGATTTCTGGCCGTGTCAGAGGCTGACGCACCTTCCACCTGAGGCAGCTCCAAATCGAACCCACGATCCGCACGATAGGTCATCACGGAGCTGGCAAAGAAGGTCTCCGGCAGCTGAACGCGCACCTCGTTGGTGCGCAGAATGCGTGCCACACGATCCACGATGACCTTGTCGATGACATCATCGTCGAAGGCACGACCGCTGACCTCCTCCTCAACATTGGCAACCGTGTCCAGATAGGTGAGCACCTTTTCCTTCAGACAATGCATCGCATTGGCATGGAAGCACTTATCCACAATCGTCGAGATTAGCTCATCGGAGCTATGGATGCGCGGCGTGACGCCATTATCAATGGCAGCACCTTGAACAGAAATCGCCAGCAGCAAACAACAACCGAACGCGGCGAAGGATGTGAAACGTTGTGCCATTTTCTACAGATTTACAACTATACAGTCACAGATATTCACGCGCTATATATATCTATATATATATATTATTACTACCAGAGCGCGTTGTGTTCACTGCGTTGCCGTTGCGACGACAATGTTGAACAATTGGCCAGTACCGACGATTTTATACTGCCGCTCCTCGGGCGCTAGTAAAAAGAGACGCGTACTTGTCCGGCAACTGGTGCATTCAAAAGTTTGTTTTCTTCTTTTTTTTTCTTTTTTGGAGCGCACAAATAATTTTGGACAGTGACGAAAGCCGTTGCCGAACCTTAGCCAAAGTCTTCGTAGTGCTCAAAGTTTTTCACCAAACTGTTGGATCGGCTGTTTTTGATATGTGGGTTGACCGGCTGACTCCTCTGGCTTTCTCGCTTTCCATAACGGCCATGCAGCCCCCCCCCCTTCCCCCATTTTTTGTCCGCCCTCCCTCAGCTGGTCAGTGCTCAATGTTGCATTATCGATGGCCGATGAAAATAACTTTTTGTTTCGCCCAATTAGTATGCGAGCCCTCAACTCTTACGCGAACACATGAAAGCCAGTCCCATGCCAGACCCAGAGCCATGACGGAGTCCGCGACAGACCCAGGTCCAGGGCACGTACATTTTTCAGCGTATTGTGTCAAATTTCGATACAAGAAATCAGTACGGAACTCGTCTACGCTTTGGTATTGGCCATTTGACCATTTGCCGTGTATTAGGCCATTTTTATTTTATTTTTGTCTATGCGGAACTGCGAATTGAGTTATTGTTATTTTGCTTGTTTCTGGGGATTACGAAATAGACTTGCGACACATAAATTTCCGACACGTTTCTTTTGGGGGCGATGCTTTTCAGCCAGCTTTAAAAATGGGCCGCTAAAAGTGAAGAAATCAATTATAGTAAATTTTCTAATTTCAATACCCATTTTATTGCCTAATTAATTAAATATTTTTGAGAAATAATTATATATGATAACATTTTGAATTTCTCTTCTGCCATGCCTTTTAGATTTTTGGGTTGCGATAAGAGGAATTAGCCTGTCCCTGTCATAATAAAAATAAAAGAAAATAATAATAATGACCACTTATCATACCAAGTTCTTTTAAGTGAGTAACTTTCAATGAACTAAGTTCTCTAGTTAGTACAAAACTATTTCTTAGTAACAATAGTCAGCTTAGGGATTGCTTCAACTAAATAAATATGAGAAAATTCAATGATGAAAAGAATATTTAGTTTTCTTATCTTTCCGTCTTTCCATTAGACTGTTTAAAAAAAAATACAAACTAAACAGTTTGTGTTTTAAATTAACTTAATAGTATTGTAATAGTTCATTGTTTTATTAAAACAATTAATTGCCACACACGTTCGTGTCCAATAGATAAATATTGTTGATAATTGATAATGAAATAAAATATTTCACACACATTTTATTGGGCGTGTTCAAAAGTGTGTCATTAAAAGAGAAGCTTTTGGAATGTGAAATTAAATATAAATCAAGTCTTGGCCATATATAGGACTTATTTCTTATGCAGAGTTTGTATTATTTGTTGTCCGCAAATTAATTTAACTGATTTTAATCTCAACTTATCATTTTTTGATGTTTAACATAAGCTCCCATTTATTTGTCAATATTGTACAGCAAAATTACATTTTAACCTATCTCTGAAACAACATTTGGTTGTCTAACAAAACAAAACAAATAAGTTTTGTTTTTCTATATGGGAGCACCCGACTAGGAGGTACCCTGAACCTGAACAATATAAAAACTGTTTTTGTATTTATATATTGTGTTTATATTGTCTTTATATTGTCTTTATATTGTCTCTGCCTGAAGCTAGTGTCGAGCATTCGAAGCATTTACTGTACATAACGAGACAATATACATATTAAAGACTGCTCGACACTATGATAAATGCAGTCATGACTAAATAGGGTCTATGCTTACAGTCCTTAAGAAATTTGGGGAAATCTGATGCTAAATATGGACATTAACTATAAGTATGTACCAAAGAGCGTGATTTTACCTTTTAAGGGGTGATTTTTCCTAACTAAAGGGGTTTCAGTTTCCAAAAATTGAAATATTCCCGACCCTCGCATACAATACGAGAATCAGCATATCAAGTTTATTGTAGCTATTAACTATAATATTTCCTACATCCTTTCTACTACATCACAAAATCGATATTGATCGACCGGATATATCGAAGAAAAAACAGTAACAGTATTAAAACAGAGAGAAAATTGGACTAGGTTCAGCTTCCGAGTATCTACATACCAAGTGTTTTGTAGCTAACTCTTAAAATATTTGATTTATTAGAAAAACCCATATCTCTCGATATTTATCGACTTTACTCGTCGAATCGAAGAATATATGCTTCATGAAATCAGATAGGTTTCTTGATGCCTGTTAAAACTGTGCCCAAAACTAATATACCCTCTCTACCTATTTTGAATAGGTTCAGGGTATCAAAATGCATCAAGCAATTCACTGCCAGGGAGGTAATTGTGGACAACACTCGTAGATTACCTAACTGATAATGTGAATAATGCAAGAGGTGTCAACGTTGTCAACGTCACACGATCTGTTATCACCCAATAAAAGAAATTTTCAACGTCTTGAAGCGCCGCACTCGCCGCGATGCGTGCCAAAATTTAAAACAATTGTCGAAAAAACAGTCAAAGGAAAGATAAATAAAACGAAAAACAAAAAGTGTAAACATGCAATCAATTTCCATATGTTCGTGCGGCTGTGCAACGTCCTCCTGAATGCCAAATTGTTATGAAAGCGATGCGAGGCACTAAAGCAAGCGGCCAACTGCTGCCACCAGCTCGCCCACACCCTTCGCTCTCCCATGATACTCAGCGGGGTAGCTGCAAGAAAATATTCGCTTGAGTTCTTAAAGGTTTTTCCAGCCTCGGCCAATATGGCCCAGCTGCGCTTTATGGACCCGAAATGGGCCCAACATGCGTGTAGATTTTGCCTTTGTTTTTTTCTAAATTAAATTCAAATGCATTCGATTGTATAGAAATTGACCAGGCTCAAGAATTTTAGGGCGGCTTTTGTTTTTCTTTTGTTTTTTTTTTGGCTCAGGCCTTTTTTGCCATTTTCGCTTCAGTTCGTGTCGTTGGCTCCTTATCGATTAGAATACTTAAAGACTTTCACTTTCGGCGAGAGCAACGGGCAACGGGCAACGGGCAACTTTCATCGCGGCAAGTGAAAAGCAGAAACTTAAAAATTAAAATTGACAGACAGTTCATCAAATGAATCGAGCCAATCGCATTTGACTGGAATATTCAATTAGATGCGTTGCGCCAAAGAATTTCGAGCCCACTTAAATGTTGGCTAATTAGGATGACCCCAATGTGTTTGGCCCATACATAATTTAGGGCCCTGTGGAAATTCACTTGGGCCCGGCCCGGGCGACCTACTTAATTAAGGGGCAGCTGTGGGTACACTTGAAAAATAACTGCTTAAGAAAATTGCCATGAAATGAAGAATTTTCTTAATATCAAAAAATGTGCATTTAAAAATTTAATTTACTTGTATTAAGAAATAGGAATAAAAATAAATAATCTACTACTACTGACTATTTTTCCCAGTAGAAATTTTTTTTTTTTTTTAAAGAAGAAATGTTTTCTGAAATTAGAAAAATTACTTTGCTTCAATTTTTAAGGCATTTATTTAGCTGGCTTATTTTGTTTTGGTTTCTGTTTGTTTTTTGTTTCTTACTATTTGTGTTTTTCAATAAATAAATAAATAGTTATTATAAATAGGGTCTTAGGGATGCGGCGCAGCCTCGCGCTCAGTTTTCGCCAAATCAAGTCACAAAAACAAATGGGAAAATTTTTAACAAATTAACAACAATTTTCGTGGCCCGTTTTGTGGCTTCAGCTTTCGGCTTTTGGGGAATACGCTCGCCGGCCCCTAGGCATACGCCGGATAGGCCAGCTCCTGGGCCAAATGCTGCGGCTGCTCCATGACGGGCGCGGCGCCTCCAAAGTTGCGACCATCCCACGGCCCGTGGGCGGTGATGTGGGCGGTATGATGGTGATCATGGGCAATCTGTGGGCGGGGCAGAAGGGCAAGAAAATATGGCTTAGAAATATGTGCAGCTGCTTTGGCTAAAAGCTATAATTGTTGGCACATTTTTGGGTTTGGCTTTTAGTAGGTGCTTTTTTATTGTATAGGGGGTTGGAGTGTGTTGTTGTGATGGGGCGAGGGTTTTGGAGTCGGGTTTGATTACTTTGGACTTTGGACTCGACACTTACCCAGCGCACGCGCCCCTTTTAGGGTGGGGGGAAACTATACATACGTGCTATGTGAATGCAATTATTTAATGTAATTATTAGAATTTACCCGTCGCCCTCTCTTTCAACTCACAACTCCCTAACTCGCACTAATTACCACAGCCCGCGAATGCCTAAAAGACAATAGAGATGCGGTTTTAATAGCTGATTGGGCTTACCTTTTTGCACAATTGGAAAATGGCCAAACCAACCGAGACAATGAACGAGAAGAAGCCGAGCGCGAGCGCATTGAATGCCTTGATCTTCAGTATGCCAATGGCCATGGGTATGACGGTGATGGCCTTCAGCAGAATGAGCACCAGTATGGGCATGGCCAGCTTGCGTAGACGATGCTTCTTGCCTAATTGAAGAGTTCATGTTTATGTAAGGATTGCAATTAAGACACATTACAATAAACCCACCCTTCTTGAAGATGTTGCCCTTCTTACCCCTGGCTTCGATATCGGACGCATCATCAACGGCGTTGTTTAGCTGCAGGTTCAAGCTCAGCTCATCGTTGGCCAGATTGCGGGCCGAGACGGTGATCTTGGCATCGGCCACGGGCAGATTCATGCTCACATCGTGTCCACGCATATAGTTCTCAATGGCATCCAGGAAGCCGTCGCTGGTGCTGGCGCGTGCCTCGCTAATGGCGGCCACTTTTTGGCCATTGCTGCTCACCTCCAGATTGGCCAGCTGCAAGAGATTAAATCAGTTATAAAGAAAGTGTGAGAGAGGGAGAAGGGCAAGACCCGGCTCACCGTGTAGCTATCTTTGCTGAGCACATTGTCCACAAAGCGCATGGCGCGCTCTTTGATGCACGCCATCGAATCTTGGCCCGTAGCGCATTTGCTCTGCTCCTCGGCAATTAGGCGCTGCAGCTGCGGCGCAGCATTGGCGCCCTGCGCCTGATCGGCCGACAGGGCTGCCATAAGGCCAACAACAACCAGCAGGAGCAATTTGGCCATTTTGTTGTGTATTTGTTTGGTGGATTTGTGGTCTCGACTCGGCTGTGGCTCACACACACAACTCGCCTCAATGCTGGCACAATTGAGTTTAATAATCGTTTTTCTATTGTTCACGATTTTTATACTTGCCCAATGTTTTTTTTAAAGCGGCGCTGCGGCGATTCGACGACTCGACGCTCGGCTCTTGGGCTGGCTGTGGTCGTGCGCGCAAAAAAAAAAAAAGAAAAAAAAGAAAGAAACATGGCGGAAGAAGACATAAATGAAGCAGACACCGAAAGAGGCAGAGCGCCAACAGCAATAACAACAACAACAACAAGAATGCATTGTTGTAGCTGCCTCTGCCTCTGTCTTCGGCTCTGGCTCTGCCTGTGGCTCTGCTGCGGCTTTGTGGCAGCGCGTGTGCGTGCCTGGGCACCACGTGTCGTATACTTAATGCGCTTTTATTTCAAACGCGTGCCGGCGCTCTGTCTGCGTTTCATTTGGTTAACTTCGCTTTGTTATTAAATGCATTTTCCTTGCTGCTGCCATTTCATCAAACAAGGTCCGAGACGCCAAATTGTCGCTGCAGGAAATTGTAGAAAACTCGAAAAGAGCTGCTAATGCTATTAAGGGCGTCATTTAAGTTGACTTTTGTATGGTTAAATTAGTTTTTCAATTGCCCGTTTTAATGTCTCTAAAAAGGTCTGCAGAGTATGAGAGAGTGGGCCTGGTGAGTGGGGGGGGGGGGGGGGGGGGGGGGGGGAGAAAGAAGACTTCAGCAAATGGGTTAACCAACCTTGATAGAAGTCATTATTGATCAGCTTATTACTTTGTTGGCCTAGGTGATAGTTGATGTTCGATTAACAGACTAAAAATTTAATAAAGGAATAATATTTTCTTTTATTTCAAATTTAATGTTTATTTTATTAACGGTTATTGTTATTAATTGGGTTCGGGGTCTTCGGGCATAGCATAGTGTGAAACATCTTATGAGGTCGATATTTAAAAATCGAATATATTTTTCAAGAAAAGGCTATATTTATGAATGATATAATTGAAATGTTAAAATAAGAAAGAAGCCTCAAGGTTGATCTTGAGGTTAAAGGCTGTAAACTAACTCTGAGCGTAGTCCTTACTAAGGCTTTCTGGGATATATATAACAAATTCCTTGGAATATCTAAAAAAATGTAAAGTATTTGATAGCTGATGAAAAAACCACTCTATCTTAAAAGCATACAATATAATATGCACATAAATATATAGAAATATTGATGACAAAATTTATTAATAATCGAACAGCTTAATACGTGTTAAGCAAGCGATTTGCTGCTGAGAAAAGTAGCTTTGATGGAGTTTCAAACGATTTTTTTGGAGTTTATGATTGAAAGCATATTTAGCTTTTTTATAGCTAATCGATAGCTTTTCATAATATTTTCTAAAGTTCCTAATGCCAAGGGGAATTGTAGGAGTGTCATGAGTCATCATGTCATAAAGATGAATTCATAAGAAAAAAACCCTGAATCAGGAACTAATTTGCTTGGAGGCACCAACAGATATGCGGCATGCCTCACAAGTACCACATCGTGTGGCAAGCAGAAATATAGGCAACACTTTTGACAACCTGTAAGCAGCTCATAAGCCGTTCGGTGGTCGCTAAAAAACTATTCATAAAACAAATGCAACGCATATTTTATACGTCAAATTGTGCAAGCAGAAATTCACTTGGGCAATTAAAGCACAGAAAAAAATCATAATTAATAATTAAAGCTGAGTTAGCTCAGCGCCCAAATTGAGCAACAGCTCGGCGACATTGAGTCCATGCCAATGATATAGAAAGTGTTTTTCATTGCCCTAACGAAAGCGAAAGTGACAGCAGATGCCCCAAAGATACAGCACCTCCCCCCAAGCTGACCACAGCCCCAACATGCAAGAGACATGCGCTGAATTTCGATATATTTCGCGTTGCAACATGTAAATTATGAATTTCGTATATTGATTGCGCTGCCACGAAAATGGAATTGATATCAGAGCAATTCGCTGTTTTTTTTTTGTTTTATTTTTTATTTTAAACCCTTTTTTTGTGTGTTTGTTTGAAGCCAAAGTTTCACCACGCATTGGCGCTTGATTTGCAATTCCGAGCGCATTTTGGCAGCCACAGAAGCCCCCGACATTTGCCAATGAAATTGGAAAAGTTATTTTTTTTTCACATTTCAAATTGTTGCGTAGAAACGGACAAACGATGGCAGCCAAGTTAAATATCAATGAAGTGTTGGCCAGCCAGCGAAGCCATATACACTATATTGCATACTCTGCATACTCTTCTAGAGGGTACAACAGCTTAATGATTAAATGTGTGACATAGTTGGATCTTATCTACATTGTACTTTTGAATAGATAGTTATTGGTTCGAAAGCTTTACGATGTTCTTGGAATATGAACATATTCATATCTTAATCAGAACTGTTTTATATTTAATTATTCTTTATCTGGGCAATCGCATTAATATGGTCTGTTTTTTTCGGTTCTATGTTGATCTTTAGCCGAGCCGGCTTGAACACACAACTCTAATCCATAGTTTTTTACTCATAAGCCGAACTTTGAGCTAAGCCAATTGGCCCAAAAACAGCCAACCGAAACTTGCATATTTTTTCAGATATAAACAGTATATAAGGTTCGGTTTGGTTAAAACTAAAAACGTGTGAGGGTAACTCAGTTCAAAATATAAATAACTTGTATCCCAAATATTGCATGTATCCTGTGTGGTAAATGTTTATTTTGACAGACAGAGAGTGGGAGCGAAAGAGAGAGGAAGATAGAGGGAGAGAGAGAGAGCAAGCGAGAGCTATTAGCCCGCAACTTCCCTATAAAATATATATTTTAACAGCCTAAAAAATGTTCATTAAAAAAGACAATTAATGCAAAATTGAATCTAATTTATGTTTTTATGTAAATTGTCAAATGTAAAGTTTGAGCCTAAGTGGAAGAATGTGTAAAATCAAGTTCAAAACGCATCTAAAAGCAGGCAGTGGAACCAGCGACTTTCCTTTGCTGTGCTTGCAGCTCTGTGAAACACTTCTATGTGTGTAAGGGTATTTTAGCTTCGGCGTGGCCATTCTTTTTAGTTGCCTGTTGCTGTCATCGCTGCTGCTGTTGCTGTCTCCGCTGCGGTTGCTGCGGCGTCTGCTGTCGGCGCCAGCGCCATTTTGCATTGTTGCACGCAGCAGTTGTCGCTCTTGTCGCTGTTGTCGCTGTTGTCCACGCTGCAACTTTCCCAATTGCCACGTGTGGGTGCTTAAACAACTGGGAAGAGCATATAGAAAAATGTCAGAGGTAACGGGTGCCAAAAAAAGAAATGCAAACAAATTGAATCCCTGCCGCTTTCACGTTTCTGTGGCACGTTGCGTTGCAAATACTTTAATGCCACGACTCGTTGTTTCAACTTGTCCAAGCTGCCAGCTGCTAATAACCCCAGCTGGAGTCGGCTCAACAAGTCGTCATTTACGGCTAGGAGCTGTCCGCTTTTTGGTCAAAAGGTTAAGTGCGTTAAGGAGCCCGGCTAATGCCTGCATTAGCAAGTTAGGCCAAGTGCCCTAATTAAGAGCTTGTTACATTTCCTAATTACACTCGCTCGTGTTGCCCCGAGAAACTTTGCGTCCAATTCCCTTCAATTAGCCAAATGACTTTTACATAGTTTTTATTGCATAAATATTTGCCAGAGTTGCCCGACCTATCTGCAAAAGAAACATATTTGGTTTCATCCTCTTTCCTTTTATGGGTTTCCTCTTGTGGGTTTTCTTATGTTTTTTTTTTTTTTGTTTTGTACAATTCTCATAAATAATAAATAAATAAATAAATAATTAAAAACAATACGACTATGCACTACTTAAAATAGAGCCAAAATTAATAAAGTCGCAGCTTGTTTCGGTTCCGGATTCAACGCCTCTTTTGGCCCGCATAGGCCATGTCCTGTGCGTCTTGCGGCTCTTGGGCGGAACGTGCCCAGGCATGGGGATCCCAGGCGGGCGCCGGATGCTCCAAATGCTCAATATGCTCCACCGGCAGATCCACATGATGATCCAGATGATGGTCCAGGTGATGGTCCAAATGATGATCGAGATGATGTTCAATATGATGCGGCACAATATGCTCAATGTGATGCGGCACAACATGATCCACATGGTGCGGATAGTGCACTACCTCGTAGTTAACAATCTTGGGCTTGGCAATTTTAAATATGACCAGAGCGCCGGACAGTACCAGCGAGAGCAGACCCAGTGTCATCGCCTTCCAGGTCTTCAGGGCGATTAGGCCCAGAGCCAGCGGCATCAGCACGGTTGTCTTCAGCTTCAGGCCCAGCAGGAAGGGTAGCACCGCCTTGCGTATCATGCCGCGCCCTAAGTGGAGGCAGGAAGGGGTATTTAGCTAAAGCTGGGCTAAGATAAGATGGGCGCTACTCACCCTCATTGGCAGCTGCGAGCGGCACCAGGCCGCCCTGGGTCAGCGGATTATCCAGCAGAAAATCGGGCACCAGGGCGCGTGCCTCGGAGCTACGGAAATACTCGGGTGCCTGAATTCTCAGCGCATGGTTGGCCAAATAGTTGTCAATGCCATCGAACAGTTGCTGCTCAGTGCTGCGACCTGAGCTGCGTCTGCTCGGCTCCGTGTCGGATTCGGATAGACGTACCAGGGACAGACGCTCGGTCAGCCTCACCTCCGGCTGCTGCAGCGCTGCGTTGAACCATTGCAGCGCCTTGGGACGCACACACGATATGCTCAGATCCTTGAGACAGCCATGGTACATGTCCAGCGCCAGCTGCGTGGCCGACGGCTGCAGGGGCTGCGTCTGCGTTTGGGTAGGCGCGGCCAGGGTCGCGGTGGCGGCGGCCAGCGCCGTCAAAGCGCCAATTAGCCAATTGTAGCTCTGCATCCTTTTTGGTTAATGCCCTTTCACTGGCCAAATGGAAGTCGATCGAGTAGCGAAATCCAAGCTAGCTGCTCGCGCGCTGGCGACTCAATGGGTTATGCAAATGTGGCCCGGACAACGCTTGGTTTTTATACGTCGGTACTTTGTTAATTGAATTGCGTATGCGGCGAACGCGCTGCTCTTTGCCAGCTTTGCCATTGCCTTCCAGCTTTATTGGCCGTTGCGTTTTGTGTGTGCTTTTGTCAAAGTCATGGAAAGCGCAAGTTGTGTAGTTTCACCTGTTCGGTTGCCGCCAAAGGGCTGCGCTTTTGACCGGTTCTACGGACTCCTTATGGGTCTATTGGGTCAGCTGGGCTGCCTGGGCCTGCCTTATGGGCATGTCACAGTATCTGTCTCTTGGTCTCTCGTTCTGTCTGCCTGTCTTTGGCTTAATCGGACACTTCTAAGCATAATACATACACCATTTCCATGGCGCACATAATTGAAAGTTATTTTATGGCTTCTGCGCTTCGGGTTTGTCGTTAAATCAACTTCCCAATCCACAATGCGCGTGCCTGGCAACTCAATTAGAATGCGATACGACACGAATTGGTTGTGTGTATCTCCGTACACAATGCATTAGCCGAAGGCCACCTGTAAAGCCCACCAAATGCACTTGAAGGCGCGGCTTTTAAAACTTCTTCTTCTTCTAACTTATTGCGCTTACATAAGGCGGCCATATCTGACCTTTAACTAACTTGACAGAATACAAAATATTATTTTTACATTAAATATATAAATAAAACAGCCAAAAATCAACAGGGTAATAAGCCAAATAAAATTTATATTTCTTAAATTGTTATAAATATATTTGCAAACTATTATTTATTTTTCGTTTTTTCATTTATCAACTTATTTTTATTAATTTAAATTGTAAATTAATACTTATGATTGTTAATTTTTTGTTGCATATAATTGCTTTGCCAAGTCTCTTTTGGTTCAGATTTGGCTGTCATTTGAAGGCTCAATAGGTTAGCCATAAAAAAGGTGTTTGAAAAGCCGCGCTTTTATGTGCATGTCTTAATAATATTTTTTATGTTCAGCATGAAATCTGAATAAAAGTAGCTTTAGTAAAAAGGTACGCTTCCCTGCTCTGCGTTTTTTGCCATTCAGCCAGTCAGCCAGAAAAAACGGTTTTATATGTATAGATGCGCTTTAAATATGCTTAATCAGGTAAATAGAAGCTTTAAGTCAATTCCTTGTTTGTCCTTCACAAAGAAAACCAAAACCAGCCACCACTGGCAATGGCTCCTTAAACTCTGAGCTAAGGCAAAGCATTTAGATGTATCTTCTATTTATAGACTCAATAAGAATCGAATTTCTGATTTGCTTCCAGGTAAGGCACACCCACACAAGCAGTACATTTAATATGTTACATACATATATATTAAATGCTGAGCCGTAAAAATGACTTTAAGAACATTTCAAATTAAATTCTCCTAACTGACGGATAAGTGCTTTTTGCGCTGATGAGAGCACCTTTGAAGGGCATTCGCACGCAAACTAATAAAATGTGATCAAAAAGGTCGATGCCCACACTTAACTATTCTTTAATATCGTCTCAAGTGCAGGCGTTGATGCCTCAGCTGCGGCGAGGGTATTCGTAGGTCGAGACTACCCTAATATATGTTGAATGCACGATTTCTTTTGCTTGTTTGATTCTTCTACGAATTTGTTATGTGCGTTTCGTATAACGGAAATATAATCGTAGCCCCAAAAATTAAGCCAAGCCTATGTTGGGCTGGGTCTGCCAAGGGCGGAGGGGGCGCGGGTTTTGGCTATAAGCTGGAATGTGTCCAAATACTTTTACTGCTGTGTCATTTAATAAGCCAGTGTTTGGCAATTGGTGTTTTCATGTCAACGCAGTCGCATGAAAATATTTTCTTGTGCTTTTGTTTCCGGTTGGTTTTTGAATTTGTTTCCTTTTTCGGGCTCGAGAATTATGTTGCGAAAGTAAAAGCGTTGACATTTGCGTGTTAATTGCGACAAGAACTCATATATTCGTCGCATTCCGCTTGAGTTGTTTTCAGAGATCAAAGGCCAGGGCCAGAAATTTCAATAGCTTGGCTAATAAATATATTTATGCAAATGAATTCCCTTTAATTTGCACTGTTGCTGTTGCAACAATTGGCAGCACGCTGTTCTGGCTGCCCGTGACGTCTTGATTTATGCAAACGGAATTATTTTTATTACGTATACGCAACGTCAACGCTGCGTATGAGTGATTTCACAGCATGCCTAATTCTATGGAACCAGCCACGCTTAAGGGTCGCAGTCTGGGCTTGTGCGAAATACCAGCACATTAGATAAACTCAATTCATATGTGAAAAACATGAGAGGCTGCTAAGAGCACGACGCGCAATTACCCTGTAAATCAGCTGCGAACTTACCAATATATACATACCTAAAAGTCTTAAGAGGCCTTTTACTTTTGTTTATTATTTGAAAAGCTTATGGGCTTTTTATATCCTTCCTCGGCGTTTGTGTGCAGGGTATCAGACACAGCATGAATTTACAAACATGGTGTTGAAATAAGGTAGTTTGAGCTGCGAATGCAGGCAATTTAATTTATCAAGGCCTAAAATAAGCCAAAGCAATTCCGAGAACCTATAGCCTCGAGTGATGTGTGCCAAGAACCTGACTTAAGAGCAGTAGAATCTGTTTTTTCAATAATCCCAAGGCGGTTAGCCCATGCCTGTAAAAAGAAATATTTGCCGCAGACAAATTATGCTTGAGAATGACTCAATAACATTTTTCAAAGTAAAACAATTTTCTGAAACTGCAAATGGGTTTTCAAATAGAAGATTTCACATTGGTTTTTGTATGAAAATCCATGTTAATAATGGTAATAATACATTGTATTTGTTTTTATTTGAATTTCTTATTTGTAAATAATTTTGCTAGCGACCATTTACATTATAATTCCGCATAACATCATCATGGAATTGTAGTTTTTTTTTATTTATATTTAATTTGTGTTTTTTTTTTTTTTTAATAAATGTAAGCAACAATATTTCTATAGACTACAAAATGGAATGTTTTTTGTTGATTTACAGCCTCGATTGCCAGTCTGGTAATTAATGCAAATCCTGATTTCATTTCATGTTTTTATTGCTATTTTTCACGCTCGTTTTTATTGTTATTGCAACAAGAGCTCAAATAGTTGAAGGCCAAATGGTGTAAAATGTCACCCTAAAAAAATTGTGTAAATTGTATAAATATCAGAAAAATAAATAGTTGCAACAAAATCAGAATGAATATTAATTAGACATTGACACGGCAATCGGGGCACACATTACATTCGGTACGCAATTAATAAATAAATCAATAAATAAATAAATAAGAGATTAACAATTAAATTAGACTTAAATAGGTTTAAATAATTCGCATATTCACAGTTCGATTTAACAAGGAATTGTTGACTCAAAAGATTTGATTGTACTCAATGCAGCTGCCGCTGCCCGCAATTTATCACTTCGCCGGCATATTGCACTGGGGATAGAGGCTGTGGCAATCCTTTTGATCCTGCCCATCCCGGGCAGCCTGTATGAGTCGATAGAAGCGACGCACTGCTTCATTCGCATGCGTCACGGGTTCCAATTCGCTCGTCTCTCTGCGCCAGACAAAGAGAATAGAAACAGACGAAAAGAAAAAACAGTATGAATGAAAGGAAAATGGAAAATTGCGTTAATTCAATTAATTTTGGTAGAGCAGTCAGCAACTCGACTAATTAACTTTGCCGCATCGAAAGTAAACTTTCTCTCTTGCCATTCTGATGAAAGAAACCTTTGCTTACTTTTCGGCTCCGGCCCAGGCACGTGTCCTCGTGCCTGTGTGCGTGCGGCGGAAAAAACCAAACTTAAACAGCCTCGATTTTCACACCAAGTCCGCCCCCTCTCAAGTTGGTTTTTGGTCTCACAAAATGCCATTGGGCATTGTAGTTTTGGCTTTTTAGCTTTGAGGCCTCGATAACTATGCGCACCGAATCCTCGGCAAGCCAGACAACGCTTTGCCGTGGCTAATGGATTTTCTGCCTCTGCTGCTAATGATTCAAACGAAATTCGAGTTCATATGCTGCCCCAAAAAGTAACTGAAATGTTTCCAATTGCGGCCAAATTATGAGCTCAGTCGGCAGACGTGCTTAGACAGACACACACACACCGCTTGGCAAATTGTTACAGACATTTCCATAAAATTAATGTCAGTTCATGTTTTCCATGGAATTCACTTGAAATTTCATTAAAAACAATTCCTAAGATACTCGCATTTCAATGTCAAAGTGAAGCAGCATTTTATTTAGTTGCCAGCAATTGCGGGAGGTATTCTAATTTTGGCACCACTTTGACAAAAGGCATGTCAAATTTTTGACCAGGAAAGTGGAAAAACTTCTGTATTTCCTGCGGGCTTTTCTGCCATATGGAATTTAATCTCTACAGTTTTACAGTTGAGAGCTTTTCTTGCTAGTGAATATGTGTTTGATTGAATATGTATTAATTAAAACGTGTTGTAGCCGGAATTATAATTATAATAAGTAAGAGTGTTTTACTCGGGAGTGTTCGAATAGGAGATAATATGAAACTTCGACCAACACCAAATGCTCTCGCTAGGGGGTTAAAGGGGCAAGCGTTGCTTCAAAATTAAAGATTATAAGGCTGTAGCTACATTTCCAATAAGAATTTATGAGATTTGTCGATAAGGGGCAAGTTGTCAAAATTGCTCTAGTAAGTTCTGAGAACCCTGCGTTCATACATACGGACGGACGGATGGACATGGCTGGATTGACTCGGTCTAATGCTGACTAAGAATATATATACTTTATGTTACATATATTTGTACAAATGATGGGTTGAAAATCAAGTAATTTGAAAAGTTACTTTCGATTTACAATAACTATTCAATAATAATTTTATTTTATGCGATTTTAATAGTTATTGAAAATTGAAGGAGACGTGTAAAGGCAAGTTTCGAATCCCAATTTAAGTTCACAGATGGGGAAAATAGGCTTCAACAACCGTAAACTTTAATTGGACGCTCAGAGGGAATTGATTTTAAATGTTGAAATTCAATATTAAACAAACTTCTTGTGTAAAGTGAGACAACGTAAGCAGTTTAGCCATATTCATTAGTTTTTGCCTTTAAAGTTAAAACAAGCTTGAACATATTTGTCTGCTCGCTGAAATTAAAGGACAATCGAGCTACCAATAAGCAAGCACTTTGTTTTTCTACAAGAAATTAAATAAATTAATTTGAAAAGGCTTTTAAATTTACAACAGCAAAATAATTTGTATAAGTTCTTGATTTCAAATCTTGAATATATAAAGTTAATTAATAATTAGGTTCTCAAAGATTTCGTTGGTTGACTTTAATAAAACTAGCTAACATATATTTAATTACATGGAAATTTGCCTAAAGAGTTGCCTAAGACAGACACAATTTTGTTAAAATTTCATGCCTCGCAGCTCTAATAAGCAAGTCGCAAGGGTTTTCGTGGAAACCTATAAGGACAAAATGAAAATGAGAAATGTCCAAACTGAAATGTAAATATTTACATTAAAAGAAATGTTGAAAATTGACTAGACAAAAGTCAATTAATATGTTGCCTTTATTTAAGTCTTTCGCCTAGGAATATTTCTAATAGCTTAGAGAGATATTAAATTAAATTAGCAAAAACATTGTCTTAACCAATTTTATTTGAGGTAATCGCTCAAGTTGAAGCCTTAAAGCTTGGGTTTTGCTCAGCTGCCGCCCCACTTAATAGATAAGCAATTTCTGGAGTTGCTCCTAAAAGCTATTGCCACTTTAAAACTTCTTCTCTCTGTCTCTCTCGTCTTTGGCAGCTATTTTAATTAATTTCCTAGCTGAGGCCATTGTCTTGGTCTGCAGTGGCTCCCTCAGCCCCCCTCCATCGGGGCCCAGTTCGCGGTTAGCTTTTGTCTTTGGCTCAATTTCTGTTGTTTCTTGTTGTCTGTTTTATTTCTGTTGTTTGAATCCTCCAGTGCGTCTGATAAGATTATTGAACGCACTTGGGGCATTTAATTAATGATGTGTCATTAACATAAATACTCATAAATCACACAATGCGTCCCGCTATCCCCCTTCCATTTTCCAGCTGCCCCTGGAGGTATGCAACAGTCTTGCCGCTGTCACAGGCACAATTCCTTATTTGTTGTTAAATGTCAACAAACGTGTCAACAAATTTTACGATGACAATTCACTTTCATTGTCTGTGCCATGTGCTGCGCCTAGATATCAATTTAAACAAAACAAGGCCAACTACAAAAGCCACAACAAAAACAAGTCAGGCAAGTACGGCCAGGAGATACCCTGTATTCCGCATCGAGTGCTCGTAGCTTTGCCTTGACTGCTTCACAATTGAAAAAAATTTGATCTTCTATAATATTCTAGAGAACCTAGTTCTGGCACTTTACTTTTATCGCGCCTGGAAAGTTCGAAGAAAGTTATCGATAATTTTGATGAAAGTCTAGAGAACCTAACTTTCCTAGATGTCACAAACTCTGTTCTTAGAGTTTCATTTGCAGTCTTGCGCAATACATCCCATTTATATGTATGCAGGGTATAAAATGAAAAAGCTCAAAATCTGATGATGGACAGTTATATATGCGTTGTTCGGACTTTTAGCAGAAATTGTTTTAGGGTATTAAGAACATATTTTATTTCATTTTGTGGAACTTTAAAGTCTCATACTGCGTTATGGGGCTCGGCTCAAAATTGTATGTCCATTCATGTGTTGTTAAGGTACTAAATTGTGAATGTACAGGTATTACACTTAATAAAAAACTAAAAAAAAAGAAAACAAAAAACAAATTTGTTGAACACAATCTATATAAATATATATTCAAGTGTGCTTTATACTTAGTTGTCACCTTGATTATAATGAATATATAAGGATTATTTTCATAAGCAGCTACAGCATTCGCATACACATCTAATATATTTAAAAAATTCTTGTATTGATTTTAGCATAGATTGGGAAGCTTGTTCTTTATGTGGTTTCTGGCCGACATACAAAATTGTAATGGTTCTATGAGGTCAAGCAACAAGATAGCTTAATAGGTTGGAGTCTCAAATGTGGAGGCTGATGATGCCAGAATACACATAAGTTCAGTTTGGAAATATATTGATCAGTGTGTTCAGTGCATATACCCTTTGTCATGACGTTTACAGGGTATACATATTATGAATTTATCTTGCCTGTGGCACGCATGAGTGCATCGACGTTGGCAGTTGACCGTCGTTAGTCAATTATGAGAGTGCGTTGCGTGTGGGTGGCGCCCGTTGACGCGCTCTTTGACGCCGCGGCAAGCTGGCAGCTTTCCGCTTGGCTGCCCGAGTGCAGTGCTGTGCAACATGCAGCACAAAGCAAAAGAAGAAGCTGAAGCAACAGTGACAAATGTTGCACAGATTTATGTGAGTAGGCGCACTTTCTTTGCCTTCACGCTGATGCCCATTGATTGAAAAGTCTTGTCAGCTGCTCGTCCCGTTCGTTATGCGACGTTTCAGTATGGTTCAAGTCTAAAGTTTTCACCTCAAGGGAAAACTTGCCAAATGCCAGAATGTGATGCGGCGTGACACTTTGACTGGCTGGCAGTAAAATATGTCTTGCAACTATTAGAGCACAAAGTGTGCCCAAAAGAGCCCAACTGCATTCATAACACTCGACGCCCTAATGGAGCTGACAGGTTTGGGCAACTAAGCCAAGTCTCTTGAGCCGATTTACATGATTTACGTACCGACTGAGCTCGGCGGAGATGAAGTTGCTGTGCGGACTATATGTGGCCGGGTCCTTGTACATGCTGCAGACGATGCGCTCTTTGCACAGTTCATTCTTGACGCCCAGCTGTTCGATGATTTTGTCGATCTTCAACAATATGGGACTGTAGAACGGATCGTAGTTGAGCGGATAAAGCGGCTATAAAAATAAATCGAAATAAAATTAAGAGTCGTTCAAGTGCTGCGCGTTGCCACTTTCAAACCTGTCCATCCTGCACGAAAGGCTGATGCTCCAGAATTTGCTGCTGCTGTTGAATCAGACGCTGCTCCGCCTGTATGCGTATGGCCTCCTTCAGCTGTGCAGCCAGCTCCGGCTGTAAAAAAAAACGAGTGTTAAAAGGCTTGACAAATTGATTAGCATACGAATAACTACAGCTTTTAGCCACAGCATGGGTTACTCAACAATTAACCGGATATCAGGGGCAAGTATTATTAAAAGTTGTGCTGCGATCTAGAGGCTACTTTCCAAACAATATTATTATATCTTTCATATGTAACTGTAATAACGTTTCAAAGTCCAGCCTAGTGTATGGATTGTGCTGGTCATAGCACAAAATTCATTTTTAAATTTTACTTTGGATCTTCAAAATATATACACTCCCACCGGAACTGTTCCTTGAGCAATATTTCTGTATGGTCTGCATAATAATTCAGTCTCTGATAAATACTATAGAAAAGTAATCAACAACTGATCGATTCCTTTCAAAATATGACCTATGCCTTAGCTAAAACATATCTTCCTATACTCATTTGCATATAAAAGAAGGAATAAGCTTATTCTGATATTCTCTTTAGCTAATCACCTTAAAAAATATATATATATTGCTTTGAAGAACTAATACTAACTTTATGCACTTATTTAACTTGACTTAACTTGATTTTATTTTAAATTAAGAGAAAACGAGAAGGAAAAATTAAAATAAAGAGAAGCTGGACTATTGCAGCTATTATATCCAGCTCATATAGGCCTATAGAGTTAAGTATTTCGTCCCAGACCTGAACAGAATATAAATATATTTTAATAATATACACTTAGAGTTTTCGACTTAACTTATCTAAAGTGACAACAGCTGTTTAAATATTTTTGGGCACAACTTAGCGCTAAATGCACTTATAATATCAGTTAATTGCATGTGCAAATGCTTAACTGCATTGGCGACCCACGAAATGGGCGGCCAGGTGTCGACAAGAGTGGTTGGCATACTTTCTCAACGCACTGTCGCCATCATCAACAACGGCAAGACTGTCGGGTCGGGTCGCCCAGCGGGCAAATTGTGCGATATTTGTGAAATGTGCACTCATTTAATTAAGCCCAACAGCAACGGATTTTGCAATTCAGTTGGCAGTGCGTTGGCCCTTGTCAAAGTGCATTTTAATTATGGCTTAGTTAACGTCAGGCCAGGTTTCTCGCCGCTTGGCCCACATGTCTAGTAAGACGCTACTTGAAAGTGAAAACTGCCAGCTGACCCAGTGCAGCTAAGCAAAATATGTGCATAGCACTTAACAGTCGGACGACAATGCAATTTGCAAAGAGACACTAAACAGGGTCTGTCGCCGGCTGACAGTCTGCCATTCGAGCTGGGCACAAATAAACGTTTGTAACTAGGAAAAACTATTTACACATTAAGAAAAGTGTCAATAAACACTTGAAGCCCAGACGTTGCACTTGTCTGCAAGTGAAACTTCAGCTGCTTGATTGACTGATTGATTATGTTGTCCCACAGCCAGACTTTGCGAGAAAAGCCATCTCTCAATCATTCTCAATGCTTGCTGGGAGTAATTATGCATTTAAAACCTGTCATTATTATGCCCTTACAGCTGGTTACGAAATGAAGGGTCTTAAGCGCTTAAGCACATTATATATTTGGCAACTAATTAGCTCCGTTCTGTGTGTGTGTGCGTTTGCTTCAAAGACATCCCCATTCAAATTGGCATTGATTAAACGTTTGCATCTAAATTGATGCATTTTGGGTAGATTTACAGGAGCTACAAAAAATCAAGCTTGGAATAAAGGTTCTTGCTTAATATTGAAAGATTACAGATCATTTTTCGGATACCTTCTTAGATTCTCATTTTAATTGAAAACAATTAATTTCTATGCTGAAGTAACTCAGGCTGCATTTCTCATAAAGTCTGGGATAACAGAACGGTTGTTGACTTTTCTCAGCTGCGTTTCAATACCTGATATTCATTTTCAACAGGTAACTAAACGACAATCTTTTAAGGATATTTAATGTTCGGTTTTAGTTTTAAAGCTCGTTTATGCGGCTTCTGTGCAATTGGCATGTGCCAAACTTTATGCAACATTCTCTCGCGCACATCCATCAGAGGCAGCTTAAGAATTAATTAACTATGTTGCCACATGCTGTGGCAGCTATACGCACCGAAAGTTGTTGTTCTAGTTGTTGTTGCTGTAGTTGTTGTATTTGTTGCTGGTTGTTGTTCCGCGCTGGCTCGTATTGCGCCGCAAATTTCGCAGCAGCTGTTAGGCCTGGTCCGTGTCCTGGTCCTGGCCCCGGTCCAGGCCCGGGCGCCTGTCCTTGTCCCGGCGCTGCGACATATACCGGACTGTGGTGTCCAAATGCCGGCCTTGAACTGCAAATGGCATTCAATATGGAAATGCGTATGTTAATGCGAGTTAACAAATTTGTTTGGTTAAAAGGGGTAAACGGATTCTGTGTAAATGTAAGTGAATGAGGCAGCTCCAAGTCCAAAAAGTGTATATAATCTCTGTTAAATTCAAAGGCAGGTCTGTGCGTCTCGAAAACGTAAAAGAGCTGCAGAAATATTTCTATTCTCTTATATAATAGGAACAGCAAGTTATTATTTTCTTTCGATAAATTATGTTATGTAATATTATGTGACCAAATAATTAAGTAGAATCGTAAAGTATAGGCAGTTTTTCAGAGATATGGCCTTGGTATGCACGCATATTTCGATGCCATATTTATGATGTGAAAATTTCGTACGGATCGGTTCATGAATAGCCAAGTTATTTGGGTCAGTATTTGGCTAAATGTGAGGCTAAGGAGAGAAGAAGCATAACTGTTGCTTGTGTGCGTGTATATATGTGTGCTTCTGTGTATGTATGTGTAGAAGAAAACCGGAATGAGTTTAACAGCAGCTCGGAGCTGGGTATAGGGCATCTGCTAGTCGTGCACAGCCGTCTAGAGCAGCCTCATTTGTTGTTTGTTGTTATTGTGTTTACAAATTTGAATTTCGATTTGCATTTGCAGTGGGTTAGCTACGAATTTTAGGTAATTACAGTGTTTATTCAGTTTAGTGGGCGTTAGTATGAGTGTGTGTGTGTGTGTGTGCGTGTGTGCGTGTGTGTGCGTGTGTGCGTGCCTTGTTTGGGCAGTTGATACCTTTGTTTGTCCAGGTTTTGATATTTATTTAAACTCTGACTAGAGGCTTGTGCCTTTTGATGACTGATCTGTTGTTGTTGTTGTTGTTGCAGCTGCAGTTGTTGTTGTTGTTGTTGTTGCGTCGGCGGCCTTTGTTGCTGGTTGTGTGGCCAACGTTGTTGTTGTTGTTGTTGTTGTGTGGGCGGCTTGGTGTGTGTCTGTGTGGTGCCCAAGCCCCAGGCATGCAGCTCGTTTGCATCGTTTGTTGTGTGCGGCTTAAAGTAATTCGCATTATCCCCGACTTGTGCAACGCGATTTATATCGCCAATATATCTGAACGTGATGAAGTTGTGGTTGCAAATGTGATGTGAGTGTGTGTGTGTGTGCGTGTAGATGTGTGTGTGTGTGTGTGTGTGTTTAGAGACAGACATTTAACAGAGTTGAACACAGAATATTATTTAAATGCCGCAACTTACTCAGAGCCCAGACCGGGACCGCTGTTCTCCCAGGCGCCTTCGAAGTGCTCCAGTCCTGGCCCGGGGCCGTAGGTCTCGTGGACGGGCGCGCCATGCAGATAGGCCGAGGGATGTCCCTTGGGCGGATGCGTGTAGATGATTTCCGGCACCGAATGATGCTCACCGCTATGCCAAGGCGGCACCACCTACGAGAGAGAGAGAGAGAGAGAGAGAAAGGGAGAGAGTGGGAGGGAGGCATATGACATTAAAGTTGGCACTTAAATTGCACGAGCTGCCTTCTTAAGTAGCATTAAGGTACATTACTCGCGTTTTTTTTTTTTTTTGCCCTTTGTGTGCTTGCCACCTATTTATAGCTTCGCACTCCAACAGATGCGCATTATTTTGGTTCGACGAGTGCTCGAGTTTGATTTCGGTTCAGTTCAATGACTTTTAAATTGTCGTAAATAATAAATACGCGCTCGGTTGCCGAGATATGTGACCAAAAGCAACCATTGCCAGACACAGTTGAATATACATTCTTTTTGGCTGTGAACTCTGTTTGCCTGATTTTTACCCTGTACACAAAACAACAGCTCTGGATAGGCATGTCAAGAGTCTTAGAAATAGGAGTTGAAGAATTCATCCTTAAGTTTCATGCTCATTAAATTTCACGCTAAGTTAAGATTTGAACCGGCGACCTCACATGTGTTGCTCCGACACTCAGGCACGTTACAAAGCACATTGATATGGCTACGTGTTTTGATATTCATATTCTTTACGAATATTTTCACCCACTTGGAGTTCGAAAGACCCTTAGTTGCCGCTTTCAGTCACTCAACGGGCAGCTTCCTTAAAGTATCCTACACTTTTCTAGCTCTTACTATTCGTCCTGCGTGTTAATCACCAATCAGTCAGTCAGTCAGACAGACAGACAGACAGACAGAAGCGTCAAGGGCATTTGGTAGTCGAGCAGCCTCGTCTACCCACATGCTTGTTTACATGCGCAGCTCGTTTTCTCCATAATTTGTGTCATATATTTCAGTTTTTAGTTGCTTCACGTGTGTGCAAGGGACACACACACACGCAGGATTTTTGCCAACTCTTGGCAGAGGCGAATAAGAAAAATGGTGACAATTTTTGGCACATCACTAACAGATGACAGGCGCCTCGAATTACGACAGGCAAACTTTGGGCGCAAAAGCTGAGTTATATATGAGCACTGTAATATGGCGAAGGCGTCATAGCATAATTTAATTTATGAATACCAGACTTTTCTCTCTACACAGCCCAAATCACGTGGCTATTAGCTTAAATCGCGCGAAATATTAAAGCTGCGACAAGAAAGCTGATGGAAATGGTTTTTTTTTTGTTTTTTTAATTAAATAAACAGTGTCAGCGCGAGTGCTTATAACAGATTGTAGTTAAGAAGGTCGTTTAAGGGATGATTATTCTATACAATTCTTAGGTTATGTGGAATAAGCTGATATGGCTATGGACTTAAAGCTTGAAAAGGTATTAAAGCTGCGACAAAAGAGCTTTATTCTAAAAAGTTTTTTAATTAAATTTACAGCGCAAATGCGATAAGAGATAAGAGATTATAAAAGGTGAAGAGATGTCGCAATGGACGATTTTATTCGATAAAAGCTTAAAGTTCTTATGATGGATGCACTCAGTCATTTTTAGGTTTTGTATTATGAGCTTATGTGGATATAAGCTTAAAGCCCGCAAAAGTGTTAAAGCTGCGACAGGAAAGTTGATGAAGTAGTTCAATATACTATGAAAATATTAGCTAGAAATATTAAAGCTTAGATGAAAAGGTCTCAGGAAACGTTTCAATAGTTGCAAATTGTAGCTAATATTGAGATTATGTTGCAGATTGAGGTTAAGCAGCATTTTGCTGATTGAGTTGCGAGTTTCCTTTAAAATTATTGCACTCCAATAAACATTTAATAGTCCAATAAAAACCAGATGTGTAGACTGTCTAAGCTCTTTCACCTATAGCTTTGGATCGTTTAAGCCATCAATATGTGAACGAGACAGACACATAAGCTAGACTTCAAAAGTATCTCATCAGTTAATAAAATCTTAAGCAATTGCTGACTTAAATTCCAGTCAGCCGGGTGAACAAACGGGCGCTGAGTCATGTGTATCTTGAAAGTTCAAGCTTCCAATTATCTAGGCTTATTGTCATATTTACAGCGCGACAAATTTGTACTACGCATTCATATGACGGATATGTGAACTGAGTTTGAGTGCGAGTGCGTTCGAGTGTCTGTTCGTGAGTGCGTCTCTAATCCTTGCCAGCGACAGAATTTAATTTGAGCTATGAATGAATAACAGGATTTCATTTGATGAAATGTCAAGCAGTTATCTCTATGGAATTTCGCTGTGCATGTTTGTTTGAGAGTGTGTGTGTGTGTGAGTGTGTGAGTGTGCGGCACATCTTTAAGTTGAACCCGGCGTTTGTTTCGAGTTCCTTGACATTTTTGGTAGCTAAATTCAATTAGCCAAAATTGTGTTTCCATGCATTAGACATATGTCATGTACTTGTTTAATTGCCTTTGAAGAGCTCTGCGGGGGCGGCTGTGTACAGTAATCAAAATGGGCGCGTCTGGCATAAATAAAATAAATGACAGCAAAACAAAAACAAAATAACAATAATGCTTAAGGCGGGCATGTTCGATAAGGAGATACCCTATACCCTCTCTATACTAATTCACGCCCAAACAATACAGACAGGGACACATAAATGCTGCTGTTGTTCTTCTTCTTCTCTTGACCCCACTCTATAAGAACGATGCTCCCGATTAACAATCCGATTTCTTTAAAATTTTGAATGCATAAATAAGACGGAGAGACTGTTCCCGAACTTAAGACCCTGCTCTGCCTACAAGAAACAATTGCATATTATAGATTAAACCCATTTTATCACTTAACAATGAGTTCAGGGTATAAAGAAATGAAATTCAACTCTGGAAACCGAAAACAAAATAATAAAGATCGTGGGCGGCAAGATTACTAAGAAAATGAATTGATAAAAGAAAGTGAGACAAAGAGAGCCTAGTTTATCTCTCTTAAGTACCTACCGTGTGATGATGATTGATCAGATGATGATGATGATGGTATTTGGTGCCATGATAGGATTGCTGGTAGTAGGAGCACAGCTTGAAGAGATGCGTCAAGGCCGGAAAGAGGAAGAGCAGGAACTTGAGCAACAGCTTCTTGGCGGCCCCAACGCCAATCACAATGGGCAGCAACCAAAATAACTTGATCTTGATGATCTTTATAATAAGCACCAATGCAATAAATGACAGCAGCAATTTGTTGCGTAGAAATTTTTCTAAGGAAACGAAAGTTGCAATCGATTAATAAATATGTTTTTTTTTTTTTTTTTCCTTCCGAAAGTGCACTTTCTGCAATTTCTGGTCCAGTATGGCAAGTTTTTAAGAGTCGTGCTTGTCAAAATAAATAAAATAAATACATTACTTACGTATCTTCTTCTTGATCATGGCACCGGCGAGACGCGCCTGGACAAGCTGCTTGGGTATCAGCTCCAGCTTTGCAATGACCCCATTGCCTTCAATGGAGCGCGGGGAGATGCGAAATGTGGCTCCATTGAAAATGATTTCGGGCAGATCTACTTCCACATCATGTGTCATGGCAAATTTGATTGTTTTGCCGTACAGCGCATTGGACACTTCCTCGATGGGGCTTTCAGGACTAGCTGCAGGTGTGCAGGTGTGCAGGTGAAAAGAGAAAAGCCAGTTGAGTGAAAACCATGTGCGAAAACTTAACTGACAGTTCTATGCTAATGAAAGTTGTCTGAAGATCGAAAATACTTGCTGCTTGCATAATATACCAATTGAATACCAACTGTTGTCTTGGCTGAAAAAATTATTCGGCTAAAGAAGAAATCAGCTGCTTGGCGCCGTGACTCACGTCGCATGCGAGTCGCGTTTTATATTTCTCTACACTCAAAATACGTTGAAATCAAATCAAAATGCGGCAAGTGAAAGTTGGGAGTGTGAACGTGCCAAGCAAATGATAAACAAAACGCATGCAAAGAATCGAATGCCGAACGAGATGTGAAAAAGTTTCCACAAAAAACCGAAAAGCCGAGAAAAAAGTAAGCCAGCCAAACGAAAGCGAAATGAACCAAGGGCTCTTACATAAGTGCCACACACATATATTTAAATAATAGAGCATTAAACTAATTAAGAATTGGGTACACTTAGCGAAAAAATCGCCTAAAAAGCGAATCAATTTCAAAGCGCCTTGCTCTTCAAATTTCAAATACATTACTTTTCTTCTTGACCTAAGAAGTAAAATTAAAATGTAAATATTAAAAAAAAGAAGAGAATTTCTCTTTTAGCCGAAAGGACTTATTATAAGAGTTTTCATACTCGAAATAAGCGTTAGACGTTTCTGGGCTAGAATACTCTCACTTTGGGATAAGCAAAAATATAATTATTAAACTTCTTTAATTGCCAAGTTAAAGTTAAACAAAAAAGAAAAAAAGTCTTAAATTAATCAAAAAATGCTTATTGGCAGACTTTTCATACTCGAAAATATTGCTGGAAATGAGTTCTTAAGTCTTTAATTGAGGCATTTTGTGTTAAAAAAGTATTCATTATTCGTTTCGTCTTCAAATGTCCTGTATTTTTCTCAAATTTTCTTAAAAGAAGTTTCTATCATATTGAAACCTAATTTTTCTTAGAATTCACACACACAGAGTTATAAACATTGCTGTCAATTCTTGTATTAATTATTTTTGTTATTAAAATTTTTTTAATTTAATAATTTTGTTCCCAACTTAAGAGATTTATCTTCTTTTTCGCTGAGTGTATGCAAAGCTAACTCGAGACTTACCGGAACGCGCCTCATTGGCCGTCTCCTCCGGCTGCTGCTCCGGCTCGTATTGCACTTGATTCCTGTAGAACTTCAGGCGCTGCGTGATATTCACATCCTGCGTATCCAGGGCGCCATCCAGATAGCTGTAGACGTTCTTCTGGAAGCAGGACATGTCCGGCTTCAGATAGCAGTCGCGTATGAGCCCATCCCAGAGCTCGTTGCCGCTGGAGAAACGTCGCGCCAAGCGCAGCAGCAGCGAATCGCTTCCGTTCAGCCGCTGCGACCTTGTCGCATTCACAATGGGCCGCCAATCCTTTCCAGCTGCTGTCGCTGTCGACGTCTCTGCTGCTGCTGTCTCTGTGGTCGTTTCAGGTGTTAAAGGTGTTGTGGAGAGCTGGCTTTCATCCGCATTGACTAGGCTGGCGCACTGGATTAGGCAGAGGAGCGCGGCCAGCAGCAGCAGCAGCAGCCAATGCGGTCGGCATTTGTTCGACTTGTTATTGGCCATGTTGGCGCGATTTCTATTGGGCCGCCGCCGCCGCGTTGAGGATGTGCACTGGCTCTCACTTCTTGGCCAATTAAGGCTGGCGCAGTTTTTGCTATTTGTTGCAGGGTTGCCCATTTTCAATTGGCAAACAATTTGACACCTTAGCGGCCAATTGGCGCTGTCTTGAACTATTTGACTGTGGCCAATTAACTGGGCCAAAAGGGGCCAAACAATCAACAACAACTGTTGCCGTCAGGCAATTTGTTGTTCCGCACAAAACCCGATTAACACGCAAACACAGTTATTATTATTGCTAAATTGTAGAATTGATTTTCACAAATACTTTTGGCCAGTGCGTGGCACGCGCAACTTGGCTTGCTTTCTTTTTCTTTTTTATGTATTGAATATTGTAATTTCTGTTGTTTTTGTCGCGCTGTTTGCAATTTCGCTGCTGCATTTAGCACATTTTCTATTTGTTTTACCAAATTCAATTTCAACAGTGGCCCAGCTTGTCGCGGTCAGCTGAAATTACCTCATTTGTGCGCTAGACACGCCTACGGCCTAACGGTTGCCGCGTATTTATTTGAACAATGCCTCGAAATTCACTTTAAACGCGTGCGCATGCGTGCGCGTCTGACCGACAACTGACTCAGTCGCTCGCAATGCCAGTCAAGTTCATGGCGCGGCTAAGCTGCCGGCTCTTCCACTCACTCTCTCTCTCGTGCTCAACTTTCGTTCAGTTGCGCGCTTCGTTCAGTTTCTGCATTGCATTGACTGCGTCTGCTGTAGCGGTTGCTGCTTCTTCGTTTGCACGCGGAATTGCTTACTTTAAATTCTTCCGCAGTGCTAACTGTAGTCGCTTCTCTCTGTTGTTGCCTGCTTCGTTATGTGTTGTTGTTGTTGTTGTTGTCTGAAAGTTGTTTCAGCTTTGTTTACATTTTCCAGTTAGTTGTGATTGTTTCAAGAGCAGTTTGTCCGCTTATTAGACGCTCTTGCTGACGGCCAAGCGCGCTTTTCACGGCCTTTTCAGATTCGCCTGGAACGTGTTTTTCCTATAAAGGCAAAAATTGTTGTGAGTGGTTTTCGGAAATTACATATATCTATATAATAGGCCAGTATGTCAGGAGGGTGTTCGAACCAAATTGGCATGGTTAACGGGCTGGGCAAGCGTATTTGCTAGACGAGCTTAAATATTTAAATATCTCCGAACTATATGAAACTTGAATCAATTTTCTATTTTTACTCCGAAACATGGGCTAGTCGGAGCAGCAGGTTTTCTTAATGGAATCCAATGACAAAAACCGTTATTGGCATAAGCTAATAGACACATCTTCCGCTTTCTTGTAGACACATCTTCCACTTGTTTTGCTTACTTCATCATACACTCAGAGAAACAACTAGGAGCTTAAAGATCAAAATTTCTTTAACTTAGCATCTAAAAATTAATATCCAAAATATTGTTCCCTTCTTGAATTTGTATTAGTTTGATTTAATATTTTATTTAATTTATTTTAAGTTAATTTGGGATGGCTTAGAATGAACTCTTAATTAAATGTGTGTGTTACCTATGTCGGTTCTTATTGATTGAGCCTACTTTTTATATTTTAATTAAGACTTATTACGCAAAACTTAATTGCCTTTGCATATTTAACCTCCACACACAGTCACACACACGCACACACACACACTTACACACACATGTGATTTATGCTCAGATGTAATCGACCGCATCGTTTATAAAGTCTTCTATCGGAAAATCAATTACATTAAATCACGCACACAGCTGCAGACAGCATTATTAGTTATGCCAATAATGTGCATATACACTCACACTTACACACACACATATAGATATGCTTATTTTATAATGTGCGACGGCCACGCGGCGTATGCGCAATGTTATCAACATGTGTTTCGAGTTGCAGCTGCGATTGCGTTTATGTCTGTTCGTATTAAATACACATTCTTTATGAATTACCGCTGCGCAACTTATGCAATCAAACACGAAATGGCCATAAACCATTTCAGCCAAAATGTCATCAAAATAATGGCCAACAAACAAGTTTCGGGCGCACAGAACAGCCCAAGTACGAGACGCTAGTTTGCGTTACGTATGAAAGCAGTTGCATGTTTTTAATACCCTTCCCGAGGGCATTGTGATTGTGTTGTGAAATGTGAAGCAGAGATCCACGACTCCATAGAGTATACAAAGTCTCGATCAGTATGAATAAGTATCTATGCCAGAATCGGACAAATCGAAGGCACTCTATCATATGGGAATTATATCAAAAACTATTTTATTTCTTTCTTGAAGCTCGACATTAATTTCATTATATGAAAATCTAAGCTTATCAGCATCAGACCACTATATCAAATAGCTGCTATAGGAAAAATCGGTCGAAAATTAGGGTTTTTAGTAAAAGATCTTTTTACTTTTTAATATATGTTATCTAGTCCAAGCCTGGCATATATGAGTTTTGACATGCAAACCACTTGAGAGTCAAGTCTCTTCAAGATCAACCATTTCTTATACTAGAGAAAATTACGATAGCTGCAAGAGTGATTAAACTTCGGCGTGGCGAAGCCAGCCGTTTTTTGTTAGCGCTTAATTTCGTTTGGTCTAGCGGCTAACGGTTGGTGGTCTAAGCCAAGAGCGGTCAGCGCGGTTCAAAGTTCAAAGCTAAACTAGAACATTGCGTGAATTTTCGGCGCGAGTGATAAGCACGTTTCTGTCATGGTTATATAAGATGTCTTGGTTTAAGCTGGTTATAAATTTACGTAGTCCGTGTCTTTGGCTTTCACTTGATACAACTGATTGCTCTGGCAGAGTGATTTAATGAGATCTTTCATAATGGCACTTGGCTGGCAAAATGGCCAAAATGCTGGCATATTTTTAATTTGGTAACAAGCTTTCGCTTTGCGCTGTGGCGGACAGTGAGATATTTTATTGCATTTTTATGTGACAATTTTTTTTCCTTGTCGAGCAGACAGCTCAACAACAACAACAACAACAAAAGCAACTACAACAACTACAGCAGCAACAGCTGCAGCTACAGAATCCAAATACCAGTCGCTTGTCGAGTCTGGCTTCACATGTTTTTACTGCTTGTTATATAAAATCTTTGAGATTGTTAGATATCTGAAACTTTATCTCTGTTAATCTTGTAAACTTAATAAATCAAATTGTGTTAAGTTAGTACAATATTTTTTTAAATAACTTAACTAACTTTCAGTTTCAGCTTTAATCGCATGTTCGGCGCTCGAATCTAATAGATTTTTAATTTCACTTTGTGCGTGTGTATCTTTCAGTTCGTCTATCTTTCAGCTTGCCTTTCAGTCTGTCCGTCTGTCTGTCTGTCTGTGGCAATTTGTAAGGCGATCGCGTCTAGCGTGCAAATATTTTGATAAACTGTAGCTAACTTATTTTCTGTTTATTTAATACCCTAAGCGAATCGAATTTGGTTCGCAAAGGGTATGCTGAGCTTGTGGAGGTGTATGTAACAGGCGAATGGAAGAGTCTTCGAGCACATCAAATATGCTAACTATAAAAGTTATAGATATGACATTTGATATAGTATATATGGTATATATGAAAATATCGAAAATATAATATCGATGAATTTTGATTTTGAGCATATATCGAGGAATATAGCTCCAAATTACACCAAACTTGCCGTTTAGGTTCTTGTATTGCATACCTCTACCGATTTTCAACAAAACTCTCATTTCTCTAGGTAGTTGGGTATAGTTGGCTTGGAATACTTGTTAAGGCAGCTCGGTTCAGGGTTTTGTCTACCTCGTAGTCGGGCATGCCCGATTCGAGCACTCTCCCTTTTTTTTAGTTGTTGTCTGTTTGCATTTAAGAGAAATCTAGCTTGGAGGTAGGCGACTGCAAAAGCGAATTCACTTTCGTTGCGGTTAACCAACCCGACTTACTAATGGCTTATTAAGCCACAAATAGATTGGCTTAATTTTTACGAGCACATTTATGTGCAGGCGAGTGCAACGCATTTAATGTGGATTCGCAGTTAAAAGTATTCCCCATCTTTTATTATTTTTTGTGTTGTTTTGTTTGTTCGATAAGTGAAGCCAAACGGCAAAAACGTGTTGATAAACCGACCATAAAAACCAACAGGCGACACAGTTCGCACATTCCCAATGCCAATCTACTGTGGCCATACACTTGCTCAGAGGGGGTGGTATGCTGCCTGAAGCGAGAAGGGAGGGAGGGGGGTGGGGGTAGTATTAAAACAATATCAGAAGAGACGCACTTGGAATCAATTTAGTGTATATACGAACAAATGTATGGCATTTATATGCTCAATATTCTAAGCTGAATTGACAATTGATTTTTTCCATTTTCAACTATCAATGGGAAAAACAAGATGAAAATTGAGTTCTTCGATGATATATGTATCTTGTGTTGTTGCTATTTATTAACTATGTTAGAGTATTTGCGTAAATATATGTATGTGTATGTATGTATATGTTATATATGTGCATGTATTTTTTATGCATGTTTGTGTGTACGGATGCATGCATGAATGTGTGCATGCATGTGTGTATATATATGAATGTGTATGTATGCATGAATATGGATTTTGTATGCTTGTATGAGTTTATGAATATGTGTGTACATGTATTTATGCATGAATGTGTGTATCTATGTATGTATGTATGCATACATGTATGTTTATATCTATGTATGTATGTATGCATGCATGCATGCATGCATGTATATGTATATGTTTGTATGAATCAATGTATGCATGTGTTTATGTATGTTAGTATGTATGTGCATGTGTACGTGTATATGTTTGTGTATATGGATGCATGTATTTTGATTTGTGTATGTATGTATGTCTGTATGCAAATACATGAGGGTGTAAGAGTGGAAGTATGCTTGCATGAAGTAATATATGTTTGTATTCATGTAGGTAAGTTTATATGCAAGACCAAGTTTACGTCTAGTTCCGTAGCAAATGAAAAAAAAAATATTATTAGATAATTTCGCGATTCTCATGAATTCAAGTAAGTCTCGTAGGCTTTACTAGAAGTGCAGAAGCCAGCGACTTCAAAATTGCAGGAGACGGCTTTAACTATTAAGGAGGTCGCAGCTTGAGAATAGGAGGAGACGGCGGCCTCAACAATGAGGAAGGCGGCGTCTTAAACAATGAAGGCGTCATTAATTATAACATAATCTTTTGCTATTAAATAAACATAAGAAAAATTACAATCGTATACATGCATATTGGTTTGCATGTATTTAATACATACATGTAGGTTTTTATATGATCTGAAAGCTAATTATTGCTCTATTATGTGATTCTCACTAATTTACGTAAGTTTGCTTATTTTAGCCAATTAACATTATCTCTTTTCTGTTCTTTCAGCGATGTGTTTCTATAAAAGTTCGTCTCCGTCAATTAAAAGCAGACGATAAAATAATCGTGCGTGTGAATTTACAGGTAAGTACGTAATTACAAATGTATATTTATTAGCTAGTATACCCCGGCCTTGCCCGGGGAACGTATACAAATGTATTCAATAAGTTATAATGTAGATCTTTAAATATAAGTTTGAAGCAAATTGAACAATGCTATGCTTTTATGCTTTTAGTTTTAGATGTCAAATTGATCTAAAAGCCAAACCACGAACAAAAGTGGAACATTTTAATCTATATCTAGAATACTTGAGGGTACCATTTTCACATGAATTTTGACCAAGAATAATTTTGCCAGATTTAGATGCCAAATCGATCGATACTCTGCATCGTTTCCAAGCAATTTGCTGGTCGAGTTCTCTCAAGCACTTACTTATTTTAAGTTGAAGTTAAGCAAAAGAAAATCGTATTATTTTAAATTCTAAATTTTAAATTAGGACTCGAACCGGCCAAATCATCAATTGTAATTGTAATTGTGAAGCTAATCGGACGAAACGCGCCTCTTTCGTTGACAACTGTGAAGCATGTGTGAAATATTCGACAAGTTTTTCGAAAATGAGCTTAAAACTGACCGGTCAGTCAGTTAGGGCAGAAGTGAAGGTTTATTTAACTTGACTTAAAAGCATACCCAGCGAAGGTTAACTAACTCATATATATGCGAATTTCCTGTATTGCACCGAATCGAAATGCGCCCCACATATATATTTTTTTCCTTTTTGCTGCCAATTGCATGCATGTTGCCTGAACATGACACTTGCCCCTCGTGGATACAAGGCCCATCTTAGACTTGTGCTGGTCTCTGAATGCTGCAACCATTTGAAATGCAGCTTCATGTCAGGCAAGGCTCCAGAGTATAGGCGACAGTCGCCCGCATGCTGGCACAAAGGAGGCCAATCTAAATTGGGCACAGGTTCAGACCTTGGTAGCAGGCGAAAAGCCGAAGCTAATCCCTGGGCTTGTCCTTGACTTAGCCCAATTGGGGGCCAGATAAGTTGCTGGCAGAACCTCGTGTGCCTGGCAGCTTTGCTGGGCCTTTGTCGCTCGAATTAGGATGTTGGGATGAACTTTGTTTACGACTCGACTTGACCGGGAACTAGTTCATATATATAGTTATTTATATAAATAGATATGTGTCATTTGTTGAATCGCAACTAACTTTTGGCATGACAAGTAAAATATGTTTTGGCATTTGTCGCTGCTGCGTTAAACATGACTTGAGGCATAAACTCTATGTAAATACTGATTAGTGTTTAACAACGAAATACTGAATGGCATGCCAGCAGCTTATAGCCTGGCTAATTGCTAGAATAATGTGCACGCTTTATTGTTGTAGTAATTATTGTTGTTGTTATTGTTGTTGTTTGTTGGGTATTAGAGCATTACTCTGATGCTCATCTGGCTTGCGCTAATAACTCAAGCGAGCGTAGAACGACAATGAAATTCTGGCAGTCAGAACTTTAATTAAGTGTATGCAGACATGTGGTGGTAAGCCGCATGCTACATGCCACATTTGGGGGCAAGACCAAAAGTTTCACTTTTACATGCGCATTGCTCGTAATTTGCGCTGGAGAAATGCAGCGACAAAAAAGCGGGCGAACAGGTTTATGTCTTGTTGTTTTTATTGTTGTTGTTGCACAGCGGAAAGCCCACGTTGTTTTTTTTAATAAGCCGCCGGACGTCAGCCTTGGCCCCTGCAGGCAGCTGTTTTTTGGCTAGTCATGCAGTCAGTTGGCCGGTTGCAGTCAAAACTGGGTCAAATGTTTGCATATTGGCTTTTACTTACAGCTACAGTTGCAGTTATTAATTTTGATTGTGTGGCAATCACACACACACACACACAATCACACACACACACACGCGCTTATCAATTAACGCATACTTCAAACTCGCACTTTTGGTCTTGCGTGACGTCTAATTAGCAACAATTGTTGCTGCTGTTATTTTAATAGTTACTTTCGCTTGTTTGCACAGCAAATGGCAACAAATTTCACGAATTTCATATTAAGAATTAATCTTGTCAAATAACTAGCGACGGCCTCTTTCACTTTTACAGCCTGGCCTTTTTTCTTCAGATTTATCTCGCGGTTGTTTTTGTTGTTGTTTCACACGCACAACGCGACGAACGGTTGTTTGTCGGCAACTGTTGAGCACCAACTGAAACGCGCTGCCAGCCGCATCGAACCGGGTTCCAGCTGCCAGATGTGGCCAACATTGGGTGCTAGCGATTCGGCTTATAGGCCAATAGCCGTAACAGAGAGCGCAATTTAAATACGCCTAAAAGTATGCTGCACAATTTTTAACATGATTTTAACTTATTATTTTTGGCTTAGTTTAAGTTGAAACAGGAACTTTCTACAATTTTGACTAATACTTTCGCAGAGATATGAGATATGAATAGTGAAGCTCGTAAGAGCTGAGCTTGAAGAAAATATGGAAATGGAAAAGAGAATCTTTTTTCCATACAAGTTGCAGAATAAACTTGAATAAGAAGTTGGTCGACACATTTTGTAGGGGGAGCACAGTGTAACCTATAAATTACGAGTTTGTTTGAAATATTCCAATTAAAACAAGAACCTTCTTGTCAACCGATCGTTTCGACAATTTTACTGCCTTTGCACTTTGGCTAAGGTACTATGCAATTCACACACCGCCTGCGATTTGAAGAGGGATTGTTGTTTGGCAAGTGCATTTTTTTAAATATTATATTGCATTAAATAACACTCTCTTCTTTACAGACAATAATAAATTAAAAATGAAAGTAACTATGGAATGGAAAATTCAATTTCAAAATTCTGGCTTTATACCTAAATCAATTTTCCTAAAGGTTGGCTCAGTTGGGTTTGTGGCTGGTGCTGCGGTTGTTGTTGTTGTTGTGCCTAGTTTTTGCATCCATTTTCTTTTTAAGAAATTCTTGAATCTAAGCGTTGCAATTTGTGGCGTTTCCTCTTCGGTCTCAAATGCAGAATTCTCGGTGGAAAGCTGCGCCTGTGTCCTTATGGCATCTGTGTTGATTTGTTCCGCTTTGGCGGATGTCGTTGTTTCAGCATGATTCTTTATTTCAGACTCCTCTGCTGTGCAAAACCATGACACACTGAGCAGTAGAAACAAAGCTAAAGTTGACAAAGTAAATTGGAATAATTTGCCTTAGACAGACAACTAATACACTTACTTGTATAAAGGAACTTCATCGTGGCTCGCGAGCGACTAATTTCCCTCTGGCTTACTACGGCCTTTAAATACATTGATATGCCAGCACTAAAACATTTAGATTAGTAAACTTTAAAAGTTTAATTCGCTAACTGTAAAACAAATAAGCGAGAGCATCTGCTAATATGGCCAGAGAAATTGGCAAAACTGCAAAGTTAGCACAAATGAAAGTGAACTAATTATTCGTTGTGACGTCGTAAAATTATTTTTTTATTTTATATGTAGAAAATATCTTGTTGTTAAGTGATTTTTTTTTTTTTTTTTTTTTTTTTTTATATTTTGTTTATTAAGAAATCTGGTATCCTGTTACTCTATGTTAGCAACTTTTATCAGAGTGACATAATTACTTAGCTTAGCGATGATTGTGGTTTTACAATTAGTTATACAATTAGGTTAACAGATTACAGAAACATATTTTGGTGTAATTAACGAAGCTTGTCACCTATACATAACGATCGATTAGGTCGGTTGGGTAGGTCCTCTTCAGTCGCCTTCTTCTTCGCCTCCTTAGCAGGCTCCTCGCCAGGATGTTTGGATGGTTGTGGAGCTTTGTTGAGTAGCTCGCTGCTTGCCTGTTGACTATGTCGCCCACCATTGGAACCTTGAGGTCCTTGGCGATGTCGCGTGTGCGAATATACCATTCGGCTCCAGTTATTTTGCGCAGGGTTTTGGCCTGAATGATGCGAATTTTGTTCAGGTGTGTTTTTGCAGCTATACCGTAAACTTGAAGCCCGTAACGCCACACTGGGGCAAGGATTACCTTGTAGATTAGGACCTTGTTTCGGAGCGAGAGTTTGTTTTTGGAGTTGAGGAGCCAGCTCATTCGCCTTATCTTAGATTTGATGTTGCTCGTTACTGCAGAGACGTGCTTACTAAATGTAAGTCGTCTGTCGAGAGTGACACCTAGGTACTTGTGTTGACGATATTGCTCTAGAAGCTCACCATGAAGAAAAAGTCCGGGGCATGAGTCCTTGCGTAGAGTGTGGGTAACCGTGGCGCACTTTCCAGGGTTCACTGCGATGTTCCATCTACAAGCCCAGTTTTCAAATCGCTTGAGGTATTCCTGCAAGAGGTCAGTTGCCACGTACACACATTTGTTTTTTGCAAGGATTGCCGTGTCGTCAGCAAACGTGGCCACCAGAAGGTCCTGCCGATCATTCCGTCTGCTTGCATTTGCTGTGGGCATGTCATGTGTAAACAGGCTATATAGCGTGGGACCCAAGACGCTGCCTTGTGGAACGCCCGCTTTTATGCGTTTGGTTTGAGAGGCTACTCCATCCTGCACCACTTGAAAGGTTCTCTCAGTTAGGAAGCTCGCAATGGTGCTAAATAGCTGCGGATTCAATTTGTCCTTTATCTTAGAGAGGAGTCCTGCGTGCCACACCCGGTCGAAGGCTTCTTGGATGTCAAGGTATGCTGCCACCACATACTCTTTCCTGTGAAAGCCGTCCAAAATATAATTTGTGACCCGATGTAGTTGCTCAGGGGTACCGTGTTTGAGTCGAAACCCAAACTGGAACTTCGGGATCAAGCGTTTTAAGCGTTGTTAAGTGATGGAGAGGGGCTCTAAACTCTTTCTGGTTTTTAATAATTAGTACAAATATTTTTCGAACGTATTTCTTAAATTTATTTTTGTAAAGAGTAAGAGTAAAAAGGTACTTATTGTTTTTGCTGGGGTTATCTAGGTTGTAGCTGCGGTTATGTTAAATTTCTTTAATCACTTTTTTTCAATGGGACTCTTATATTCGTGCGAAAATTCAATTGTAGTTGCAACATTCTCTCCCTGTGCATCTGAAGGGTATGTAAATGCAGTTTCCGTACTTGCAGATTTTGTTGCTTTAACTTGCCTTTTATTTGTAGAACACTTAAAACACTTCAAACTAGGGCTATTGATGAAAGAGAAATCGAGCTAGTGAGTTATATCGAGAGAAGTCTCAATCTAATTCTGCTATAAGACGCCGAAGCAACTCCTATTCTTGTGGTCTACCCAGGGCTATAAATACTTTTAAATTGGGCTGGTAAAACGAGTCGATTAATAATCTTTGTGTTGAAAATTCAATAATTTTTAAACAAATATCGCAACCCCTTGCTAATATGTAAGGACAACTCATTTTCTTACTAAAATTTCTCTGTCGGAAAATAAGTTAGGGCCACGCAAATATTTAAAGTCTTTCTCTGCAATTCTACTTTATTTTCTTCAATGGGTAGATCATATCAAGATATTTTTTAGCAGGAATATAAAAACTTTATTACGATTCTTTTTAATTTAGCTAGTTGTTTGAAGGCTTTTAACCTTTTCTTGGAATCTTGATCTTCCGTTTAAGGATAACTAAACGGCTTGCAAAGTCATTTCGACTTTGTAATCATGAACTAAGTTTAAACTTTTATCGACTTTCTTATTACATTAAAGTTTGCTTTGAATTCGAACTCTTATGAAACTATGACATAAAGAAGTCAGAAATTATATAGATAATTTTAATAGATACATTAACGACAGAGCTAAACCCTTTCAAGCTAACTTATTGAAAAATGTAAGGCTATATATAATACTTATGTTTCTTTTGTTATAAAAAGAAAAAAATCTAAATTTACTGAACTTCAATGAATGCAAGTCAAACATTTACGGAATATTCTTTAGGTCGAAAGACGGAACTTTACAAGTAGAAAAAGGTTACATTGTCTGAGCGTCGCCCTAGATAATTAACTAAGATACTTAGACACGAGACGGAGACTAACAAAACCAATTAAAATAAATGAAAACTTTTTTTAATGTACCATTTAATTTACAGCTGAGATTTTCTAACAGTGTTCTTATGCGAAATATCCGTCTGTTTCTTATAGTTTTGCAGATTTTTCTTTCGAATTTTATCCAGGGCAGATCCATGACATGATATATATCTACACGCATATTTTACTTTTACAACATATTTTTTCGAATATAAACTTAATGAAGTTTATTTTCTAAAATATTAGCAATACTCATATACAACAAAGTAAGGGGCATTATCAGTTGCTTTATTTGTATATAATCATAAATAAATAAATAAATAAATAAATAGGCTTGGTGCGCATTGATAAATTGATAAGCAGGGCTTTGTTCTATGGAAATTTTCCTTTGTAATGGAGGCGCTCTAGGCCGCCGGCGCAGGCGTGGTTGTTGTAGTAGTGGTAGTGGTTGTTGTTTTACTGTTTATCTTGTTTCTAATCCAGTTCTTGATAAGGAAGCGCTTTGGTGGCTTTGTGGCAACGGTATTAGTGACCACTGTGGTAGTAGCATTAGTAGCTGCGGCTTTATTATTCCAGAATTTGGCAAACTTGAGCAGTTCTTCAACGTTTACTACTTCGGTGGTGTCCGTGGGATCCGCCACCGACTTCAAGCCGGTGGGTTGAGCGAATGGATACGGACTTGGACTGTAGCCCGGGAATGGATAAGGCGGTGGATACATAGGCGCTGGATAAGGCGAAAACGGCGGCTGGCTGTACGGGCACTGGGAATATGGCGTCGAATATGTCATGGGGTATGGCATGGAATATGTCATTGGAGCTGGTGCGGCGTAATATGGCATGGGATCGGACATAGGCTGTGGATGCTGATGATGATGATGATGTGGAGGCGGGCGTTTATTTTGTGCCTGAGGGCGTTTGGGTTTCTTTGTCGGGCGAATCTCTGGCTCTGGCTCTATTTCATTGTCGTAATCCAGCTCCCTAGACAGTTCGTCTTCTAGTTCCTCGATTGTTATAGGTGCCTGCTTTAACTCTGGATCCTGCTCTACCAACACCTCCAACGTAATGGACTCCGTTTTGCCTGCCGCCGTTGCATTCGACCTAGGCGGCACAACTGTCGGATTTGCCGTGCAAATTCTGGCTGTGCATAGCACCAGGAATACAACTGCAAAGCAAATGCTATTGACTCGACAATTTTTACTAGGCTTTCCTTATTTCTTACCACTGTAATGCGCCTTCATTGTACTGAGCTATGAAACAACTGATCATCCCATGCCTGTTCCGCGCCTTTTATGACAAAAATCAAACTTGCCTTTAATTAGGTTAGAAGAGAAACTAAACATTTGTGAATTCGCTAATTTAACATTCACACGTGCAGAACTACATTCTACGATCTATTGACCGCCTTAAATCTGTTAATGAAATTGTCACACTATCCCAAAAAATTGAATAATTGATTCAGTTAGAAAATTGCTGCAGACAACTATATTCTTCTTCTACGACTGTATATCAAATATTCTTTGATTTATAGCTATATATATGTATATGTATTATATATATATGATGTTGTATTTTGTACCCAGGGAAGTTAAAACTACATAAGATGGAATTTGTTCAAATTTGTAGCTTAGGCTGAAACACTTTCTTTTTTCATTAGAGCGTGGCTAATTTGATTAATTGACTGTCTCTAATTACAAAATTGTAATTTAAGAAAAACCAATTGTGTATAGAAGTTCATTTGGATTTTATTTTTGATAAATATATAATATATGCCACAGCAAGTATATATAATATATATATATTATATTAACACTATCGAAATCCCAAACAACATTTCGTATCGGCTGGACAGGGCGTCGCGCTATCAATTTCCACTCCGCAGTTATTTAAGCAGAGGCCCATGTCATCGCAAACTGAAAACAAAATCCAAAATTGAGCACGTTAAACGTTGTTTTCCTCAGTTTTTACCTGTGTGCTCACCTTCATCGCCATTGGCAAGGACTAGAAGCATGTGAAGCAAATACGTGCAGAGAAGAAACTTAAACATTTGAAAGCAAGAACGGCAATTGGTCTGATGCAAACTAAATATAATAAAATATTGTGACGGCTACTTGAATCGAATTGAATTATAGGCAGCGATTTGTCGCACTACCGAGTATAAATTCCTTTCCAAGAGGGTTGCTTTATTGTTGCACGAAATGTGGCTAAGACATCTATATATATTTATTTTAAATATATTTGGATAAATATATTTTATATATTAATTAATATAATGTGTCGAAGGCATCCCCATTAGCTATATATATTAAATATGTTGTACATCAATCATAACTTGTTTTGGGTTGGATTTCTCAGGTTTTTTCAGTTTCGGTTCTTGATAAAAAAATGATAAATGGCTTTTCTTTAGTTTCTTGTTACTCATTTGTTATTTTTTTTCGTGTTTCAATTCAGTTAAATACAATAAATAGATTGATAAATAATATAAATAATTAAGATAAATATTTAAATTACAACGCCTGCAGCTGGCTGGGCTGCTGCAGGTGGAGCGAACGCGCATAGCCGCCATAGCCATAGCCGCTGCCGCTGCCGCCAGCTGCGGCCGCAAAGTGTGGACTGTGGGCATGCCCATCCTCGTGGCTAACCGAATGCGAGTGGCTGGACGTGTAAACGGGCTTGGCCACAATCTCGTACGTTGTGGACTTGCCGCCGCCGGCCAAGCTCTTCAGGCCAAGCACACCGCTGAGCGTTAGCGCCATCAGCGCCGTCATCAGCGCCTTGCCGGCCATCATGGCAATCGCGCCCATGCCCAGTGCCATCATCATGCCCTTCATCATGAGGCCAACTGCCAGTAGCGCCTCCATGCCGCCCTTCTTGCCAAACTTGTGTTTGCGTCCCTCCTCGAGACTCGTCTCGTCCAGCAGACGAAAGCGCAGCACGCGCGTCTTCAACAGATTCTCCAACTTGGCCATAATATAACCATTGAGACGCGTATGCGGATCGCTGGGATAGCTGCGTGCAACCTCTGTTCATATAGAAATGATTGGAAAAACACAATCTAAATTTAATATGCCCTATAAATTTGCCACGAAATGAATATCGGATAGAACTAGACGTTTCGTACCCCATAAAGTGATATATATATTCTTAAATTCTCAGTAATTTAGGGATGTAATATTCTGCCAATATACTAGCAACAGCATATCAAAACAGACTACTATATTATGTTGTTTCTGTTCGTCTCATTACAATTTAAGACTTATCTTACCAGCCATTAGTTCGGAAGTCTTTAGCTCTGTGGCATTCTCATCCTTGACCACACTCACGCCCGACAGAAGTTTCAGCTCCTGCTGCTCGGCCAGACGTTCCATGATCTTCACAAATTCGATTTTCAGGCACATCCAACTGAATGTGGATGTCTCACACTCATTTAGACTCATCGTTGGATTCCTTTGGGTTGGTGGCAGCGTCTCCATTTGCACTTGGGGCGCCGCTGTTGTGGGCTGTACGCTTGCGGCTTCGGCATATTTGCATAGGAAACAGAACCAGGCCAGATAAAACAAATACTCCAAGGTCTTGAGCAACAACATGCTGTTTGGCTATGGTATGTCCAATGATTTGTGGTACTCTTGAGCGACTGCAGCAGCTCATTTTTATGGTTTTGCCTTTTATACCCATTTCCCTTTCACTACGCACAGCACCCAAAAGTCATTGCCGCGCTTAGTTTACCCGCTGTCTTGGACTTTTTCTAATTACCCCACGATTTGTGGTCGAAATTCTTCCCAGAGTCGTTCAACTGCGTCCAACTAACTGGGCAACTGGCCAACTGGGCGGCACTTTCGCTTTCCTCTCTGCCACAACGCTCAGCGTAGCGCAACGTGCGGCTAATTTTTGTCACCAAGACCCTCTCTGAGGAGAGTCTGCCCCCATCTTAATGAATTTTCTGATCTAAAATGAAAACTCACAAATACCTACATAATTATGGAGCAGATAAAAGTCGCGTGCCTCGAACAAAGTACATTCATTATTTTATAACTAGGAACATACAATGTCTCTTTTAGCCAAGTTGGATCGGCTAACTAACTGGGCTGTATTTTAGCTAATATCATTTTAATTTGTCTGTGTTTGGTAGCTGGAATGGTTCACTCTCTCGTCAGGCGTGTGCTCATACTCATAATGATGATAATTATTGTGATAATGATAATGATGATGCTAATGACAATGATAATGATAATAATAATGAATAATAACTCATAACAGACAAATGAGAAATAATAAATATGATAAATACTGAATAGCAATAATAATGATATATAATGAATGATAAATAGTGAATATTATATAATGAATAGTATTCAATAAATAATAAATGATGAATGAAAAATAATTAAAGTGATGACATAAAATATAATTATAACAATAGTTGATGACTTAAGGGAAATCACGTATCAAGGAAATGTTAAAAGTTTAATGTCCTAAAAGACTGGCTGCTTTTTATTGTTAAGCACAATTGTTTAACTTAGATGGATATATTTGCCTACTATGCATTAGAAATTTCATCAGCCTTGAAGCATTAAACCACGTTGTTAAATATCGATTGTTTCATTGTTTTGTTGCAAGCGTTGTTGTTCTTCATTTTAGTTCTGCTTACTTTGAGCTTTAAGACATATTTCATTCCCGCCCTGATTAATGGGTAAATCAGTTGCATTTCATGAATCATTTTTATTCAATTGCTATAAATTATTTTAAATAAATACTTAGTAAGTAAACTCTTTAGCAGACATAAGAATTTCTTGCTAACATATCGTTTTCTTTTCTTGTGATTTTTTTTGTGATTTTTTTCTTAGTTTTCAATTAACTTTCATTTATGAACCTGAGCTGCATGTCTGATTAGAGAGCATGTTTGATTGTGCAATAAATATGGCGCAAGCATTATGTGTGTGATCCGTGTGCGTTATCCTGAGCTTACCAAGTCGTCATTGATTTTCGTTCATTCATCGTGGATTTTTATAAGTTATGTTTTTTCTCATCTTAAAGTTTTCTTTTTTTTTCTTTTTTTTTTTTTTTGGTATGTCGCAGCTAACTAACTAAGTATAACTAAATAATTATTGACTACAACACTACAACGAATTTAGCCATGTGGAAGTTTAAGTCTCTTGAGAGGGGTGGAAAATAGGGTTAAGGAAGGCGAGGAAAATGGGCAGTAGAATGGAAAGTTTTTGAGAGTGAGAGTGGAAGTGGAAGGTAGCCGGCTAACTGTGTTGCTTGGCAGCTTAGAAGGGCTGAGCCAGACCGTAATGGTTATAGGCCAAGTCGGCGGCGCTGGCCTGACCGTTGCGGTTCCAGTCGGAGTGCACAATCTCGGCGTTCAGGGGGCTGCCGGTGATGTAGGCGGTGGTGATGTGATCCTTCTTCTTGGCCAACAGATCCTTGAAGAAGGTGGCACCTGCAACAAACAGATAGAGGTTAATAAAAAGAAGGTCATCTAAAGTATGCCCAATGCCAGACACTTACCAGCCAGAATGAGGGCAAGGAAGGAGATGGCCAGAGCCTTCAGCGAGATGAACTTGATGATGGTGAACATGATCTTGACAACGACCGCCTTCTTCAGTTTCAAAATCAACAGCAATGGCAGCAGCATTTTCTTCATGCGCTTGCTGCGCGATTCTGTGTGTGTGGAGGAGAAGGGCGAAATTGGAAACCGAATTGTAATTAGGAATGCGGCTCAAAAGTATGCAAAGCCAGCTGGCCAAATGGTTGCCTTCAGGCGCGGCCACAAAGTATGCAACGCGAGTCGAAAAAATCAGTCAGCCAACACTTGGGTGCACGAGGCGTATGCGCAATTTCCTGTGGCAGCAAGCGTGGGCCGTGCCAGCTGCCCCAACTGCTTGCAACAGCAAATCGACTGTCAATCGCTGTGGCAACAAAGTTGCCGTGGCACAAGCGAACAGCTCGAGTGAAAGTTAACTGATTTTGTATGCTCGAGACGTGGCAAACGGCAACGTGACTCACCCTCCATGGCGCGTCCGCTGTAGACATTCTCGGCATTCTCATCCTGCTCATCGCCAGAGAACGCGAGATTCAGCTCATGCGTTTCCAGATAGCGTTCGGCGCGATCCTCGAACGATTCGAGACCCTTGGCTGAGCCGAAGCTGCGGCCCGTTTCGCTGCGATCGATGCGCAGTCCGCCGAAGAGGGGCACAGACTCCTCGTTATCCAGCCGGTTGAGCATATTCACTAAATCCTTTTCGCTGCTGTCCTGCGAGGGCAGGGCCAGAGCGCCAGAGCACACAAAGCTCGCCACGAGCACCACACAAACGAATTTCGCGCACATATTTTTAAATATTTTTTGTTTTGTTTTTATTTGGAAAGGGAAAGATATATTTTTTCTTGGTTTTTATTCGACAGTCCTTGGTTAAGCACAGCGTTCAGCGCACACACACTGCTGTTGGCTTTGTGAATGGAAATTGCTTTGTGATTAATTGAATGCAATGGCCCGCAGTTTTATACCTTTTCGATGGGTACGCGTGCCGCCGGCTACGGCTTCGTCCGATTTGGTGGCTAGAAATCGCGGGCCAAAACGCAGCACTGCTGCAACAAAAACAACAATTTATGCAAATTTTATGCTTATGCTACTTCGACACAAAACCAATGGCCAATTGGGCACCCACCAAATGAACATTTCTTGACCATATTTTCGGGCACGTCCCACGTGTCAACGCAAACGAAAGGGAAGTCGCCGAACGGTTTGAATATTATTTTTTCGTCTGTGCGCATATATATTTTATATAAGCAAATGCCCCAATTGTCTTTGGGCTTGGGCTGGGTAAAGGGGCAGGTGCTTGGCTCACCGTTAGCCGATCGTAATTGGCATGCAACAGCCACGCCCCAAAGGAACGTGACTCCCATTTGGTGATGTGCCACAGATTCTAGGGCTGGCCCCTGGCCGTGCCGGTCTCTCATTAGCCATGCCATTGAATTTCATTAAACGCGATTATTAGCTGCCAGCTGCCAGTTGGCCCTCCATATTTGGTATGCCGCGCCAGCAGCTGGCTTAATGCGCGTTTTGGCCCAGTTAGAGACGCGCTTTCAACCGACGCTTTCGATTTCATTCTCTTTTAGTCAAGTGTCTGTCGTCGTTTTCTATTTCAATTGCTTCTAAATCTTTGACAAATCTGCGCAATAGAAAGCTAAATTGTCGCACATGCACGCATAAACAAATATCTCGAACCGATCGCTTTTTTATGCGCATAAGTAGAAAGTCGACAATTAACATGCCCCCATGCCCATGCTCAGGCATGGAATATTTCACTTATGAGGCGTGGCATCTGCCAAAACCAAAACCAAAATATGTATTTTGTATACACACACACACACACATTTCTATATTCAATTGGGCTGTTTGTGCTGCGCCAGCTCGAGAACTAGCCAAAAGTTTTCTTTAATGCTCAAAAAACTTGTTGTCGCAAGTGTCGAGTGTCAAACGCACACACACACACACATACACACGCACACGTGCACATGCTTATAGTTTGTGACAGCAACCAGTTGTTGTTGCCTGGGAAAGTCTTGCCACAGTTCTGGGCTGCAATTAAAGGCCAAAATGCCCGCCAAGATTGGACCAAGTTTAAGTTATAAATCGATTTTATTGTCATGACTCTTTAGCTGATGTGTTGTACAGTGTTGTGTCTTGCAGCTTGTACAGTGTTGTGTAATGTGAAATTAATTAAATAAATTAAACAGTTAATTACGCGTCAGCTTCACGTCTCGAATAAATTACTACAAGCTAAGTTCTTTCTCAAATTAAAAAGGCACATTTCTGGCCACAAAATGCAGCCACATTTGCTAAGGGCTTACTGCTGCTCCTGCTGCTGCTGCTCCTCCGGCTGCTGGCCGGCATAGGCCAGCTCCTGGGCATTGTCGGCGGTAATGCTGCGCGCATAAGGATATGCCGAGGATGAGCCCGAGCTCCAGCCGGCGCTAGCGGGCGCAGACCAGGCATTCGAGTTGTAGCCGCCATAAGAGCTGCCGATGCCGGCGCCGCCGAACTTGTTGCCAAAGCCGCTCAGCAGACGCGAGCCGCCAACCAGTATGGCCAGGAAGAACGCAATCTTGGCCACGACCACAGCCTTGAAGGTCAACAGAGCCAAGAAACCGAGCACCAGCGGTATGACGGCGAACAGCTTGGCGCCAATAGCCAGAGCGATGGGTCCAATCATCTTCTTGATCTTGCCGCGGCCTGCAAATAGAGCGGAGAGAGGGAGAGTGGAGAGAGGAGTAGTACGTGCAGCTCTTCTAAATATTTCGAAATATTGAAAGTACCTTCATCCAAAGCACGTGCCACCTGCTGTGTGGTCTCGGCGGGCAATTTGAATTCCAAGTTGTGGCTGCTCAGGAAATCGCTGGCGCTGCTTATGGCCAGATCCACCAGACGACTGTTGCGCTCCTCATTATTCTGTGGCAACTCCGCGTAGATGTCCTGCTCGCTGAGGGACTTGCCGCTGCGCTGCACGGGACTGGCGGGATCTCTGCAACGGAAACGCAACTTAGAACACAGCTCGCATTGAAAAAGCACAATATTCCCAATCACTAAAGTTCACTTTCACACACACGCACACACCTTTGGAAGGTGACGCCATTGATGAGCTCAATGTTGTTGCTCCTGGCGGCGCGATTCAATGCGGTAATGCCCTTGACCGCCAAACAGGTGGCCATGTCATCGCTCTCAAAGCAGGCGCCCAAATAGCGGGCGGCCCGGCCGAGCGTGTTATCACTTTCGACGCGGTTATCTTGCACACCGGGCGCGGCCCAGGCACAGCTGGCCGCCAAGAGGCACACACAGGCAATGGAAAACACTTTCATTTTCGAGAATTGAGTTTAGTTTTCTTTAGAAGTTTTCACGCGACGCGTTTTAATCCTTAGCTGCTGACTGGCTGCTGCTGCTGGTGAGCTCGAGATGAATTTGATGCCTAGCTCTGCGGACGTCTAGCCTTTTATATTGGGCAGCTTTTCTGGCAGCTGCTGCGCAGCCGACGTCGACGGCGGCGGCGTTACAAAACAATTTAAAAGTAAATTAAATAAAAAACCAAGCCAAGCCAGGGCGCAGTCGCAGTTGCCGTCAACTGCGGAAGCTACCAAAAAAGGTAAAAAGAAAAAATGACGCGAAAAAAAGGCACTGAGCACATGCATAAATCTAGGGAACAACAACAACAACAACAACAATGGCCCCAAAAACATAAAAAGAGAAGAAAAAGAAACAAAAACACTAAAAATAAAGTCAACTTGTTTGTTAAGTGAATATGCTCATTTCTTCTGCTGCTCGCGCTGACTGCTTTATTCGACAGCGTCGACGTCGACGTCGACGTCAGCCGCGACGTCAACCTCAACGCAGACGTCAGCTTCAGCCTCAGCTTTAGCAGAGAGAAACTTGCACTTGGACTTGGCCAGTGGAGCGAGCGAAGCGCTTGGCTGAATCGCTCAAAGAGCGCAAACAATTGGCATCATTGGCTGTGGGGCCCCGCATGGACTCGGGCAATTATGGCATATTTATCTCGCATATAGTACACGCCTTGCTGCTAGCCCCTCTCTCGTTGGGGGTCCGCTTTCATTCGACTCGCGTAACACTCAGATATTTGCTAATTTATTGATCCGGTTGCTGCATATTTTGAGCCTGCGCCATTTACGGGCGGGCTCCGCAGAAATGGGTCATCTACTGTTTGCCCTTTTGCCGTGGCGAAAGATTGTTTAGCACCTCTTATGATCATCGGCGTGTTATCAGAGCTGTGCCTACTTTGGGGCATGTTGCAATGGCAGGTGTATACTGATTTGGCCAGGTGCTAATTATACGCAATTTGGCAGCTGATACAATTTGTTAACATCGATAGATTTGAGATACTTGAATGGAATTTGCGCCAAGCAGAAGATTCATTTGCATTGCAGCCATCTTTTCTATTTTTATCTGATATTACACCAGAATTTACCATGTTAATTAAATCCAGGGGGTACAGCTGCAACTGTTCCACACTCGCTTAAGCCAAAGACAATAAAAATTAAGTTTTCAACTCCACGTTTGTGTGTATACAAGTTTATAGTGTTATCAATTTATTGAATATTATATTAATAAATATTAAATATTTCAAATAACTTTTAAATCCTTGTAGTATTCTTATTTTCATAAAGATATAAATTGTGATACATTTTTTTCAACTGTCTGCAAAACCCTTTGCATATATGCGACACAAAACTTCGATTAAGAAAATATGAAAAAGTATGAAAAAGTTCGATACATACTCGTAGAACTTATCAACACTGTTAATGAACCAACTGCTAATTGCTTAAGTTGAAACAAAAAAGGTGTTAATAAACGTAAATGGCGAAGATCTTAAGCGTCTGGCCACACTTAGAACCATTCTGGTCAAACTCTCTTGAGACTAGCTAATGCTTAACTATCATGCGCTATCATGTGAAAAACACTTTTTGGAATCTCTAGGAATAATTAGCATTTGTTAAGTTCTGATTTAACAGCTGCGTTAATTCACATAAGATCGAAAGCCTTTTTTTTTTGCATATTTAATTGACATGCGCTCAAACACGTTTTCAACTGATTCATCATCAATGTTTTCCCAGTCACGTTTTTTGCGCTCACACGCATGCAGACATTCCGACATTTCTCCGGCGTAGAGCTACATGAATTAAATCTTTCAAGTTTCAGACAAAATGCCGTCAATAAAAAATCGAAATAGCACAAATTGTATTTTGTCGTTTTGTTGTTTTGTTGTTGTTTTTTATTAAACCTTATTAAAGCCGAGCCATTCAAAAACAAATCCAAAAATAAACAAAAAAACATAAAAGTCTCAATTCACTCACTTTCATTTATATTACAACGAAATGCGACACTAAATGAAGTAGTTGTTGTTGTTGTTGTTGTTGTTATTGATGATAATGTTGTTGTTGTTGTTGTTGTTATTGCTCTGTGGATTTAGCTGAGCCCACGGGCGTCGGCTTGTCACACGCTGCGTATGAGTGACGCGCCTTTATTTTCGGTTATTGTTTTAGCTGCCTAAAACCCGACAGCAACAACTACAACATGAGCAACATGAGTAAATGCAAAAAAGAAAGTGCGCTAGGCATACCCCATGCATACCCCACACTATATATATTCATATACAGTCCCATGTGTGCCGCGGGTTTGGCCAATGATTCACCTGTTGCGCCTCATTTGCATAGCTGCAGCTGGAGGCACGCCAAATATTTCATCAGTTGCCACACACCTGAGCCGCTCTACACGCATTCATTGATGAGATAGCTCAACTGCCAATGGCTGACCCCTGTCGCAACTCCTGCCCCCCTCATCTGACATCCCCTTTTATACACTCTGCTGTTTAGCTTGCGGTCCAGTTTCGCATTCATTCATTGACGTCGTTTAAGCGTGAGTGAAAGTTATGTAATTTTCTGTGAATTTTGCAATTTGCAATGGCCACTAAAAACCTGATTTCGCCGGTTCCTGCCGCAACAACAAAAACAGCGTAAACCAGAAAAGGTGCTCCAGTCGGGAGTGCTCGACTAGGACATACTCCGAACCGAGCTTCTTCCTGTATATACATAATCAAATTGCTTCCTCTTCTCTTTGTTCTACATTATTAATGGGAATCTTGATTAACTTCAGTGCTAATAGTTAAATTTGTTGGGCCTAAATAGGGCATACCAAGGCAGACTTTACTTATATACAGAAGAAGAAAGGAAATATAAAAGATATAATAAAATCGAACTGCAAGAACATATATTTAAAACTTCGAGTCTCTCTCTCTTCCCATTCCTCTCAAGCAATTATCTTCTTTCTCAGCTCGTAACTGCTTTCTTCTATCTGTTACAAAACATTTGCACAAAAGCATTCTACCCTCTTTATTCACTTGAAATGGGTTTAGGGTATGACAAAATGTATATTGTGCATAACGTAGTTATCAATTGTTCAGTTAAATGTCAAATCAAATGGGATTTCTAAACGCCAATCATATATATAAATTTCTCTTTTTTGGCCAGCACAGCTTTTGACAGCTGTTGCTAACCCTTTTACTCTCATCGACGCAGGCCAACAAAGGCCTTAACGCGGCCCTTGCCAAATCTGTCTGCCAGATATTTCTATATAGTATATATTGTTGTGCATATACAAAATTCATAAGCCTCATATCGTGTGCAATTTGTTGACTCGCGTCACTCAATTAGCCGCAACAAGTGCCCATAAACAAATTGGCCCGCATACTTTCGTCGTGGGTGTGGTCAGCTTCGTGTAAGTCGCATTATAAATACCCTGTAATCGGAGCGTGCGAGTGTGGTAAAGACAAACAAGGCCCGAATAGAGATAGCTGATTAAATTTGTATTTATATTATTTTTATTACATAGATTTTGTACTATGTAAAAAAATTAGAAAAATTAAATTATTTAAATCTGAGAAATAGTAAGTACAATGCCCAATTTTATAGGCAAGTTAATCGCCATAAAATACCCTGTCTAAATTATATTCAGCTAGCAAATGGAGATAGTTAATTTTGATTTTTAGCATACAGGGTAACCTGCTAGTCGAGCAATGGCTATGCTGTAGACGTTATTGTTGTTGTTGCCAAGTTTACTTTTGGAATTAGCCGGACACAGTTTGCAGCTGAAGTTGGCAACGCTGCGCAGGGTGTCTGAAGGCAGTCAGCGTGCGTTCTATTGACCCATTTGCGTGTTTGCATGCATACAAAACAAATACATATACAAATTTTGGCATACCAAAAATACAGGGCAAGTGGAAGAGAGGTAGGCGAATAACAGGCATATGTTCTTATTTGTCAAAACTTATGATCTTTGAGCTTTTGATTTTAGCACCTATTTTTATGATGATAAATATTTATATATATTATATATCGTGTCATTTGGGAACAAACAATTAGAAGAGGTTGCCAAAATCTGTTTTATATATTTATTTTGATTAATAATAATTTTAAAAAAATACTTCTGTGTTGAATAAATAGTCAATTATAATAATCGATTAAACAATATAAATTAAAACAATATTTGTTATAAAATATTGACGAATTTAATTATAATCATATACAGAACTGTTATAAATACATATATAAAAATGATATGACTACAAAATTAGGCCATCTTTATTAATATTATTATATTATATAATATAAATATATATATATAATGTACATAATGCTTGATATAATTTCTATCCTGACACTTGCAAACACTGTTAAGAATTTTTCCTGGCTTGGCAATAAATATTTATGCAATGCCAATAGATTAGATGATTGATAATGTACATAAAATTGGCTCCCAGTTTACATCACATGTTTCTTTGAAACTCTACTCTACTCAGCTTAAATGTTTACCTTTTATAATAAGCATTTACCCACATAAAAAACTTCTACTATATTAGGTAAAAGGTGTGGCCCCCTTCAACGCCCGCTATCATATAAAAAGAAAAAAAAGCTAAAAGTAGCGAGAGAGAGAAAAAAAAAAAACAGAAAAAGAAGCAGAGTTTTGGTAAGTTTTTTGGGTTAAACGCGTAAATACCGAGAGGTGAAATTGATTTTCTTTTCATTTGCGCAAATATGAATTGTCAATATTGTGCGTAGACGTCGCCAGTCTGAGAAAGTGCAGCGTTAACTTCTTGCATGGAGCAGACCTTTTTTTTAGGGTTTGGGCTATTGAAAAATTCATGGGCACTTTGCCCGAACAGCCACACAAATTCAATACACTTTGCCGCTGACATTGTGGCCAAATGTTGGTTAAGCAATTGGCCCCAAACCCAATGTGCGCACATTTCCTGACCAAATCTATAAATTGTGCGCCTGTGGGAGCGCACACGCTTTCACAGGGCCAGGCCAAGGGCCCAGCACGGGCCTTACACAGCATACAATGGCAATGCGTTGTTTAACTTAAGCCATTTGCTTGAGCCTCAAAGAAAGTGAAATTGATGACACAAATGCTCAAACAACAAATACTTCAAGCCGAAGTTAGAGTTTTTGTTTTCCTCTTGTTCGTTCGTGTGGCATCTATGCTAAATGGTCTGGTTAGGTAATCTCGTGAGAGTCGCAAACATTGCGCACTCATCGAAGCGTCCAGCGTTTACTACACCGAGAATGTTGTCAACCCAACAGACTGAGATGTTACGATAAAGCTCCAAGCGTCGACAGCACCCGCCTGCAGCTTAACTACCAACATTTTTTGCTATTTTGGGTTGAGGGTATTCTGAATTCTTCTGTCAACTCGTAACAGACGTCTCTCTCCATGCTGGCAAAGCTCTTCAGTTTAATCAACGTTAAATGTTTGTAATACGAGAATGTACGTGGCTATCTGAAGTATCTTTTTTAGTTGTTTAGTCCGATTTGTTACCACGGACGGGTAGGTATGCAGATGGACAGACAGATGGATATGTATCTCGAACTCAGTTTTTCATTCTGATCAAGCAAATATATCGGAGATGCTTTGACCTCCCTGTTACATACATTTGCACAAAATATTTATGACCCCCGTATCCATCAGCAATAAGTTAATTGTTAATTTAGAAATAATTTCTCCAAAACAAGCAGAACAGGGTATCATCAAATCGAGCTTAATTTCTTATTTGTTTTGTTACCTAGAAAGAAGATGCGGCCAAGACAGAGGCGACGCCTTGTTGATCGATTTTTTAGATATGCGGTTAGCATGCGACTTTGTTGTCGGCGTTAAACAGCCTGCAATTGTGTTTGGCTTTGACTGTGCGAGTGTGTGTGTGTGTGTGCGTGTGTTTTTACCATAAGCTGTGCGCCCTACAACTTTCACTTGTGTGTGGCGCAAGCTGAGGCCGTCCCAGCCGCAGCTACGTATGGCCACAGTCCATGACTCGTGGTGGCATTCTCGGTGGTATGTTGAATAACTTTCAGTTCTTCTTCTCCGTTTTTATTTATTTTATTTTTTTGCTTCTCTCCAGTGCTTACATAAAGTAATTAGCTGCAAAGTAAGTCAGGTGTGCATAGGTAAAAACTCTGCTAGCAGCCCTCGCCACCCAAGACGTTGTTGTTGACTGCATCTGCTGCATGCTGATTGATTTGTGACGACCTGTTTGTTGACTCTGCTTGGCTTTTACATAAGCCCTTCATTTACTTGGATTGCAACACGGCATTTGCGGAAGTTCGTCTTGGTCGAGGCCGCGGCGTCTTGACCAAGTCGTCGCGCATGCGCAATAAACCGTTTTTATGCATAACGGCTCTGTGCACGCATTGACGCATTGACGCATTGCCGCATTGTTCGACCTGACTTTGGGTCCACGTAACACCATTTGCCCGGGCCCAGCTCGTGCATGTGCTAATTAATTGTGAACAGAGGCAGTTGCCGCTAAAGCTTTTTTTTGGCTTTATTTCGGCCTATTGGCAAAGACAAGCCAGGCATTTTTCTGTGACTTTGCTTAGGGCTAAATACCTCTGTGAATCACGACTCGGGTTGAAGTCTTTCTCCGCCAAAGTGCTAGATCTATTTCATTTATCAATAATTAAATAAAATTATATTTATTTAATTTTTTCATATCAAACAATTTCAAAAGGCTAAGAGTTGCTGTAACAATAGAAAAAAAAGAATAAATGGTTCTTTACAGCTTCGACTTCTCTTTTAACCAACTAAGCTAGTTCGTGGTTAAGAAAAAAATGGAAATTTCGACTTCAAAGTGATTTGGTTCAAGCTCCGTGTTAATTAATTGAAATTAATTAACTTTTTATAGGGTTTTTTGTTTAGGTTCTTAAAGGTTTTTAGGTGCAGCTAAAACCAATTAAAATACGGTTCGTTGTAAATAAAATGATAAAATATTTTAATTCCAGGCTCAAAGCGGTTAGGCTTTGCTGCTAAGACTTACTAAGATCCGTCTAAGACTTACTAAGATTCTGCTAAGACTTATTAAGACTCGGCTAAGCCCTACCGAGACTTGGCTAAGACTCAGCTAAGACTCGGCTAATACTTACTAACTAACATAAGACTTCATCTAACAACATCTTCATCTATAAAAAAGGCTTGTTGTCAAAGTTAGCCTGCGCCTTGGCCACGCCCAGCGGTATGTAATGCTGTCTAATTGGCATCCAGCTGGTGCCACTCGAGGAGAGATCCCCATGGTAGCTTTTCAGCGCCGGCGCCGAGGCGTGTACAATCTCCAGACGTTCGTGTGTGGGACTCATGATGGACTTCAAGGCCAACAGGCCGGCGGCAGCCAGGGCTATTTTGCCCATGACAAATGATGAGGCCGAGAGCGCCGTCAGCCATTTCAAGATCAAGGGCAACAGTATTAGCTTAGCCAGCACAGCGGCGCCCAGCAGCGGGTAAAGCATCTTTAGCAGCTTCTTCTGCTTGTGCTGCTTGCCGCGAGCTGAAAGCGAATGGAAGCATTAATTGTGGCTGCGGAAATTGAGGCCATCTGCTGCTGCTGCTGCTGCCTACCTTCGGTTGTCCAGTTGTCTAGCAGCTTGGCTATCTGCTCCACGCTGAGCTCGTTACTGAGCAGCTGCCGCAGCTGCTGCTCGGCCAGCGGCAGCCAGCGCTGCTCCGCCGTGGCGGCTGCCTCCCGTTCGGCCTCCTGCTCGGCATCCTGTTCGACGGCAGCGACTATTGCACCACCCAGCTGCACCGCTGGCGGCAGGCTGTGCGCCTCGCCTAGACTCATGAGCCAGGATATGCAGAGTAGTAGCTTAGTCAAGTGCATTCCGCATATAGTTCTACACAGCAGCGCTTCGCTTAGGCAACTAAGTTAACTAGCCGATGGAACTAACTAAGTAGCTGGCTAATGCGCCCGCACAGTGCATCGTTGCACTCGAATGCATTTGGACGTGGCTGCAGTTCTGGCCAAGTGGCTAATAGCCCTCGATTGCTGCTGCTGCTGTGCTTTGTTCTATTTTGTATACTCCACATACCCATTGATAATGTTTAAATAATGGGTATATTGATGAGTAGAGCTTGTCTGTCTATTAAGACTGTGCGAGCTAGACTCTTAAGATTTGGATTCCTGTTGTCGATCAGATAATCTTTCTTAATTCCGTAATCGATAAAAATCGATGCTTAACTTTATCTGGTTTAACGTTCTTGTATAGCATTCATATATCTACAATAATTGATGGAGTTTTGCGACTTAGTTCTTATTCTTAAACGATTTTAAAATATATCTAGAATAGAATAGAACATGACTTTTTCTTGGAGACATAACCTTAGTAAAGTTCTTGTATAGGAATATGGGCTTAGGGTATCTGCTAGTCTGTCATTCGACTCGAGCACTCTTACTTGTTTCTTTTGCTTTCTTCTGTTCTGGTTTTCGATTCAGTTTTACTTGAGCGTGAACGCACACGTTAAGTTTTCCCTACTTTAATAAACGATTTTACAGTTGTTGTTGCTATTGTTGTTGTTGCTATTGTTGTTGTTGTTGTTGTTGTTGTTGCATTTGTTGTTGTATTTGTTGTTAGCCGTGTTATTACCATGGCATCAACAAGTAAAATCTCTTTATTAACGTTGGCGCGTTGCGGTTCACTTGCCATTTTAGCTGCACACACACACACACGCACACACACATGCACACACTTGGCAACTACATTTTTCCATTTCTAAACCGTGGAGAAATGCCAGCTGCAGACACGCCTCCCGCCACCTCCCTTGCCAACACCCGTCGCCTACTCAAGGGTCAAAGCGACTTTTATTTATGAGGCGAAAAACATGTTTTAAACGCTAAATACTATTTAAATACATAATATTATTAAACCTGTCGCCAATTACAAGCAACAAAAATTCGCCAACTAAATCAACTTAATTTTCTGTTGCAAATTTGCGTAATTAAATTACGCTTATTAATTATTTGTCTAACATTATGCGCAAATCCGAAGCTTGATGAAAATATTATTCAAGGCATATGCCGTGAAAATATTTAGCAGGTACATCAATTTTATACACTCGAAAAAAAACATGGCTCTAAATTCTAGAAAAGTGAATTTTCATGCATTTTAGAAAATTTTTCCATTTTGATTTTCTCATATTTCTTTTCATTGTGAAACAAGTGAAATTTCTGAATCTCTCATTTAACGATAAGCATTCATAAAACCATTTTTCTAAACAACAATTATTTTGAGTGTAGAAGCTAATTTGTTTATGTGGAAAATATGCGCTGAATAAATTACTATGGGCCAGAGGACACATTTTAATTGGCATAATTATTGTGAAAAGCCGGCCATAAATAGCCATATTAAGCGTAGGCTTAAGAGAAAAATAAATGAAAATGAAAATGAAAATTGTGTGTGTTTGATGTGTTTTGTAAACGGAACTAAATGACGTTCAAGTGCGAACGAACTTGGCGAAGACAATTTCAATTGGCTGTCGAAATACTAGAGTGCGATCCAGCGTAGTGCCATGTACCGCATGTAACGGTTAACTGTTTTTTAGGGTCTGCCCACGCATATTAAAAAACCTCACAGTCTCAAACGTCAAACGCGCTGCTGTCGTCACATATCATGAACAGACTTTGGCGCAACTCAGTGTTAATGCGATTTTCTGGCATCCGGTTGTTGTTGTTGTTGCTGTTGTTGTTGTTGTTGTTGTAGTTGTTGTGGCTGATAATACCCTAACCAAGTTGAGATTGTAGTTAGTTTGCTGGGCAGGGGTTACTCGAGAGATATTAAATTTGTTACTTTAAGCCGAAAACTTACCTAAATAGCCATAAATGCTTTGGGAAATATTCTAGCTAAATTTAATAATAATTCGCACTTAGCGGCAGCAACAAATAACATTCAAAATTAAATAAAATGCAAAATTGGAATTTTCTAAAAACCTAATAAAATATTAGCACTTTGCTAGCTATGCCTTTAATTTTTTTTTTTTGAGGTTCTGTGGGAATTGCCTTGAAAAAATTGATTAAATTTAAGAGTGTGACCGCGTTTTTGTCTGACCAAAAATATACCATTTTATCAAGCTAACAAAGCTGAAAGTATTTTAATGATAAAGTACTTGTTTTTTTGTGATCAGAATGCCCCAATTACTTAATACACTACATACAATTAAATGCACTATTTTTTATTGTCTACACAAACATCTTAAAAATATAAATAAATAATTTTAACTCAATTCAATTTGAACCAAGATAAGGGTATTGAAACTTCGTAAGGCTAAGAAACTTTTCTCTTGCGGCCGCTTTGTTAATATTACTTAATTTTAGTGTATTATCAATAAAGCCCATCGCCGTTTGGCCTTTTAACTGCCTGCTTAAACTGAGGCCCAGCGGCGAGGGCCGGGCCCTAATTAGAGGAAACTGGAACTAAATCTTAAATCAAACGCTGTTGGCCTCTAAATTTTCTTTAAAAGAATCGCTTTGCTGGAATGCCCACCACCACCTGTTGATGACTTGAGGCTCATTACGGCCGTAAACAGGGCAAAGAAGAAGCCAGCCAGCCCGGTGGTGCCCACCAGCAGGATGAGGCCGCCAATTAGAACGGGTATCAGTGTCAGAAACTTTAGTTTGTACGCAATGAGCAGCGGCAGCAGCAGCTTCTGAATTTTCTTCTTTAACTTCTTCAGCTTGCGGCTCTGATAGGTCTCAGCCAGGCGATTGTGTCGGCCTTGAACTTCTTTTGATGTTGTTGCTGCTTCTGCTAATTTGCTGGACTCGGCATCTGCAAGGAAAAGCGTCACAGGTTTTCAGTTAATTAAGTGGCCGAGTCTTTGAGCGTCCAGGCGTACAAACAGACTCCTAAGCAGCGTCCATCAGCGCCGAAAAAAACACAACCAAAAGTGCTGAAATCGGGTATAGCCGACTTTGCAATGCTCGTCCAATATCCAATGATAGATTAAGGCAGGCACGACTTAATATATAGAGTTGTTTTCCAAACTTGAACGTTTTGGACCTAAGAACATTTTCTACAATTTTGAGCCCGTTTCCTTATTTGCAATATAATAACTAAGGTTATTTTAATGTTCATCACTTGCCACGTCTATTCAGGCATAGCCCTATAATTTTCAAACCTTATCTGAAGCAAGTTTTAAGTCTTTAGTTTATATTATTAGCGGACGGACAACGCATAAAACCTATATACTCTTCTCACAATCTGAGCGAGTATAGAAAAGCACGGAGTGAGGCCTACCTCTGTCGGTCTGCTGCTCCTGCTCCTTCTCCGGCACAGCCTCCTCCATGCTTATCATCTCACGCACAGTGTCACAAAAATTGCGAACCTTAAGCACGGCTCGCTCGAATGCCGCCAAATAGTTGTTAATATGGAGAGCTGTTGGCGTGGATGCCAGGATGTCCTCGTTGGCCTCATCAGGTGCATTAGGGAGAGTCGCGTAGCTGTCAGCTTGGCGCACTTCCGGCTCGGGGTGCGCTCTCACTTCCGCCACATCCTGCGACACTTGTCGCAACGCTGGGCTTATGGCCCACACGTAGCTAGGGCTCTCATTGAGACTCGCTCGCACCTGTTTGTAATTTCCGCTGGCAGCAGCGTTTGCGGCAACCGAATCGCTCGCCTGATACCGATGATTGTAGGCGTAGTAATTGACAGGAAGTTGCCCCTGTTGTTGTTGCTGCTGCTGTTGTTGTTGTTGTTGCACGTCTGTTGCTGTCGTTGCCTGCAGTATTAGCCAATTGTTGTGGCCCGTCAATGGTTGCCAGGCATTGAGATTCACTCGCAGCTGCGCCTCATTGTTTGCCGCGACGCGATTAAACCCGCCCTCGGCATGCACCAGGAGCCAAAAAACGCTCAACACCAACATTTGTTGCTGCCACATTATGTTTTTCTTCCACACACGAACTACGCCGCGCGCCGTTTAGAATCGAACTGAAGACAAGGTCTGCAGATTTGATTGAATTCTAAAGAAGAAACTCTCGAAAGGTTTTACGACTGTTTTAGTTGAGCGACTTTAACGGCCTTTCGCCGAAAAGTGGCCGCTGTCCCAAACTTAAGCTGGGCTCTAAATGGATCTGCTCTGACTTTTACCATGCCACCGAGCGGCGCTCAAGCGTAGCTGCTTGCCACACGTCTATTATGTGGTCAAGTCGAATCTATTTGCTGCTAAGAATTACACGCTGTTCGAATTGTTGCAATTGGCCAAGTTATTTATTTATATATATTTGAAGCTGTGCTGTCCATTGAAGCGTTGACATTTTAATTAACAGGTGTATATAGATTAATGTATAGCCAGGTATATAGTTTGTGCCGCAGCACGTGTTGTTTTCACTTTTCTGCCTGGCTGCGTCTTGCAGGCCAACTCGATGCCAACTGCCGCCTGCACTTGACACTATGATTCTATATAAGTGTCCAAGCCGAAGACGTCGCTGTCGACGCCGGGAAAGTGTGCCCAATCTAATCAGCCAGCTGCTGCACTTTGGGGCATGCTAAATGCCGACTCTGAACTTGCAACACACACAATTGCCGCAGCTAATTGGCGCACTGACAGACTCATGCTGTGGCCCAACTTCAGCTGTAATAGCTGCCACGGCTTTGATATTTATTGCGCCTCTTTGCTGCGCCTAAAGGCACGCAAGTTGCATGCGACAGCGTGTGCTTTCAGGCGCCTCGTTGCATGCCGCCAAATGTGTTGCCTGCTTTTGAGCACTTTGACAGCTGTCGCTGTCAATTTTTGCAGCTGCTTGTTGCATACTTTTAAACGGCATTTGTAATCGATTTCGTGCCCCAGCCCCAGCATGTCTTTTGTTTTCTTAGAGCCAGAAGCAAGCCGCGCTCCTACCTGTACCCACCTGAGTCTAGCTGGTTTTGTCCCTAAGTGCCAGATAGTGCCAGCTGCCACATCTTTTCGGTTGTGCTTAAATTGGTTACGTGCTTTACCATGCCAAACTTGTGATTAGCGGCAATCTTTTTTCCCATATTTTATATCTAAGTGGCTTCGTATTAAGGGAGCATATCTATGAAAGGCTGGCATATTGAATATGTATAAGGGTAAAAAATTTAATAAAATAAACTACTGAAACAATACACTACGCTTCGGCATGAGAAATTGACGTAGGATTATTTTTACCTGTAAACAAGTATATAAATTCACTGTCCATCTATTCGTAAATCCTTTATCTGAATTTCATAAAAACTTGACTGCGCAACTTCTTAAAATATCCACCACGCCCACTTTAAAATTATATCCGTGATTTCTAAAGTTACAGCTTAAATAACAATTGTCTCACTTGACTTAGATATGTGGAAACAAACCTGACTTAATATTTATGACTTCTTATAGTAAATAATATAGGTATTTCGGAGATTATTTATCGAAGATGCTTTTTTTTATCAATAATTTCTTATCAAATTGGACGATGCCAATGCTGTCTAGCTAAAATAATATACCAGGTCCAACATAAGATTGAAGCAACAATACTTTTTGAGAGTAAGAGTCTTAACTATAATTTTGGGGGAGAATTGTTGATTCAAAAATATGCTCAAAAATATGCTCCATAAAAAGCTTAGTAATTCTATAAAACTCATTGAAGCCCGCAAGCATTTGTCCTCTTCTGCAAGCAAAACAAGTGTGCAATAGTTGTATAGCATTATATTATTGTCTGGATGGGAGCTCGATTTCCAAACTATTAGCCCACTTGCTACTCAAACGCTTGTAGTACAATAATTTATTATGTGCAGCAATGTCTTCTTATCGACCTGCTTTAAATTGAGCTGAGCCGAAAACAAGTCTCTTTTAAAATTTGTAACCACACATTTTTAAATGCATATGCTGAACGGATTGAATAACAATTTGGCTTATTTCACTCTTCTCTCTCAATCAAAATTGTGATTTCTATTTAATATAAACGGATTAAGTGAATATATTTCTCTTAAGTCAAATGTCAAGTGGCTGCGCTTCCACGCATCGTTAAGAGCTGGTCACGATGAATCATCAAAAAATCAAGATATGCTTACCTTCCTGATAATATTTCATTGTCAAGGCTGGCAGTGCAATCATCATGGAGCAAGCCTGATGGATCCATTTAAGACTTTAATGTGTTTATTTAAATTTTTATTGCCACTCACCGAATTGTATTTTGAAGCGTTTAAAACATGTCACGCCTCCCATACAGCCCGCCCGGCATGAAGTTTGAACATTTGACCAAAACCGTAAATTAATTTATTTTAATAGATGAATCGCAGCGCATAGAAAACAATGACGAACAATGGAAACGAATGTAGTTTGGTTTTGATTTTTTATAATTTTTATGGCTGGCCAATCGAATTGACAGCCGGGGATTGAGATCAGTTGCATGCATTTAGTTCGATTGTTGTTGAACCGAATTTGATGCGTGTGTGTGCGTGTGTGTGTGTGTGTAAATGAGATGCAAATAAATTCGGCCAGAACTAGTTTAAGATCCACACTTCCTAAGCGGGCACTAATGCAAATAATAAATATACTTTCCGAGCGGACAGCATTCATAACCAGCTACAGAGACCTTTCCAGAGGCCAACTCTCAGTTATGTATAATTGCTTGGGCATGTATATGTATGTGTGAGTCTGTGCTTGAGCTATCTGGCTAGTTAATTTGTTTTGGCTTTAATGTTTGTTGTTCTTGGCCGGATTGCGGTCGGTTTGATTCGCAGAGACAGCTGGGAGGCGGCGTCTGCTCATAAATTGAAGGCGTTTTGCTTAATTCGAATTAGTTTTTCGCCTGCTCTGACAGCGTTCGGTGCGTTATGAAAGTGAGTTAGCCTTTTGGGAAGGATCAAGGACCAAGTTTCTTCCACAGTCATGCATCCACACACACGCTTAATCTATCTCTTTCGTGCAGCTGTTTGTGTGTCTATTCGTTGTGGTCGCCACATTGGCATCTGCCCAGGCAGGATTCTTGGGTCTGCTTGGCAAGGGCGGCGGCGGCGGCGGCGGCTACGGTGGTGGCTATAGCGGCGGCTACAGCGGTGGCTACAGCGGTGGCTACGGCGGCGGCGGCTACGGTGGCGGTGGCTACGGCGGCGGTGGCTATGGCGGCGGCGGCTATGGCGGCGGCGGTGGCGTCCAGGTCATCAAGATAATCGACGGTGGACACAGTGGTGGTGGATATGGCGGCGGCTATGGTGGTGGATATGGCGGTGGCTACAGCGGCGGCTATGGTGGCGGCTACGGCGGCGGCCATGGCGGCGGCTACGGCGGCGGCTATGGTGGCGGCTACGGCGGCGGCCATGGCGGCCATGTTGATGTCTACAAGGTCATCACCACTACCAGCCACGGTGGCGGCTATGGCGGCGGCTACGGCGGCGGCTATGGCGGCGGCTATGGCGGCAGCTACGGCGGCGGCTATGGCGGTGGCTATGGTGGCTCCTCCGGCTGGTGGAAGAAGAAGTAAACGCCCGACTAACTGTAGAGTAACGTAAGAAGCCCGTAAAATAAAAACGAAAAAAAAAATATAATGTGTTTACGTGTTTCAATCCTCAGGCAACAAAATAGCAAAGATTATAGAGCATAAATTAATGCGTATACCCTGAAGTAACTCTAGGCAAGGGTATGAACAAGTTTCGTTCATTTAAGAAGCTAGAAAGAGAAGTTGTAATATTTATAAGCGAGTCTCTCTCTGAGAGAATATAAAAGTTGGTTACATCATTTTAAATGCATTGAAAACAAACTCTGGAACTCAAAATAGCAACAACTACTTAAATATTTAAATATTTAGAGCTTCAGTTAAAAAGCTGTTAATTATCTATGGAAGTTTTTGGCTAATAAGATATCCAGTTATAGGAATAATCCAGACGTTAGAATTCGCATTAGATCTAAAACTTATATTTATATTATATTTTATATATATATTTGAGATATTTACTTTTAATGTCCGGCATCCTTTGACGGACTGCAAGATTTTTATTGTTTTTCGATACTTACTCCCATTTTCAAAAAATTGATTTATATTGATTTTGAAAGTTAACTCTTCAAGGATAACTCAGAGATTATAAAGGCTAGATACCCCGCACAAATCTCTCGTATGTTGGACCCAGATTATGAACGTTTTCATTTTTGTACTTTACTCACAAATACTTTGTTATATGCATCCTTTTGACTTCATTAAGATCGGATTGTAAACACCGAATTTATTTAAGTTTGCGTTTCTTAAAACTATTATGGGGCAATGGGAAGAAGAAGCAAAGCAACAACGACCTAGAATATAGCTAGAATATTTTATCCGCATCTTGGTGCTGGGTTCAGGGTATCTCTCAGTCGGGCCCTTCCAACTCTCTTAGTTATTTTTATTTATTTTCTGTTCTTAAAAACTATAAAAAAACGCAATATATTTATAAAGCTTTGTAGAGCTGTCACAAAAAATAAAACACAAAAAAAATCGACAGGTTTCGATATGAGGTTTACTTTATGACTAGGTATCTACCAGTCGAACACTCCCACGAATAGCCAGCAATAACTCTTTTGCTTTGAATAACCTATAATTTGGTTTCAAAATGAAATAATCTTTCTTTCTATGCACGCATGCCAGCTATTTAGCAAAGATTTGAGAACCAAACCTGTATAAGGTGAAACCAGAATATTTAAAAAGTTGAAGAATTAAATTTGCCTTGTTTTTGGTTCGCTTTAGCAAACTTGATTTATAGCGCTGTTATTATTATGTAAAGGTTACAGCAGCCCAACTAATAATTGGTAACAACAACCGAATTCGGGTTTTTGACTAAAAGATAACTTGAACCTGGTTTTTCAAATACGGAAACCGTTTTGTAAGGTTGCCTCGAAGACTAAAAGTCGAGGTCGCCTTGAACTTGATTTAAGTTTTGGGGATTTTTCAATAAGTTGCCAAGTTGCTTCTGGCGCCTTTCTATTCTGGCAACTACCTGACGTGTGTTTTGCTGAATCACTGCATAATTGGCATCAGCTGTTCGAACGATGCGCATAATATTTATATTTAACATTCCAAAATAGTTTACATCCAAATGGTGTGCATGTAACTTCGCCATTATCTTAACAATCCCCCGGGCAGGGGCAACAATAAACTAATGTCGTAAAATAAGCTGCAGCACATGTGTGTAGTGAAAACATCTAGGGAATCTCATCTACAACGTGGACATGTCTCAGGTGGACAGCGATGTGGGCTGGGCCACATGCACGTCCTTGTGCATGCGGACGGATGTGCGAGCTGTACGTGGCCAAGTTTGGGGACATTTGGGAACATGCTGGTATTTGGTGGCAAGATTGTCAAGGACACAGAGCCACAGGATGCCAGGAAGTTTATACGTGTCGTTTGTTTGGCTCAGATAAATCAGTATACAGGACTGGACTTTAAGTTGACCTTGTAGTCGAGAAATAAAATTGAGTCAGAGAAAATGTTTTATTTATAAAAATATATGTTATTGTTTTATTTTATTTTTATTTGTAATTGTTTTTATTTATTTATTTTTTTGTAACTTTTGTGTTTCTTGAAAAACTTTGCTGCTTACATGCGAGACACGCTTAGAGCTAGGAAATAAATAATGTTAATAAATTATTACACTAGACTACAGTTAGGCGAATTAAGATTAAAGTTAATCAAAAAATGTGCGCGTGAAAATGAGCTGGAAACGGGCGCAGAGTGTGGCTGGCTGCTGTAGACCAGAAGAAAGAACAGTATGAATAAGTGAATAAGTGAGTGAGCGAGCGAATGAATGAATGAATGAATAATTGAAAAATAACAGGAACTGTGTGCAGTTAGAGATACATAGATAGATGGATGGATGGATAGATGGAGCGACAGAGCCAGATGCAGATACAAAGTTCAGACAGAAGTTCAAGTGTATAGCAGTAAACGGGAAAACATAGAATAGAATAGGAACGGAACGGAACCAAGTGCGTCGCATTCTCATGTTACATAAATCGATTTGTATTATGCAAATGGCAATGATTAAAATGGATGCACGACGTTACAGATACATTTGCAGCGATGTATCTGTAGGTGCAACTGTGCCTTGGCCAGCCATTAACCGTTGCAAACGCATCAACTTTAGTCGGGGGGTAAAAAAAGGTGCAGCAGCAAGCATTTGGAAAATCTAATTACATTTTGCCAGCCTGCCCCTCAGCGCGCGTCTCTTCCGCTCTCTCCCTCTCTCTATCGTTATTTCTCTTTTTTGTCTCTTTGCTCTGGTAATTTATCCACAAGATAAATGCAGCTTTGGAGCTATTAACTTTTGTGTGCATGCGTGTGTGTGTGTGTGTGTCTGTGTGTGGCGTCTATGACTTGGACAGAGTTGGCTGCAGCGGCGCTCCCAGCGGCTGCTGCTGCTGCTGCTGCTGCTGAGCTGCCTGCTGCTGGGCTGCCTGCTGCCTGCTGTGCGCACGATATGCCAGCTCCTGCGCCTCGGTCAGGGAGCGTCTGTCCCAGCCGCCGCCTCCGCCGCCACCGCCGCCCGAGGACCAGCCACCGCCGCCACCGCCGCCGCCGCCTCCACCGCCCGAGGACCAGCCAGAGCTGCCGCCGGAGGATTTGCCAGACATCAGCTTCTTCAGGCCAATAATGCCAGCCAGGAGCAGCGCTATCTTGGAGATAATTAACGCCTTGCCCGCCAGTATATAGAGTGCGCCCATGGCAATTGGCAGCATGCCCATCAGCTTGGTAGCCATCATCATGGCCATCATCATGCCCATTTTCTTCATCTTGCCGCGGCCTGCAACAAAGTGGAGGCAATAAAGAAAACCGTTTGTTATACCGCTCGACAGTAACTTCAAGAAATAAAGATCTTAACTGTGAGTTAAACAAATTAAATATTTTATAAAGATAAAAGATGCTCAGTACCAGCAGGATGCCAGTTCGAATGGCAGGCTTAGGTATGGATGTGGAGTTGTCTACATTAAATATCCCTATTCCCATCTAAGTTGTATTAATATAATAACTATAATAATAATAAAAATAAAATAAATAGATAAAAGATAAAAGGTACTAGCACTGCCAAGTAGAATGTCAGGCTTAGGTATGGATGCAGTCACAAATTTGAATATGCCTAATTATATAAACATAAATTACGATGATTTTCTTAGTCGTAATTTTTCATTTATTGTTATTTCTCACACGCTTTCATACAAATTCCTTGAGCTGTAAACAATGCGTTGGTTAAGCTTTGATGCTTGGCATTAAATTGTCAAGGGAGCAGCGCTGCGAGTTGTTTTTGCCTAGCTTTTCTTTTGGTGAAAGTGCACCCGAGTCTATTGCCAAAGTTACAAAGGCTGTGTGAGAATAAATTTCTTGACTTTTTTTATGTTTTGTTGTGTGTATTTTTATTTTTTTTTTTTTTTTTTTTGTCCAGCTTGTGTGGCTTTCGTTTTGGTGCAGTTGCTGCCGACGTGTCATCAGGGACACTTTTGGCGATTTCACTTGGTGTGGTGAAAATCATATATGCCTATGCCAGCCCGTCTGGTTCAAGGGGTGTGCAAATTCGGCCGAAATCCAGGCAGCAAATAGTCAATAACAAGCTTGGAACTGATGCGATTGCAATTAACCAAAAATGGTGAGGCAATTGGGAAAGTGTTTGCCAAGTGGAAACGAGTATCGATTGAATATCTCGATTGAATATCTTGATCAATGTGTTCGAAAGTAAAAGAAGAAAAACATTCAGGCGCCGTGAAAGTAAGTTCACTTTTCATTACTGGAAATACTCAAAATGAAACAAAAAAAAAAAAAAATTACTGGAAAATATTTGCTGCTCTCGCTGCCAAATGCTTTGAGTGCTTCTGTCAAATTTGTAATTGATGCAAAGCATTCGCTTGGCAGCCAAGAAGTCGTTAACATGGCCCCAAGTGAAACGTGGCCAAGACACTTTCATTGCGTTTTACATTCGACATGGTCATGACATCTAAAAGCCCCCAACAAGCCCCGTCTCGTGTTTTCGTGCCCATGCAAGCAGGGCATATATTTAAGTGTACTTTGACTGCGGCGCTTTTCCTTTGAGTCATTTGTACCCAAGTGTGTTTCTATGGCATACATTGATGTTTATATTCCTGATAGGCTTTTCACAATTAAAGCGCTTTCAACTTTTTATTGTAAAGAAGCAGTTCAAAAAAACATTATATTAAATATTCTTTGTCTTAACATGATTTGACTATTGTGTTATTTTAAATGTGAAATAGAATATTATAAAACTTTGCTCTCGGAGTTTTCTACAGCTTCTCTTTGAAGATACCTTTATTTGCTTTACCTTTAGAATTTGCTTATATGAGGCTTGTGCTTAACTAAATTTCTGATTTCTCGTATGGCTTTTAATTGAAGCAGTATTTGAAAAGCTTTTTATTCCATGAACATTCGGGATATCTTCCAAAATGAAATATATTTCAAATGTATGTTAGAAATATAGGTTTATATAAAATCCTGTCATGCTAATATACTATAATCATGAAATGATATAAGATAAAACAAAATATAATTTTTGTTTCTCGACCCAGCTTAACAAATATTTATAAACTGGAAAAATCGCCAAAACCAACGTATATGATAATGATATATTACTCATATATGTACACTCATCTATTTTCATATAAGGGGACACAATTTTTCAGCGCAAACTTTCTTCAGAATTAAATATATTCTAATAAAATAAATAAATATTTTGATAAATACTTTCTTTAGGATTTCTAATTATTAACATATTTATCACCAAGTATTTTTAGTTTCACTTTATTCAAAACCATTTATGCTTCATTTATTAAAAAAAAAGTATCTTTAATAATATTCCAAGGAGTCTTCTTCAATCTGCTATATTTGGCATGCAGCTTGTGATATGTGTACATATTAAACATTTACTTATGACTTGTGATATGTGTGCATAAGTTTATGAAGCATAAGCTCTTAACTTTGCAACTCTTTCAACATGTATTTAAATTTGAAATATTCGCAAAATGCATAAAAAAATGCTTGCCTCATATCAAAAGCCATATTAAACGGCTTTTACTGTAATTTCTCTTGTTTTCATTTTTTTAAGAGCATTTACGTTTCGGCTTGTGTTGTTTTTTTTTTTTTTTTAATGTTTTGTGCGGGTTAACACGAAATTCTGGCATGACAATTTTTCGTCATCGTTGTTGTTGTTCTTGTTTAGGTTTATGGGTCATTGTAAGCTTGACGAACGAGTTTCGTGTCTTCGTTGAGCGTGTGTGTGTGTGTGTGCGTGTGTGCACGAAAACAATTGCACATTTTCCCAAAGACAAGAATTTTCCACCGCAATCTCAACAGACATGAGAAGGCCAGGAAGTGGGCCAAGCGGCTGCCAATGTCATTGTCAGCTATTCAATTAAGCCAAAGCCATATGCAATAGGAGGCGTTATGTATAACTAACTGAGCCTGACTCTTGGCTCTAATAACCGCCAATTATGGCGCTCGCAAAATTATGTCACTGTCACGCGCAATGGCTAAATGCATTTAGCGGTGCATTTTGCAGCGTAACGTGACGGCAATTACGCTCAGGTGTATCTGGGTGTGTGTGTGTGGCACGCTTACCTTCCTCGAGTCCGCGTCCAATCTCATCGGAAGTCAATTTGGGGAAGCTGACCTGCAGCGAGTGCCCGTTGAAGAAGTAGCTCAGGCGTTCGATGAGCATGTTCGTCAGCTTGGCATCGCGTTCACTGCCGGAACGCGCCAGCGAGGATTCCAGTTCGTTTTCGCTGTACGCAGCCGGCCGTGGCGCCGCCTCCAGGCGGACGAGCTTAATGCCATCGGCGACGCTGATGGCATCGATTGGCGCTATACGATCTATAAACGCGATGGCCTTCTTCTTCAGGCATGGCACAAAGCCCATCTCCGCCCGATTGCACTCATCGTAGACGCGGAGCAGGGTCCGTGCGCCCGCATTCTGATTGGCGGGCACACTGCTCAGCTGCTCGGTGGCCGCATCGCAGCTGGACCAGGCCAGGCACATACCCAGCAGGAGCAGCAGATGCTTTTGCTTAAATGTCATTTTCATTTCACACACACGCACAGAATGCACACACTCGCGTCCACGTAATCCTGCTTAACACTCTGCCAACACACGCGTCTGGTGCGTCTTTCGTACTAATCCTGGCCAGCTGATTTCTGTGGGTTGCTTGGAGCGCGTCTCTTGCACTGCCGCCGCAAGTTTAAATCAAACTGATGGCCAGCCTTGGCGCGCTTTATTCTTTTATAGACCTTTCTTGTGGCTCGGCCGCGACTTGATTACAATTTGATTTTCTTCGTGCGGCGGGCCTGCAGTTGAAGTTGGAGCTGGAGTCGACTTCGTCTGCGGCTCGTGTTTTCTTATACCCTGCTAATGGGCAAAAGTGGGTATTATGTTTGTTTTCCATGCGCTGGTGACAGTCAGACAAGCAAGCAATTGTGATCCTGAGTGTATATATTCTTGATCAGAACATCAAGCCGATCTCCCTATTTACCCATGCTACTGTATGCGACTCCCTATTCTTTTGTATATCGCCTCGGTCTCCGCATCTAATAAAAGCTACACTTCATTTTTGTGTATAGGTTTATATATACCATATATATATATATACAATTATATATAAACTATACGTAAGCCCATTTCTCAATTGGATGCCATATTCAAGGTTTACTATAATCGAAGTTAATCTAGGTATCGAAGTATATCTATAAAGGCAGCTTGGAGCTGAGCTCAGGGTAATTTCTAGTTGGGCATGCCCGACTAGAGCACTCTTACTTGTTTTCTTTGCAGTCTACTCAGTTTTCCGACAGCAACTGTTAATGTTGCTGTTGTTCAGTTGCTGCTGTTGCCATGAGTATGTTGCTCTAATGATCATTGTGCCGGCAGCAGCAGCAGCAGAAACAGCAGCAGCAGAAACAGCAGCAACAGCTCTGGACGTGGTTTTTTTAATATGCCCGACGCTTTCGTTGTTTACGGCCAAATATATTAGTTGAATTTGTTGCCTGGGTAGGTGTTTGGCTTTTGACCATTTTTAAACTGGCTGCCGTTTTGGTCGTCACTCTTGTTGTTGTTGCTGCTGTTGTCGACACTTTAATTTCAATTTGGCATTTGGCAATTTTCGCCTCGCATTTCCATTGCCATTGAACGTTGACCATAAAGAAAGTATTTATCAGCCACTAAGCACCTGCAATTTGCAGCTCAATTTTATTATGCAAATTTTCCGAAAAGGCCCATTTACAATCGGGCAACACCCAGCAACTATTAGAGAGTGTTTCCATCTGCCTGATGGCCAATGCAATCTAGGGCTTTCAGCTACCATGATATGCATCTATTAAAGCCAGGCCAAACGGGCATTGACTTGCGGCTGCTGTTGCTGCTCTTGCTGCCACAAAAGACAAATTGTTGTTGCCTGTATTTTATGCATGAGCCAGCATTTGTAGCCTGGCCATGTATCCGCTGTGTTGCTCATAGAACGTGCCACATGGAGTCCCACAGACAGGCAGCCGAAAGGAAAGCTGCCGCATAATTGTGGCTTTGCCTTGTCGTGGCAAGCAAAAAACTTTTCCCCCAAAAAGACAAGCGGAAATATGTTTGAATATACATTTTCTGGATTCTTGTCCAGTGCTTTCGCCCAGTCAGCTGACATTGGGTAGCTTTATTTGGCAGCAGCTGCGGCAAAAAGGGATTTGCTCGCATGCCACTCAACTGTGGCAGCCCACCGCCAACCGCCCACTGCCCACCTGTCTGCGTGCCTGAGCCTCACCTTGACTCATTTTCAACTAATAAAGTCGCAAATTTAGGCCCCACAGCGTCACCTGCTCAGATCCCAAAGACTAATGACTGTCGTGCCGGCTACTTGTTACCCGCAGAGATATTGCAACACAGTTGGACAAGTGTGAATTTTCCCTCTTGCCAGTTGCCCAAACGAACGAACAAACGAACGAACGAACGCTTTGGAAAATGTTTTTCTGTCGCTTTCTGGGCCACTAATTTTTCGATTTTGGCTGCCGCAATTTCCACTTTATTTTACTTTCACTAAGGCGCACCTTAAGCCGGACACGGGCCAGGGCCAGGGCCACAGCCATGGCCAGACGCCTTCGATTTGCATGGATCGCTGCATATCATTATATTCAGTTTGTTTGATCGCATTATGAGTATTTTTTAATGCTGACGAGTGAATATTTGGTGAATGGCGCGCACTTAAAGTGCACATATTGCTCTCCCTAAGTAGGTTCACTAACCTCATCTGCCCGGCTGCATATTGGAGTGGGATGCAGCACTTAATGGAAAAACTTCAATTGATTTTCGCCAAGGAAACAGACAAGCATTTGAATGTGAGGCTGTAGCAGAAATAACTTAAAACACCAGACAGTCCTATTTGGTGTCAGTATTTCTTATACCCTGTTCCAATGTAAGGTTGACATAGAGTATATATAAGAGTTACGCCCATGCAACAAATAACTTCAAAAGCAAACCAATTTCCGAGGGCAAAATATATTTTGCTCAAAAATAACAAACTAAATTATATTACCAGGCGTCGCGGGTAAATAAGGCTGAAAATGCATGCACTTTGAATACTGAATATAAAATATGAATATAACATACCCTGTTCGAAAAGTATTATTGCTATTATTTTATATATTCAGTAATAACTTAATCAATAAACATAGTTGAGTTGAACCAGCGACTTATGGCTCGCTCGCTCGAAGTTCATACTTATTTTAATCAAGTGTTGACACTTAAGCTGAGCAGTAGAGTATCTTATAATCATATACTTTAATTTGGGGCATATCTTACACCTTATATTATATCTTATATACATATATATCTGATATTCATATCGAGATGTACTTTAGACCTGATGACAGGGCATCTTACAGTTTGGCACTCTGATTTTTAGTATTTCCCACTTTGACAGCTGGGCACAAGCATTACATCTATTATGCACAAATTTCATGTTTGACACCTAATAAGCTCGCTTCTCAGCACAATTTATGCGCCGCATACTTTCTTGCCCAGCTCATGGATAATGCAGACCAACTGAAGACGTCAAACTGTCCATCACGGCATTGCGCATTACATTGCTTACAATGGGGCTTCCGACGAAGGCGAAGGTGTGCTTTGTTTTTATGCGGGTGCAGCTGCTTGCATGAGACATGTCCGCATCCGTGCTCCGACACGCTCGCACATGTAACCATATCCATATCTTATGCCCATATCTTGGCTGCTTAAGTGCACGCGAACCGAAACTCAATTGTCTGGAATCAGAGTTGCTGTCGCCGTGGCTTCCACGGGCAAGGCCAAGTGGCAGCTCCAAGCCGCATTTCATTGTCTATTGGCCACGTCGCCAGCCGCCAACCGGCAACCGCCAGCCATAATCCGGCATCTGCCTGTGACACGCCTTGCACTTTTCTTTCAAGAGTCAAGAGATTTTTCAGTGTTTTTCTGTGCCATTTTGTGGTCGAGGCCAAAACAAAACAAAGTATGAAAAAGGAACAAGAGTGCTTTAATGAGGCGTGCCTGACTAGAAGATGATCTCTAAATTCGGTGCTTATAAATTATAGGCTTAAATATGGCGCTTAAATGTGTGTATACATACGAAATATGAAATATTTTTGTTCCTACTATCTTATGAGGCAACTGAAGAGGTTTTAAAATCTGACACATTCTGAATCAGTGTGTCAAGCTCTACACATTTTGTGAAAACAAGCTGAGCTATCAAGAACTTAAAAGGTATACACGATCTCTCAAATCGTGTGGTCTCTGAAATGAACATATATATATATATCGACTGAGCTATATAAATATACTTCTATATGGTTGTTACATTTGCACTTAACGAAAATACCCATTTTCAAATTGTTGAGGGTATAAAAAAGCGGCAGCAGCAGCAGAGCAGCGGCAGCGGCAGCGGCAATAGCCATAAAAACAATTTCATTGTGGCAACATTAAAAATAAACCAGAATTGAGTTTTAATAAACAGCAGGCACCGCAACAACAACAACAACAACAACAACAACTTAAGCATCTACTCTGCGGTTTTTCTTTATATTTATTTATGCATTTTTATGTGTGTGAAGTTTTTCATATTTGCACCGGAGAAAGTAAATAAATTGTTCTAAATACTTGCTAAATAGTTTGTGGACACCAACAAATTGCGGGTCGCATCGCAGTTGACCTTAACTTTCAGTTTTTAGAACCTTAACCCTTTAAAGCATATATGGTGTACAATGTACGTGGGTTTTGTTTTATGTTCAACTTTCTATTTCATGCGGGCGTTCATTCAAGCGACCCAAGTGCAATAAAAATTGCAATTTTCACGAAACGAGCTCCAAACAAAAGAAAGTGAAAATGTATGTGTGTGTGTGTGTGTGTGTGTGTGTCTGGTCGTTATCTACTTGTTGGAAGTTTCATATGTTATAGACGCTCTCAGGGTCTTAATAACTTTGCCGGCAGCCTTTGAAGCATATCCGCCGATAAAGATCGGACACAGCTGCTTAGGTACTAAGACGCATTGTGCTTGGGTGCTCGACAAGTGTATATTAGATTCGGTGTTAGCTTTCAGGCATTTGATGACTGTTTTGATGACTATTTTGAAGCTAATCAAAGACGCTGCGCACAAATCTCTACACTAATTAGCTTTTAGTTGCGACCAACAGACGGCGGCACGATAAGCTGCCAACTGTCAGCCACGGCGGATGTGGCAGCCACAAAATGTGTCAACGATGGGAATGGGGCGGGGGTTGGAACTGGGGCTGGGGATGGGGCTGGGGCTGGTTGTAGATGCTGCTGTTAACGTTGGGATGCAGCATCACTCGACACACGAGGCAATTTTTCACTTAGTCCGCACACAATTTATATAAACGCTAGGCCAATTTGGAGTTTTATTTAAAATTAAGAAAAATAAAAAGTTAACTAGCAGATGACGAAGATTAAATACACTTGCGAATAAACTTCGCCTCGTCTAACATTTTATAGCTATTAAATTTACCAAGCCAAAGTTATATTCTTTTATTCATAAATTTTGATAGGCAAACAAATGAAATGTTTAATGTAAAATGTAAATTTAAAGCTAATTAATGTGAAAAATTCAGCTTTCTAGCTGCTCATCAATCAGTCAGTCAATCAGCCAATCAATCAGATGGTGTTCTATAAATAGGCACATGTTTGTATTATATAAATTGCTCTCTAAGCTATGCGGTTCATTATAATCGAATTTAGAGCGTAAAGTAATCAATGTGGATGCAGCTAAATTTAAGACATTCAATTTGAAAGGACGAAATGTTTCATCGAAAAACATTTAAAAAAAATCATGCAATATTAGACTGAAGGCTAGCGCTGTTACTTTATAATTAATTTGAAGAATAATAAATTTTGTAGTTAATTTCAAGAAAAGAAACTCTTGCAATATGTGAGTTTTTTGATAAAAAGTAAAATCAAGAGTTGATAATTCGGTTAATTTTGCAACATAATGTGCCTCAGTATCGATCCTTGGCATCGATATTATTAGATATTTTTGCAATACTATGTTCCTAAGAATCTATAACATTTGATACTTTCGTAACACTGCCGTCTTTGGTATTCTTCCACTGTATACTTTTTGGGTATCGATATGCTTGGCTAATTTCGAAACATATGTAATTCCTTTCCACATACATTCCCAATTTTATGTGTGTATTATTATGCCCACTGCGAGTGTATACACAACGAAAAGCATTTGAAATTTTTCACAGCTGGCCAGCGCAAGTGTCCAGTGTCAAAGTATATTTATTTTTATTATTGCAACAATTAATTATAATGCGTTGCTTTTGCTTTCTTTGGTGAAAATCAGCCAGATGTCCATTTGGACAATTGCCGTCTCTTTCTTTCTCCCTCTCTCCCAGTCTGTCTCTCTTTCTCTTTCTCTGTGTCCATTGGATGCGTCTTGTGAGTTGCGTGGTAATTAGATTCTCAAGTGTCGCATTTACAAGATGAATAGTGCGTAATGGCCGAGCAACCTTTGGGGCAGCAACAGAAACAACAGCAACAACAACAACTGTGACTTGGCATCTCTCTGTCTAATTAAAGTGATAAAATCTCAGAAAGCAACAATTAAAATCCCTGCACAAATTGCGCCGCTAACACTTGACCCCAGAATGAGAAAGGGAGAGAGTGTGAAGAGACAGAGAGAGATAGAGAAGGAGGGGAATAGAGAGAAGCTGGGAATCGCTGCGAATCGACTTTGGCAAATGTTTGCATTCAGCAGCTGGAAAAGTCATTATAGAAAAGCGTATCCAAGGCAAAGCATTCGCTGTGAAGTACTTGTACACACACACATACACACGCATGCACACAAAGTATTTGCCTTGGCACACAGACAAATTCGCAGCGTCTTTGGCCCTTGCAACTGTTTAGCACAAAGCCGATCAGCCTTGCCCCTTATGCCATATTGACATGCAACAAACTGTTGCAGCTCAACTCTGGCCAAGACTTGCCAGATCTGCCAGGGGCAACGAACAGCGCCGCCTGCAACATCATGAGGCAGCAATGTTGGGGCTAAGGCAACGTCTGCGCTTCGCCAAAAGGTTGCAGCAGCTCTTCCTTTTGGCGGCCAGTTTCACTTTGCCGCAGATGCTTTCACTTTTTTGGTAGTTTCTGTTTTTATTTTTTTTTATTTTTTGGGTCCGTGTCACGTTTGCCTGCGCTTCCATTTATCATCTACGGGTGGCTGTTGCGCCGGTTCGGTCCATTGAACCCGAGGCAAATATAGCATGAAACAGCCTTAGGGCTATTCCCCTTCTTTTTTTTTTTGAGTGGTCAGCAACGGGTTAAGGCTCTTGTCATTTGTCAAGGTGACCAAATGGCGACCGCTGCGCGGCGAGGTCGTCTTGCAGCTGGCCCAAAATCATATTTGAATGCCAACTTATTTGCGCAAATTCTTTGGGATTTGTGCAAACAATTGCGACAATGTGCCAGGACCTTTTGTCTGCCTCTTTCCCAGGCGCTGCAAAATGTAAATGAAAAATTGTTTGAATCGCTTGTTGCTGTATCTGCTGTGTGTTGTTGTTGTTCGTGTTGTCTGTTGCTGTTGTCTGTTGCAGTGTCATGACCAGAGCCTGCGGCCCAAAGAGAGAGATAGAGAGAGAGAGAGAGAGAAAGCGAGAGTGAGTCTGAGTCTGAGTTGAAGAGCCTCGAATGTCAAGGCTTCAAATTCCTTTATAATGTGCACATTAAATGCATTGCAATTGTGTTTTTTTATACGTTAGTAGTGGGTATTATAAACTTGTCATGAATTGTGTAATGTATAGTATATATATAATCCAAATCCATATAAACTACCCAGTCTATATAGCCTATATCCTCTCAGTTTTTAAGTCATGTTCATCTTTTTATTGCAGGCACATATGTGGGAATCGACCTGATCGGAGCACTATATCATTTTATATTCAATATATTTCAACTAAACTAATGGACATTAATTATAACCATATTCATTTATTATGTGGAAAATATGGTAGAATCAAATTCGGTAAGTGGTTTACTTTTATTTTATCTAAACATATCTGCCAAGCCGTAAGCCTGCAAGGGTATTAAATCTTTGGCGAACAAAGCTGTCCTTCTTTGTTTTTCTTTTGTTTGGCTTAAACAAAATTCAGTTTCCATAGCCGGCAGTCGGCTGGCAACGTTGATTGATGAGCGCAGCTTAGAGCCTGGTCAGCTTTTCACATTTGGCAGCATGTGGTTACATTCGCGGTCATATTGATTGGCATTTAACATTGAACTTTGCATGTCGTTACGGAGCGTTTGCTGATAGATGAGGGAAATGGGGGGATGTGGGGGGGGGTCAAAACGCAAAGCAAATGATGTGCCATCGAAATTTCACCGCAAATACTTTTGGGGAAATTGGAAACGTGCACATCAGGTAATCAAGCGCGAGCTTTGTTTATAAATTACTCAAATGTGGCATAACGCGAAAAACAGGACTTATTCTGTTGTAGCTGCCACGGAAATAGCAGCAGCGGCAATGGCAGTGACAATGGCAATGGCAGTAAAGCCCCCCAGCTGCGGCTCGCAATTTATTTTCAAGAAGCTCAAACGCAAAGCCCGCGCTGAGGGTGGAAAACTAAGGCAGTTCCTATGAAAATTTAAATTTGTTGCGAGAATTTACAAAAAAACAAAAAACAAAAAAAAAACACACAAGGAAAATGATTTGTTATGTGCTGGCGACATGCAAATCTACACAAAATATTTACATTAAATTGACTTGAATTGAAAGAAAATTGCGCTGGGATAACAAACAAAGCAACAACAAACAACAAACAACGGCCACAAATGCGGTTGACAGCATGGCAAAAGCATATAATAAATTCAACAGCGTGGCAAGTTCGTCAGACAGTCAGAGTCAGTCACGGAGTCCGGCTTTCCACGGCGGGGTCAAAGTGAAACGTAATTGGCCAGCAGCGCTTAATTTTTGATTAACCATCGCAGACGAGCTGCAAGCAGCGGGCCAGCACCTGACAACAGAAATTGCCAATGCCAACCTGTGCGCCCGCTTCGAGCAGCATTTTCCAGCGGGGGCGCCTCCTATGTCAACACAAAGTGAAAGTGAAAATTTCGTTTGCAAAAAAAAAAAAAAAAAAACATATACATGTATTTGTGGAAGCAAAAAACAACGAAGGCTTTTCCTTTTATGCAATTGTTTTTGGCGGTTCCCAGACTGCCAGCCCGCATAATGTACGACTCGTTCTGGTTTGGTTCGGCTCCAGAAAACAAAGGCCAAATAAATCGATGCAGCCTCTGGTAAAAGTTTCGCGACGATCTTGGCAAGTTCGTTGCTTAACTCTTTTGTTTCTAAGCGCCACAATTGCCATTGATCGTGGGGCAGGCTAAGCGTTTTGTTTGCTTTGCTGTTAACACAAATGGCAATTACAGCAAATTGGCAATTGCTGGTGCGGTTGCTGCTGCTGCTGCCGCATTTATTTAGCTCTGCTTTTTGGTCTATTAGCAGCGAATGAGATGCGGCTGCCACTGCGAAAGTTGCATTGCGATTGCGTGTGAGCTCTACGTGAATTATCATAAATTATCGCCAGCGGATTATGCGGCTTAGCTTCCCATAAACACACACATATGCTCACATCTGTGTTCATCTGTGCATGTCCAAAATGTAGAACAAGACAATGCACCTTGTCTCGTTTCCTAGCATCAACATTTTCTACTTTCTCGCCACTCACCTGTGGCTTGCATCTGTGCGCAAATATGTTTATATATGTTATATATGCACACATATCTATTCGAGATAATATACAGCTGACAACTCATTGTCAGACATTCCTCTTGAAATAATAATTAATTTAATGAAAAGCACAAATTATACAGGAGTCAACCAGTTGCTCTTGTTACGCAGCTGCAAAATAACTGCTGACAAAAGCTGTTTGTTATAGCATTTGAATTGGCAGCCTGAAAGTATGCTTTATTATTTAGTTATACTGAACAATGTGTTTAATTAAGGAAAATATTTGAAATGCAGCACACGAAAGAAAATATGTAGAGAAAAACTCTTTGTATTCATCGTGTCCGTATGAAGGCAATTGAAGAGCTAACTAAGAGCTTGAGACATTTCCTGTTAAATATATGTGTACTCTTGTATAAATCCGAATCGCTTAAAGAGTTCAGATTTGCCTCTTTCTGCCGCTTATATACACAAGAGTATGAAAATGGGGGACACATTCAATTCTCTATTCTTGGGTTTAGTATCGACACACTAAGTATATTTTTTATGAGTCATATGCTCGAGTAGACAAATATATACATTAATGGAAAAAATTAAATTACAAAAACTACGTTGGGTTTTGTTTCTATAATTAAAACAAAAGTTTCCATCGAGTAATTTGTTTTATTATAACAAAAACTTGTATATACATTTGTTTAAAGGCAAATACTACTAAGGAAACCCGCGTAAAATAGAAATTCTATTCTGTGCTTCCGCCAAAGTAGATTAGAGAATAATTGCAATATGAATACCAACAAGTAATAATAATGCCAATTCGTTGCGAGTTCTATAGCTGCACTTTCATTAACTTTCTTATTGCCAACGACAATTTTCCAGCAATTCTGGCTGGCAAATCAACAATTTACACACAAATTGCGTTCATTTCGTTTTCTATGCACAGCATAGCTAATATCTGTGCCAAAATCTTTGCGTGTCAAAGCGAAAGACAAGAGCAGCCAAAAGCTGAGCATAAATGTAGAGGCAGGTGTCTGTGTATGTTTGGCCAAGTCTTTAACAGACTGCAGCCGATGAAAGTGGGCGTCAGAGCGAATATATCATTAAGCGCAGCAGTAAAAAAAATAAAACAGTTCGAAATAATTACAAAGACTTGCTAATTACGACAATGAGCAATCAAATTGGCTGGCTGCCTGGCCTGGCCTGGCAATTGCACTAAATCTGCAGCGAAGCTTTGCCGGAGCTTAGCTTAGGAACTGCATCCAACATGCATATTACGCTCTGAATAGCCAACAATTGGCGGCGAGGCGCCAACAAAAGCAAAACTGGATGCAACGGCTGCCTGGCTAATTGTGGCAACTTCAAGTGTATAAATTTGTGGAGCAGCCGGCCGCACAAGATCAGTTGGCCAAGTGAGTTGGCCAGAACCACAGCACACAGACAGTCACAAGAGGGCCCCCGTAAAAGGATATACGACAACAAACAGCACACACAATGGATACGCGCTTGGGTCTACTCGCCGCCCTGCTGCTCGCAGTGCTCTATGCGGAGCGGCCCACCTCGGCGCTGGAGCTGGCCCACAACAATGCCACGGGCGGTGGCGAGAACGGGCTGTTGCGCACAGTGCGCCACGTGTGGGCACAGTGTGCCGAGAGCGAGGATATTTTTTGGTGCTGCAAGCTGCACGGCGCTCGGCTGCTGGGGCGGGCACTCAAGGTGCAGCAGCTCAGCATTGTGGATGGCGTTAATCTGGTGAGGCGTGCCGGCGCCGAGGAGACGCGCACAGGACGTGCCAGCATTGCCGAGCATCAGCTAAACAATCGCGATCTGGATCACATGTCCAGCAAGAGCCTGGATGCCCTGCTGTTGGAGCGCTTTCTCAACTTCCTGCACAGCCATCAGCTGCAGGTGAATCTGCCCCGGCTGCTGAGATATGGCGAGCGCAACAGCCAGGACTGGCTGCAGTCGCTGCTGGGCTACTTTGTGAATGGCAGTGAGAGTGAAAGCGACAGCGAGGGTCGCAAGAAGAAGGACGACAAAAAGTATCTGGGACCCTTCATAGCCGCCGTGCTGCTAAAGACGGCCATACTGAAAATGGCCTACCATTCGATTGCCATTGTGGCTGGCAAGGCGCTGATTGTGGGCAAAATCGCGCTGATCATCAGCGCCATCATTGGGCTAAAGAAGCTGGTCGGTCACGATGGCGGCGAGAAGACCACCTACGAGATTGTCAAGCATCCGCAGGTGCAGCAGAGCCACACTTACTCGTCGAGCCATCAGGGCGAGTATGACAGCGGCGGACATGATGGCGGTTCCTATCATCGCAGCATCGATGATGAGATGATGATGCAGGACAAGGCGTATCACGGCTGGTTGCCTCAGCCTGGCGTCGCTGCAGCCGCAGGAGCTGGAGCAGGGGGAGGAGTTGGCGCCGGCGCCGCCGCCAAGCTGTCCCGATAAATCTCGCGTAGCATCTAACGCAAAACCAAAGACCGAAAATTGTTTCGCATAGCTTCAATTTTGTCTGCAATTGTATTTACACTTGTTGACTTTCAACCTAGTTTTAGTTTAGTTTACGATTATTTTTACCACAGAAATACACATAAAGCTAGAGAAAACCAGGCCGTCTGGTGGGCTCCGCCTCCTTATTGACTGCCAAATGCCGGCGACTGGGATGCTCCATCTCGTAGGCATAGTAGGCCTGCTCGTGACCGGGATGCGACTCCTCTTTGACCGTCTCCAGATGCACGCCGCTGTAATCATGCGTGGGCATGCTCCGATGCCAGCCGCTCTCATGACTGTGCCCCCCGCTGGCGACGATCACGTGCTCCGGACTACCACTGTGGCCACTCGAGCCCTTTTTTAGACTGCCCTGAAAAAGAGAGCGTAGCGCCAATGACTCGATCGGGCAGAGCTACTTGCTTCACACTCAGAGATAATACTTGCCTACTAAAAATCAATACCAAGCCGGCCAGGGCCCATTTCATAGATTAAGAACTATTTTTGTAGTGCCGAAATACAATATTCAAGTACAGTACTCAATCTAAGAAATGTATTACTTCAACTGCGAAGGTCTTAAGTCTTCGAATAGAACTCTCGGATCACATAATTTATATAAATATATTCCTGATCAGAATCAAAAGTAACTTAATAGTTGCTAGGCTTGTGAAGCCAATATGTGTAAAGCGGACTTCTATGTAATCAATCTTTTATGGGCTCAATCGATCAATGCCTTCAAAAGTATTTAAGCTAGTGCCCTGCGTCAAGTTCCATCTCCAGCTCCATCTGTTCGTGCTGCAGGCAAAAGTGAAGTTGGATTCGACCGAAACTTGCTTCAATCACAAAAAAAGGTCGACCTCTGCGACTTCGCTTCAAACTCGACTAGTTTGGTTGTGTTTCAGCTGTACTTATACAGGCATGTCTTATATCGAACTTGTTGCTGATTCTAGCAAGTCGAACTTCGTTCTAATGGATGTGTTCGTCTTCGATATTCGAAAGCTCGAGTCTGTCCGTTTTGGCTAAGTCGATTGAGTATCAAAATAGGACGCAAGTGAATTAACAGATGCAGGGCTCTTTTTTCATTTTGTTCTTGCTCGAGTTAAGCTTAAAATCAAGATAAATTCATTTTTAACTAAACAAATTCAAAAACGAAATATTCGTGAAAATTTTAAACAAGAAAACTTGAATTCTATTCAGCTCACAATATAATTTAGCCGCAGCTTTTTTCTGAGTGTGGAAACCTGGTTCATATGTGTTATTAGATTGACTCACCAGCAGCGATATGGCCAGCGCTATTTTGGCCATTATGAAGGCTCCGCCTGCGATGAGTATGACCTTGCCGAGAAACATTTGTGCGAAAGTCGCGAGCATTATCATGCCGCCCATCATGGCCATGTTCTTATCTTTGTCCTTCTTCTTGCGACCTGTTTTGTTGAAACCGTTTTCATATTTATTTAATTTTTTCTATTTTATACCCTGAACTCATTGAAAAAGGGTAAAGAGTATATATTGGTATTGTGCAAATGTTTAAAAAAAAACGACTTAGTTTGTTTATTTTTAATCAAGACTACAAGCTGAGTCGGTCTAGTTACTTATGAATGACTGTCTGTCAGACTATCTGTCTTAACTGTATGTCTTAAAGCACGAATTGTTCCAGAAACTACAAAAGCTATATCCTAGAATTTCGAAAAACAAATTCATGTATTTAGAATGAGATTATTATTTCTTCTCGATGTATTGTCCTGCTTGACTCTCTTGCGAATATTTCTTCTTTCCGTCTTTAAAATGCATATTTTGAGATATAGCCTTGGGCTTTGGTAATTACACACATTTGTTTGCCATATTCAAGTCCAGCTAAATTTATATAGATCGGACAATAGACACAGAAGTTGCTGAAGAACACATTTCTCATACATTGTATGGAGCTAAGCAAGAAGCAGATCGACGGCCGCGGTGTGCGTGTGTGTGCATGTATTTTTGTGTGTAGAAGAAAGCTAGAGTGCTTGCAACGACAGCTCGAGGCTGGGTTCAGGGTATCTTCTAGTCGGGCACTACCGACCAAAGCACTCTTGCGTGTTATCTTTACCTTTCATTCTCTTTTTTTTCTTTCTCTTTTTTCGCCTATCTTTATCTTTGTTTTTATCTGTATCTTTATCAAAGCCCGCAAATATCTTATCGATTTTATCATCTATGCGCGCAATCGTACCTTGATCCAAGCCCAGCTCGTTGCCGAACTCATCGATGGCATTCGATATGGTCAGCTGCCGCGGCAGTCGCACACGCAGCGCTCGTCCTGCGGCTAACTGAAGCAGCTTGCCAGCTAATCCTGGTGTTTCTGCTCTGCCTGTCTGCAGTTCCTGCTGAGGCTGGCTCCGCTGCTGTGGCTCTATACTGAGGTATTCGCTCAGCTGCCAGCTGCTGTTGTCCTGGCAAGCTGCATCTAGCAGGCGCTCGGCCTGGGCGCCCAGGCATTGCCACGCCTCTGCGCCGCTCAGACACTGCTGCAGCAGCCGAGCCAGGCTGTGCGTTGTCCACAAGGATTCTGCTTTAGTTTGGTTCAGCTGCTGTGCCTGGCCCGTGCCGAGCAGAAGCCACAGCCAGAATAAGACGAGTTGCCGCATGCTTGTCGTTTAAGCCACAAATAACCGGGTTCAAGGCTTGTGGCTTATTATTTATATGCCTGCTGCAGAGCTTGTGACGTCATTTATTTCGTACAGAATATACAACAATTAAATGGCTTGTCAAAGCGCGACACGGCCAGCGGCGCTCTTGATAGGAATCTAATAAGAAAAGTTTGTTTTGGAAAAGTCTTTCACGCAAATCGCGTACCCCAACTCGAACTTGAGCTCGAGCTCGAACTCTTGACAAGCTGCTCACTGAACCGCAAAATCGTTTGCCTAAACCGACTTTCGCTTTTGGAAAGCGCTTAAAAATAAAAATAAATTTAAAAAAAATATTTGCCAAAAACTTTTATGTATTATGCTTTTCATGCTGCGGAAAGGTCATTTATTCTTGCTCAACCTAAACAGATCCGCCTTGTTGACTGTCCGTATATATGAAAGCGTAGATCTGGAGAATTCAAATTTTAAACAGTGCATGGAAAATACATGCAGTTTAAAATATCGATAACTTCTCCTATATCCATAAAATCGACAAATCTAGAAAGTGTGTAACGGCAGCTATATTATAATATTATTTATATACATTCATTTATTTACGTATGGTCTATGTATTATTTGACCGTCCGGGCCTAGTCTAGCACACCCGACCAAAGTGCTCTTGTTTTATTTAGCATAAGTTAAGCTTAACTAATTGGAACTAGATTTAAGTTGGAACATTTTGACCCCATCTCACAGCGATCGAACATCCACCACCTGCCAACCATTCATGTGGCTGTTGGAGCTGCTATGGAGATTGCGCACCAGCGCATCCGCTGAGCCAATGCTGTCCTCCAGTGGATTGCCTGGTCTGCGCTGCTTCTCGTACTCATAAAAGCGATCCTCGGGGGTTGGCTTGGTATTGGCTGCGGCTGCGGCTGCTGTCTCCCGCGGCTGCTCGAAGCGCACTTTGCGATCGCTGCGCTTGTAAGGCTGCGGCTCGTGCACATTGTACTGATGATGTAGCTCGTCGCCATGGCCGAACACTGTGGTCTTGCCTGGAAAATGGCCAATGGGCCGGGCAGCGCCAAAGCCGCCGGCATACCCAAAGTTGGGGCCGCCTCCGAAGCCGCCGCCCAAGCCGCCGCCCAGCGTGCCCAGGATGCCGCCCAGCCCCAAAAAGCTGCTCACATAAATAGCCAGCTTGGCCAGGAACAGCGACTTCTTGAGCAGCAGGCAAATGCCAGCAAAGAGCAGCGGCACCAACGCCACCAAATTGAACTTGAGGCCCAGCAAAAAGGGCACCAGATACTGCTTGGCCAGAAGGCGACCTAATAAGGCATAGAAGCTGTGTCAAGAAAACTGGTCATATACTCATCCAATTGCTAGCTCACCCGTGCTGGCATCCTCGAAACCAAACTGTCGCTCATCGTGTCCAGTGTCGAGCACAAACTCCGCCACGCTGTTCGCATCGGCTGTAGGTCCAATTTTGAACATCAGCCCGGGATAAATGGCGTCCATGTGCCACTCCAGGCTGCGCTGCCCCATCACGGCGCCCGCGTTCTCCAGTATGCCACGAAAATCAACCGGATCTGTGTCGAGCACATTTACCAGCGATCGACTCGCCGCCGTCTCCCGCTTTACGGCCACAAAGTCAGCCGCAAAAGTCACATTTTCGCGCTCCTCAAATCGCTGTATAAAATTCAAAGCGGAACGCCCCAAGCACTCGCTTAGCTGGGCGCGCTTTGAGCCGCGCACGCACTGCTTGAAATGCTGCAGCTCCTCCAGACTGTCCTGCCTTAGATCGCTGCCCGCAATCGCCTCCAGCTGTAGCAGGCTGATCAGCAGCAGCAGCAGTGCCTCCATTTGTGCCATGCTCTCTAGTCTACGGGTGGGTGAACGCGATGCTACTGAGCCTGCTGCCCAGTTGACCCGTTCGCTTTATACTAGCAGCCCTTTCAGCTCGTTATACAATAGGTAGCTCAGTTTTTTGGCCAAATATGATCAGCATTGGTTCAACATTTTGCACATGTAACGCCGCCGTGGCCCAATAACGGAAATTGTTGTACATCAACGAAGAGCTGACGTTTGCTGCTGCTCTTGTTGTTATTGTTATACCCTGTACACGGTTAAGGTACAAAAAGAAGGGTATTCTAGTCTTAAGCTAATGTATGAAATAGGCGGAAGTATCTCGAACAGTATGACAAGCTGCCTTGATTAGGCTTTCTGTCTTTCTAAGCTTTTCCTATTTTTTCCTTCGATTTCTTTCTCTATTTCCATATAATCGATAAATATTGAAGGACCATTTAATGATTTACCTCGGAATGTTTGCTGGAGATCTCATTGATCTCCAATTATAACAATAAATTCGTAACATCAACTTCTTGCTGCGTTAAGGGTATCTCCCAGTCAGTCCCATTTTGCTAGAGCTCTCTTAGTTGTTGTTGCAGCTGGCATCATGGTCATGGTCAGTGCACACGCGCTGCCCGGCAACCCACTGTGCCGACTTGTGGCCAATTTTTGACTTTTCGCACATCTTGGCCATTATGTAATGAGCCATTGTTGTTCCAGGAAAAATTATGAAAGAAGCGCGACAGCTTAGATCCGATAAAGGGGCAGTGGGGGGAGGGGCTCCATCAAATAAGCGACTGCAATTATGGCATTAACCGAAATGGACGCCCATTTGAATAGTCAAAACAATAAAATTTGTATTTGTAAGCCTATTTAGACGCCCAACAAACAAGCCCAGCAAATCAGCCAAACGTATTAAATTTTAGACATTTTGATAGCGATAGGAATCGGATCTTCTTTTTGTTGCTTCTGTGACCTTTATTTAATTAACAGGTATTGTCGTTAGGTCGGCAAAAGGCAGACATAATTAACGCCTTTTCAGGCCTAGGCAAATTGAGGGAATTAAGGGCGAACGGCGGCTGGTACCAAAAATACTTACCAGCCACCTGGCCCAAGGGATACTATGATAATCTGCCAAATGGAATAATTGATGAAAAATAATGGAATAAAGGTTAAAGTTAAAATAACCTGGACAGCGTGAGGACAAAGTTAAGTCAAGAAACAATATGTGGCAAAAGGTCCAATTCAGAAAGAAAGGAAAATTAATATGAATATTCAAATTCCGAATTAAATAATTCGTTTTTTTCCAAATATGTTTGAGTCATATCTTAATAAAATTTAATCAATAAAAATATATTATTCCGTAGATGAATAATATATTTGCTTGATTGGTAACAATAATGAATTGAATATATATCCATTCGACGTTTAGTCTTTTAATATCTTCATATAACTATAACTCATATTACGAAAGGGTCTAAAATTAAACATAATATATATGTGAATTATAATTAAATAGTGAACCTTAAATTTTAAATTAAAGCTGCAAGAATTATTTAATTTGAATCAATTTTGATTCCTATTTTGTTTAAATCTTAAATTTAAATACAAATATGAAATTTCCTTGATTACAGAATTTGTGCACTTCTTGTAAGAAGTGAGTAGCTACGAACTGTACTAAATTCATCAATTTGTTGCTTAATTCGGGTACAAAAAGTGTTGTCATTAGCCTGCGAACGCTTTATTTAGCTGCCAAATTTTCTTGCTAATGTTTGAATGTGCAGAATTAAAACGAATATACCTAAAAATTATATGCAAGCGGTGGCAAGCTGTCAGTACACTTACCTTTGCTGCTAAGCAAACATTAATCAATTCGTATTCCCATTCCTTGGACTAATTGTCCAGAGCAAATCAAGCTGTTGCAACCCAATTTTCATATAAATGTATGTCTATTCCCAAGACGTTCAACCCTGGCTTAATGATGTATTTTTGCCTTTTTTTTTTTTGCCCTAGAGGTCAACCAACCTGACCGCACAATTGATCATTTAGCTTGAGCAGCAAAAATATTTCCACTCGAAAAAGTGTGGCATACTTTCAGGCTGAATCTGTTTAAACTTCGCAACAAGTTTGGTGCTGCCAGCCTGTCGTTTGAGGCAGTGCAACAAAACTCTGTGTAACAAGAGCAACAACAGCAACGTAAAGAAAATTAATAGTAGTAAGTCGTTAGACACACTCGTCTGAGCCGCTCAAACCGCTGAGTAGCAAAACTTTTGCATATTTTGCTAATGAATTCCGACGGCCCGGGACCACATGAACTTTAGGTAGCCACATCCGAACTGCCACGCCCTGACTCTAGCTCAGTTGAATCGCCTTTGAAGTAGGCCAATTTGTAGACTTCAATTTAAGGCTTAATTTTCTGCAATAGCTGGCAAAAGTTTTCAGTCGCCAGATAAAGCATTTAAAACGTCAGAGGAGGGCGCAATGTCTGGGCTTGCAGCTAGCTGGCCAAATAAGTCGCATTAGTTTTCCCAATTTTCCACAGCTTGCGACACACACAAAACGATAGAAATTGTATTAATAAACACTTTCACCAGCAACATTTGAGAGATTCAATGCAGCAGCAGCAACAATAGTTGCAGCAGGCGAAAACTGTTGACAAACAGTTAAGAAATCGTTTCTGGCCATTTGGCATTCGGCCATAAGACCATAAATTGTCAGTCCGCTGCGCAGGGGCGTGCCCCATCTTCATATCATTGACATTGCCAAGTCTGCAGGGGAAGGGGCAGCGGTAGGGGTAGGGGGAGGGCGTACGTGTTGCAATTGCACATGCAAAAAACAGGTCGAGTCCAAAAGCGGCGACTTTCATTTGATTTTGGAGCGACACCGGATACCAATAAAGACATTGGCGTGGGCAGCTCCACAGCAGTGTGGGAGGGGGAGGGAGGGAGCGGCATAGGGGAAGTGTGGCAGAGAGGTGGCATGTGAATGCCACGCCAGGAAGTCAGTTAGCCAGCTGGGCGCCGACTCCATCTCCATCTCCGAGTCCGACTCTAACTCTGACTGTGACTTCGTGCACGCCTGAGTGCGCGTCTTGCAAGTGAAATTCTGCTGCTGCTGCTGCTGCTGCTGCTGCTTCTTGTTGTGCAGCGTCTGTGAATTTGTGTGTCGCACATGCAATTGATATCGCTGGCCCCGTTTGCCTTAGTTGGTAATTCATTTTATTAGTGAAAGAGTGAAAGCATTTCGCTTGAAAAAACCAAAAACAACAAATTGTATTCGGCGCACGTTGCGTATGCGCAATAAATATAAATAAATATATATATATATGTGTGTGTATGAATTTATATACGCCTGTCAAATGCAAAACGATTTTCAGTTACAGATAAATGCGGCTTTATTGAGTTTCATTTCTGTGCGTGTATGTGTGTGCCTGTGCGTGTGTGTGAGGGTGGTTTGTGGGGGGCGTGGTTGTTGTTGCTGGGCAGTGTACAGCGTGCTAAAGTATTTGGTTTTGGTTTATTCAACAATAAATATGAAATTGTAAATAGTTTAGCGTAAGCAAAAAAAAAATAAATAGTAAAGCTCTCACATAATACAAGACGCAGTCAGTTTACAGAGTATAGTTAAGTTGAGTTTAGTTTCAGTTTCAGTTTCAGTTTTGGGTCCGCCCACAAGTGCCGCCCCCTTTTGCCGGAGACGACCGTAGTCGCTGCTTCTTCTGCTTGAGCTTATTAACTAGGATTTCATTGACAATTTTCTCTTAATTTTCTTTTGTTTTTCTCCCAATGATGGCGTCTGTTTTTTGCTTCAGTTAAGCTACAAATAAATTAAATAAATAATATAAATTAGGCGAGCTATGCGCTCTCACTTTCTCTCTCTGTGTTTTCTTATCCCTTCTTTCTCTCTTTTTCCTTTTGTGTATTGCACTAATTTGTTGTTGTTTTGTTGTATTTGGCAATTTATTGCTTATACGCCGCGTAGGCCAAGTTCTGTGCCTCATCGCCTTGCAGCGATCGGCCGTAGCTGTGCTCGTGCTCGTAGTGGGGATGCGCAACGACCTCGTAGTTCTCCTTCTTGGACTCGAGCAGCTTCTTTAGGCCTATGATGCCGGAGAGCAGCAGTGCGATCTTGCCAATGACCAGGGCCTTGAACGAGATTAGCGCCAGAAAGCCAATGGCCAGCGGCAGCAGAGCGGCCATCTTCAGCTTGAAGAGCATCAGCAGCGGCATCAGGTACTTCTTCTTCTCCTTCTTCTTGCCGCGTGCTAAAGTCGTGGGGGGAGATATTTAGTTTGATTAGTGTGTGCCAAACATGCAATACTTTCGCTACATTGTCGACGGCTCATTAGCAATTGGAGTAGTGCACATAATTAATAATAAAGACAGCAGACAGTCGAGAGCAGACAATAAACGATAAACGTTGAACAGGATTGACCGCTTTCTATGGCCGCCGCTTAGAAATCGGAAATCACACAAAAAGAAAGTGCGCCGAACTGCGCTGAACTGACTAAAATGCAATTAATTGCCAGCAGCGGCAACAAGTTTGCAAGCAAGTGGCATGCCACAAGCTGTCAATGCACCGCTAGACCAGAGACCAGAGACCAGAGACCAGAGACCGGAGATCGGAGACCAGAGACCAGAGCAGAAGCCGGCTCATCCTGACCCCAATGCAGCAGCGGCAATGCAGCTAACAGTGAAAACAGGATTTCAAGCCTATGCCCACATTGTTGCAAGCCAGACGCTGCCACTGCCACAGCGATAATTGCACCACTAACCCAATTTAGCAGCATTGCTGAGAACCAGTAAGCAGAACCGCAGCCAGTTCTGCTGCATGGCGTCTGTTTTTATCGATGCCAACTCAACTGTTACTTACATTCCTCGAGGGCGCGCTGCATATCCTGTATGGAGTCCTTGGGAACCTTGAACTGCAGCGTATGTGTGCCAAAGAAGCGTGCCACACGCTCCACCAGCAGGGAATCGACCTCACTTTCGCGCGCCTCCGCCTCCTCCGGCAGCGTCACTTCGTTCAAGGCGCGACCCACCGGAATCTCATCGGTTTTGACCAGGGAAATGCCCTCGGTTAGACGCACATCGCCATTCTCCGTGTCGAAGTAGTGTAGGGCGCGTTCCTATACGAAATGGGGCTTGCTAATTAGCTAATCGCGCTTCGTACTCTATTTTTCTATATGGTTTACCTTCATACACAACAGCATGGAACGCTCGCCGCAATCCTTGACCATCTTGAGGGCGCTAGTCAGCAAGCTGTCAGCCTCGGAGGCTGCCGCCGCCGTGGAGGCGAGCAGCGCGAACAGGCACACGAATTTCAACATATTTTTTATTTTTTTTATTATATATTTATCTTGATTTCTCGAGTGGTTTGGGGGCGGGTCACCGACACGACAACACTTGACACTGGGCTTTAATTATTGATGTATCCTTTGGGGCACCGACTGGGCGTGCCTTGTAGGGTAGCTTGAGCTGCTCGTGGCTGTGTAGAGTTTGATTGAGTGCACTGCGCTCGATTGGCTGGTTCGATCTGTCGGTCAGAAGGCAATCCGTAAACTGTGGCTAGAAGACGCACGCGGATCGAGTTTTATTCCCGGCCAGCAGCGCAGTCGCCGACGACGACAACGACAACGACAACGACGGCGACAACACACGACGCGAATGGCCCGTTGGCCGCATCCCCAACACACACACACACACTTACACTAACACACACGCACACACTCAGCCGACCTGCTCCATCGACTCAAACAGTAGCCGAGCTTAGAATTTAAATAAACAACCTGGCGAAGACGAAGCCAGCGTCGACGCCGACGACCACAACGAAGCGCATCGGTTGCGGCTCTTAATGCAACCTGCCATTGACTTGGCCTGGCCCACAGTTCAGTGTGTGTGTGCGTGTCTGTGTGTGTGACGCTGACGCTGACGCAGTTTTCGCGGTCGACGTCGCAGCTGGCAGCGCTGCGGCATTCGCTTTGGCTTGTTAGCGGCTGCTGCTGCTGCTGCTGTTGCTGCTGCTGTTGTTGTTATTGTTGCTTGTCAACAGGTAAACACTTAAGCAGCACTTAACTATTTGCACACACACACACACGCGCGCACACACACACGTACATTTATTCAGTCCGCTTAGCGGGCAATAATTTGACAGCTCAAAATGTATATTGAGCCATTTGAAGGAGCCTGCCTGCCTGCATTTGGCACACTTTCGGGTGGGCTGAGAACCAACGCAACCTCAACCGCAACAGCAAGAGTAACAAGGCAGAAAGTGCGGTTGGCTGTGCCGCTCGACTGATCGAACCATTAGAAATTGCAGACACGTGACTTTGTGTGGCATTTAAAGCTGGCCGGCTACCTGGCTGGCTAATCAAACACCACAGCAGCACGGCGGCGCCTACTTATGATCGTTGCGTTGAAAGCAGCCACAAGCAACACGAGCTTCACTCAAATTGGAGTAAAATAGAAAATTAACTAGTTTGCAGGCGGCATGGATAACAACAAAATTTCACTTTAATTTTGCTTTTTATTTATGTATTTGTTTTTCTCCATCTCACTTATGGCCTCATCATGTATCTCTGACCAGTCACACACACACAAACACACATACATATGTATCTACATATAAGTATCTGCAGTTTTGTATGCCAATCGCCGACATTTGCACAGCGTCTCAAGACTAGAGTTTCCATATCAAACAAATATCTTTTGCATTATGTCGCTTTAATTTTATACTCTTCAATTTTAATACTTATTTTGCACATTTTGGCACGTCTTCACACATACCCAGTGTGTAAAAAAGCTATGCAAATGCTTTGAACGGACAGAAGCTTACAAGATCGACATTTTGGTCATATTAAATGACACGGACTTTTCTGAATAAAACAAATGATCCTTAATACAACTATAAAGCTATGATGTTATTAACATTAAATTACGCATAAAGTATTTTCTATGCCAATCCTAGCGAGACATTTCTTCCGACTTATAGAAAATGAAATGAACAAAACTAATAATTATTTGCGATTACATTAAACATATTAAGCTTTATTTGAGATTTCGGGATTAAGATCTTAAAGTTGTATACAACCTAGAAAGAAGAGGGTGTGACAACACTCTTGAAGTGTGTACCAAAAAGTAATTTTCATATTTTTGTACATTTAATTTAATATTATAATTGATAATAAATAAAAATAAAAGAACTACAGGGTATGCCACACTCGATTAAAACACTCAATGATAAATATTTCGTGCTGCTGAATTTATTTTATTAAAATCGGCATACGAAACCAACATATCAGACTACAACTTACAATACTTGCCAAATTTATTTGTGATCACATCGATTATATAGACCCTAAAGATAACATAATTGAAGCCAAGTTGGCCCGAAGAGCATTAAAATAGGTAAACATGAGAAAAGTACAACTACAGGGTATACGCCCACCGATCCGTCTATATACAAGCGCTTTCTCACACGTTTATTTTCTTCTGTATTTATGTGTAATTTACGCATTAGTCAAGTACCTGAAAGAAAGCGATGAATGTTGAGATTTGCACGCTGCTTAAGCTCGATTCAAGATGCAAAGCAAGCCAAAAAATTGTTCGTAGCTGATTATCTGCTTAGCCTAAACACCATATAGTTGATGAGCCGAAAGGTGTTTACGCCGTAGTTGTAGCTGTTGCCGTCGTGCCAGATGCTGATGGGATATGCAAATGCCCCGCACGTATATATATATGTCGTGTATCCAATAAATTATTGTGAGTATTATTTTGAATGCTAACGATTAAGTGTTAGTAAGAATCAGAGAATTTGACAGAAGGTACTGCTATTTAACATAACTGTCCTACTTGTATTAGGGTTGCTACTGAAAGCATGGTGTGAGACAAAAAAAGATAGTCTCTGCCGAGCATGGCCCGAGTGTGTTGTATAACGTCCAGTTTGCTATAGTGTTGAATGTTCACTAACAGTACTAAAAGTCAGAGAAGAATATAGAATGACAAGAGCATGAGTAGTATGCTCGAGGACGATGAAAATTATTCATTCTAAAAGTGGAAGTCATAGAGAACAGACGTGCTCGCTCCTAAAAATATAATTATTTTGTGACTATAACGACACTCGGGACTTGCTGTACTGCCAGTATGCCTAATTGCAAAGAAAGTGATTTCTCTGTTCCGACATCAGAAGTGGGATTAGGCGATGCCCCTCCACGAGGCAATTCTGACGATTCGTGGCGTCAGCTTTTGGAATCTCAAAATCGAAATATTCTTGAGATTATTAAAGCAATGCAGATGTCAAATTCAGCATCCTCAACAAAGAAGAGCATCTCGTTGCCAAAGTTCAACCCGGACATTGCAGGCGCAGATGCAAATGCCTGGTGCAAAACTGTGGACATAATACTTGACGATAATCCTATTGAGGGCAGTACACTGGTGATGACCCTCAGCGGCTCCCTAGAAGGAAGCGCCTCGCCCTGGCTTTCTCAAATATGCTATACTGGAATGAACTGGCAAAATTTTAAGGAATTGTTTTTGCAACGTTTCGTGGGAATGGAAACATCGGCGGCAACTTTAATGAACATTTTTAATGGCCGACCGAATGATGGCGAATGCCTCTCCGTATATGCGAGCCGTCTTGTGACCTCACTTTTATCCAAATGGAAGACAGCGAACATGGAGGAAATTGCAGTCTCAGTTGTTTTGGCACATACATCGAAAATCGACAAAAGTCTGCAACGTATGTTATATACGACTAATATTAAAAGTCAAGACGAGATGCAACAGCATCTGAAGGCCTATGCTTATGGAAGGTCAAATGGAGGTCTACAGCCAAATATCCCAATGGAACCAGATCGCAAGAGATCGAAAACATATGGCATTAAATGTCATCATTGTGGAAACCTCGGACACAAAATGGTCGAATGTCGCAAGAGGAAGTATGAAGAAGGCAACGTGTCAAAAAACTCAGCATTACCTAAAGTTCGATCTGCCGTTACCTGCTTCAAATGTGGCGATGCTGGCCACATTGCGTCTTCATGTACGAAAGGAGTTTCTACGAGCGGTGTTGGATCACATGACAAGCGTATAAACATCTGTTGTGTGTCCGAGCCAAAAGGAATCCTGCGTCAATCTGGTGAGCTCGTTCCATTTTGTTTTGACTCTGGAGCGGAATGTACGCTCATCAGAGAGAGTTGTGCCGAGAAATTTTCCGGAAAAAGAATTAATAATTTGATAGTTTTGAGGGGTATTGGAGAAAATCCTGTGTATAGCACTATGCAAATCTTGGCTACTGTTAAAATTGATCAGTACTCCTTAGAAATATTATTTCATGTAATAATGGATAAGTTTTTGAAATACGATGTATTGATAGGCCGTGATATACTCGGATTAGGCTTTGGAGTCTCCATCGAGGCCGACAAATTTGAAATGTACAAAACCAAAACTGTTGATGTACTAATAAAAGTGCCAGATATAAGTTACGTAGAGCATCTGAATAACGATAGAGCATTAAGCAACACTGATAAGAATCGTCTGCTAGAATTATTGCAAAACTATGCTGATAAATTTATTGAGGGTATTCCTCAAACGCGAGTGACTACGGGTGAACTTGAAATCCGCCTGCTTGACCCAAATAAAACTGTACAAAGGCGTCCGTATAGGTTAAGCATAGAAGAAAAAGAAGTCGTGCGAAATAAAGTAAAAGAATTGTTAGACGCAAACGTTATACGTCCTAGTTGCTCTCCATTTGCAAGCCCAATGCTGATGGTAAGAAAGAAAAATGGAACCGATCGACTATGTGTCGATTATCGGGAACTGAATGCTAATACGGTCGCTGACAAATATCCGCTGCCTTTGATTTCTGATCAAATTAATAGACTGAGTGAAGGCAAATATTTCTCCAGTTTAGACATGGCAAGTGGTTTTTACCAAGTTCCAATACACCCAGACTCTATCGAGCGCACTGCTTTTGTCACGCCAGAAGGACAGTATGAATTTTTGGCCATGCCTTTTGGATTAAAAAATGCTTCCTCGATTTTCCAGCGCGCAATCGTGAGAGCATTGGGTGATTTGGCTCAAACGTATGCCATCGTCTATATAGATGACGTGTTAATTCTAGCGAAGACAAAGGAAGAGGCACTTGAAAGGCTACAAACGGTCTTGGAAAACTTGTCTAGAGCTGGATTCTCATTTAACATTACAAAATGCTCGTTCTTGAAAACAAGCATAGAATATTTAGGATACTTGGTTGAAGCGGGTCAAATTCGACCAAATCCACGCAAGATACAAGCGTTGGCCGAATTGCCGTCACCGCAGTCAGTAACACAGGTGCGACAATTCATAGGCCTAGCCTCGTATTTTAGGCAATTCGTACCAAAATTTTCTGAGCAGATGAAAGCTTTATATAATCTCACCTCCAAGAATAATAAATTTGTCTGGAAGCCGGAATATGAGGAAATTCGTCAAAAAATCGTATCAATTTTGACTAATGACTCCGTTTTGACAATTTTCGATCCACTAAAGCCAATTGAATTACATACAGACGCAAGTTCTATTGGATATGGTGCTATTTTAATGCACAAGATAGAAAATAGACCCAGAGTCATTGAATATTACAGCAAATGTACGACAATGGCTGAAGCAAAATATCATTCATACGAGCTTGAGACCCTCGCAGTTTACAACGCAGTAAGACACT